AATCTTTAAGAAGAGAAATAACCTCATTAAGCTATCATTAGTGGTTATGTTGCGTGTCATTCAACTTGTGGTCATTGGCCATCTATTGCTTCTAGTTTTACATGTAACTCCATAAATTCTACCTCGTATTCTTTTTCTTATCATCTTGGTAATTTTTTTTTTAGTGATTGTATAACATAAATTAATGAGATCAAAAACCTGAATCCATCCTCACTTACTTCAACAAGCTTACAAACTAGGTTGTGCTATCAACCATGATGAGAGAATATTATGAGCATGTGCAAGACTTTGGTTCTTCATGTGAATTGCTGACTTGGATTTCAACATCCTCTAAAAGAAGTTATTTTATCCAATCACATAGAGAGAATATAAATTTACAAAGGGAAACTTAGTCATTTACTCTTTTGATTTGCATTAATGTCACACATTCCACCTTTCTAGAGGGATCATACAATTTAACAATGGTGTAGGCGGATCAAACTCTCACCTTTAAAACTTCTCTTTTTCTTCCTAATATCACTACTCTAGAATTTTTATGTCACTCTAATCCTATTGCCAGCATGATGTCAATATCCTCAAGTATTTTAGGTTTATGGTGTGTTCTAGGGAAAACTATGATTATTTTATGGGAAGATTGTCCATTTTTATTTTGAATACTAATGCTATATATATTATATCTTTTCTGCCTCACATGTATTTAATGAGATAAATTTCACTAAAAAATGGAGTATGTTCTTCTAAAGGTGTCACATTTTTAATTTTTATTTATTTTTGTTCGTGTATATGTTTTAATTTTTTAAAATTATTATTTAAATAACTAGTTATGTGGATTATTTATAACTATTTGTAGCAATATCTGAGCTTATGGTTCAACTTATAAATGTAAATATTCACAGTGTTATTTCTTCATGAAACATATATTTATATGTATTTTAATTTTTTTCCATCATATTCATTCAAGGTTGTTCAAGCTTATCTCATTTTCTACTTGAGTTATGGACAAGTCCATAGCACTTGGGATTTTTTAAAGTCCAAACAAGTAATGCACTTGGTAGTATTAATCACCTGATTAGCATTCTAATTTATATTAAAGATACTTAGACAATGTTATTATTATTTGCACAGATTTATTTAATTGGTTTCATTATAGTACTTTCCCCTTTTTTGGTCAAAGGAGACCCACTATTTCTTGGCGCCCAAGACTGCTTCCTTAGTTGGTTGAATATCAATCAACCTCGACAGTGGTAAACTCTCAGATGTACGGTGATTAAAGACTTATGTACCAGGAGCTATGAAATTTGGTAGACACTGATGATCAATTCATAATTAAATTGTTTTTGGGAGTTAAAATTAAGCAGTATATTTATAAAAAAGACTAAATGTTATGACCAACATTAGATACTTCTTCGAACATGAGTTTTACAGATCAATTCCACAAAAGAGAAGAGGGGTCATGGATCACAAGCAACCAAATGCTTCACATCATATGTATGTTCAACACACTTATTTGCTCAATACAAAGCTAAATTCCACCTATATGTTCGATACTAAGCTAACCTAGAGGCTGGACATGATGTGTTGATCACCTAAAATGACTAATTTAATGTAATTTTTGTAAATTAAAAATTTTCTATATTGTTCACAATTAGTTTTTGATGTTTAAATGGGTAGAGGTAAAGAAGTCCCTCCCTATATTGGGCTTTGAGAAGCCCAGAACTTGTTCCAGCTCCGAAGAAAGGACCATATTTTGTGGGAAATGGGCTCGGAACTGACACCAACCCATTTTGTTTCCACGCCGGGTCAGGCCCGAAAAAACCAGCCCGCGGCGTGGTACACCTGATTCTTGAAACCCCAGAACACAGAGGAGCCAATTCGGACGGCGATCCAACTACGTGGATGGACGGTCACTATGTTTCCAATTGGCGGGTTCGCATAGGACAAGAAGGTCAGGCAGCTAAATGCCACGTGGCAGGTCTCCACTGGGCCATACAATATGATGTATCTTGGGCCACATTGTAAAACCGTATGCGATAGCATTTTGGTGCATTTGGAAGGGATTAGCGTAGAAGATTGGACATGATGTCGCCACTATAGACTAATCCCCCTCTCTTCCTCTCTCATTGTTCTCTCAAAATCCAGCTGGTCATTAAGAAGAGAGAAAGGCTTGGTCGGGCCCTAGATGATACAGGTTGGACTCGCCCCTGCGTAGGGTCCGACCGTGAAACAAGAGCATGTTGTGCATAGGGCCCAGCTGGACTCGACGAAGTAGGTGGGTCACAGACCGGCATGTCGACTGCATCCATGTCAAGTTGTTGGTACCCCCAAGGCGCCTCTCCTCTCTCTCTCTCTTTCTTTCTCTCATGGACTTTGTTTCGGGGGCCAACTCTTCGTGATTGACTTGAGGCCTTCACCAATTTTCTCCTCAAACCCTCGAGTTACTGCCCCGTCGGAATCGATGCCTTCGGAGAGATCTCTACATGTCCAGTTTTTCTTCTTTTTCTACTGTCAGTTCGAGTATATAAAAATCTGAAAAATCGCTCAACCTACGCGGTCGCTCTTTCTCTCTCTACGGTGGCCCCCCAGTTCCCGGAAACCTCCGTCCTTCCCCTCCGGGAGGACTTTGCGTTCCTGAAAGTGAGAGGAGAAGGACGATTGGCGCGAGGGCGTGGGGGTCGTTGTTGGAAGGCGATCTGGGACCTAACGGTGAGGTCAATGCGGAGAGAGAGAGGGTCGCCGTCTTCTGGGGCCGAGGTAGCCGCCGAAGCTCCACTGGTCATCTTCGGAAGGCTGGGGACGACACACATTTGTTGGGGTCGCAATGTGGCGTGGGATTAAGTGCGGGGATGTGTCCGTGCATAGTCAACGGGAAAGCATCAGGAGAGAGAGAGGGGAAGGGGGGGGGGGAGAGGTATTAATATTTATACATGCGCATACGCGCAGGGGGATAAATGTCCTATTTCTACCCAGGGATAGTTTATTTATACACGCACGTGCGCCTGAAGCTCCCTCCCTCAGTCTCACCTCCCGGAGGTATGAAAGCTGCAGCTCTTCAGCACGAAGTGAGAGAGAGAGAGAGGGAGAGGGAGAGAGGAGAGAGGAGAGAGAGAGAGAGAGAGAGAGAGAGGGAGAGAGAGAGAGAGAGAGAGAGAGAGAGAGAGAGAGAGAGAGAGAGAGAGAGAGAGAGAGAGAGAGAGAGAGAGAGAGAGAGAGAGAGAGAGAGAGAGAGAGAGAGAGAGAGAGAGAGAGAGAGAGAGAGAGAGAGGTTTCCTTTAACTTTACAGCTGGGATTTATTTCATTTTAAAGACAAGTCAAAAGTATAATCAGAAGAAAAAGTTGAAAGCCAGAGAAGATGGTATCATATAGAAGATCTTTCCGAAGACATTCGCGGCAGGTAACAACTGTCTCCGTCTTCCTCGGGGCCTGGTCAAGAGGACTACCGTTCTGAGATCCCCCAGAGGACTAGAGAGCTTAACATGTGGTCTCTTCACGTGTAAGCCCCTCTACCGAGCATAACGTGGTATGCAACCCATGACCGCGTCATCAGAGAGAGAGAGAGAGAGAGAGAGAGAGAGAGAGAGAGAGAGAAGAGAGAGAGAGAATAAAACTGACACAGAATGGGGCGCGTTTCCATAATGGCTAGATGAAGATCAAGTCATTAATGTAAACAAGGAGTAAACCCATAAAGATGCCATCGGGGGGACAAACAGGGCGAACGTTCCTTGGCTCGTCGGGTTTCCTCCTAGATCGCATTATAATAATTAGAGATGGGAGAAGGATCGAGGGCGGTGACATCCTTCATAAAAGATGTCTGTGATCGCACGAGGAGTCAAAGGGCCAGGAAGTTCCTATAGGGCAGGTGAAATGGCCTGTTTTTATTGGCCGACGACGCACCTACTGCAAGGTTTGGCATTTCGTGTTGGGCAAGCGTCTGCTTCCCTGCAGTGGAGATGGCGATCGCCGAGTTTCATGCAGGATGATCGGGGAAGAAGCAACATAGAGATTGCTTGGGTTGGATTGCTTGAGAGAGAGACCTCGTCGGCTCAACTTAAAACTCACCCTCTCACATAAAAAGAAATCAGAACTGCAGGACAGTAACATACTGGGTTTCCACTAGTCGAGTCTCCACCAATTTGGTGGGAGGGAGAGAGAGAGGGTGAGGGAGCGACTGTCGGGTCTATTCAGACCCCTCGGAATGAAACTAATTCCATACGAGTCTGAGAATATTTCTGAGCGAGGACGAAAGACGATTGTATCTCTCTCTCTCCCTCGCTCTCTAAAAACACAAAACCGACTGGAAGGAACTCGCATACCGCTTCGATTTCTTTCAACGCGATTGGAGGGCCTTTTGAAATCATTATTACTTAGAAGGCTGAAAGATAAATAACAACAGGACAGAAAAGGCAATCCTTCGAAACCTGATTGACACCAACAAAATAGACGTCTGTAAGTGCTTCCATCACATAATCCCTCATTTTTTGAGGGGAGGGAGGGAGAGAGAGGGGGGAGAGGGGGAGAGGGGGAGAGAGAGAGAGAGAGAGAGAGAGAGAGAGAGAGAGAGAGAGAGAGAGAGAGAGAGAGAGAGAGAGAGAGGGAGAGAGAGAGAGAAGCCAAATGTCGAAGCAGCAGCCATCACGCGAAATTCACGACAAACGGAGCATGATAAATAACGAAATCATGTTTGGTGAGAAGTTCACCGGAACGCCTCCGGTGTTGGTACATTTCTGTATGGTTTGTATCTTTGCTTCAGTACATACACTGTTATTATCTCTTCCCTTTATCTGAATGTACATTCTGCTTGTATCCACACAAAAAAGAAGAAGTGAAGAACATGATCGAGATAACGAGAACGTCCCTCCCATGTCCTTAAGACGCGATCGGCCATGCCGGCAGGGGCGTTTGACTGCAGGAAGCACAGAAGAGGAGCAAGCATGAGCTTGAAACTCGTTGAGGCTAACCAGAGACGGAGAAGATCAGGTAGGGAGGAGGAGGAGGAGATGCCCTACGCTAGAATATCTCTCCAGCATAGGTCGTAACTCTCGTTGTCGGCTAAGGCATCCCAGGGCTCCAAGGTGCAGGAGGACGATCCATCATGGGAGTTGATCATTTCCTGGAAGTGATCCAGGTTGAAGCCCTCCGGCGAGGGGGAGACAGCGGAGGGCGTGGAAGCCGACGTCGGGTTGTTGCCGGACCTCGACATCTGGCTGGGGCTGAAGCTACTGTTGTTCTCCACGCCGACCGGGTTCTTCGAGGAAGAACCAGGGAGGGAGGAAGATGAGGGAGGCAGTGGGATCTCCTTCGCCATCTGAGGTGCGATCAAACTCGTGACAGCCGAGTTGACTTGGCCTTCTCCCCCAAGGAGGAGACCCGGGAAGGCGCGGCCGGGCTGGTTGAGCATAGCGGCGCCCAAGAGGTGGACTAGGTCAACGTTTGGAGCGTTGTTGGGGACTAGAGCTTGAAATAGGCTCTGCAGAATCTGGATTCTGGCCGCCTGAGCTGCGTCTGCATGAATCCTGAATGCGTTGTCAAGACCCCAAGCACCCGGTGGCAGGTTGCCAAGGTTGGAGGCGGCAAGCAAGCCCTGGAGATTGGCGAGCAGGCTGAGGTCAGTCCTCGGGCGGTGGGTCAATGGGTCGATTCCCATGTGGAGGAGCTTCTTCTTCAGGTGAGTGTTCCAGTAGTTCTTTATCTCGTTGTCTGTTCTTCCTGGGAGCCGAGCGGCAATCGCCGACCATCTGCAACACAGAAGAGTTAGAATTATATCACAACAAGAGAAGACGAAGGCGAGTAGTGCGATGACTAACTTATTGCCGAGGGCTGAGTGGAGGTTGATGATGAGACGCTCCTCCTCGTCAGAGAACTTGCCCCTCCGGATGTCGGGGCGAAGGTAATTGGTCCATCTTAGCCGGCAACTCTTGCCGCAGCGGTTGAGGCCGGCGCTCTTGGGGAGAGCCCGCCAGCTGCCGTGGCCGTGGTTCTGTATGTACTCTACGAGCTTCTTGTCCTCCTCCGGCGTCCAGGGGCCCTTCTTCAGGCCTTCCTCTTCGCAGCAAGGGGATCTCCCCATCTTTCTATCCCCTCTCCACCCCAACCCTCCAGCGGGCCCTCCTCTTCGCACGGGGAGAGGTCCGATGAAGACGAAGGAGCCGGTGGGTTCTCGCAGAAGGGAGAGGCCGCCGGGATATATGGATATATATAGAAGAGAGTGTTGGGCTCCACCAGCTGCATTAATCCCAAATGACTATTAATATCCTGCCGTCTTAGAAAATCATGAACGATAGTTTCTTTTCATAACTGAGCCTTCACCTCAAATAAACTTGAAGAATATACCTATAAACTTAGCGACCTATTTATTAATATTTATTTTTTCTCCATAGTATTTTAGATGGGGCGATCGACGTGCATCTCCACATGCGGCGAGTTCTTGCCCTTTCTGACCCGCCATCGATGGCGAGAGCTCAGGGTGAAGCCTGGGAGCAGGTCGCCACATGGCGGAAATCTACTGGACTGCGACCCAACTCGCCTCCCTAGGGCAGGTACAAGGAAACAGTCGCCGCCACCGCCGCTCTTCTCCGACCCGAGTTCGTCAAACTGAGGCATCCCATCCGCGCGTCCGAAGGATATGCTTTAAAAATTATCTTTCCGGGCTCCGATAAAACCCTTGGCATGTCCCACCCTCCAATCGGTAAACCGAAACGAGCTGCTTCTAATAGAAGCCTCAGTTTTACCAAATTATATTGTCATCCTCAAAGCATGCCCCACTCGCTGATCGGCAAACGGACATGAGCCCTTTCCGGAGATGGCGTCATTTTTACTAATTACATTGTCCTCGTCAAAGCATGCCCCTACTCTCTGAGTCTGCGTTTCAGCAAAATTTCACGAAAGATTTAGTGAGATGGGTAGAAAGAACATCCCAGAACCTGTTAACCCGCTCCTGCCGATGTTTCTCGTTTGTCTTTACACACACACACACACATATATATATATACATATAAATGTGAGGGAGAACGAGAGAGAGAGAGAGAGAGAGAGAGAGAGAGAGAGAGAGAGAGAGAGAGAGAGAGAGAGAGAGAGAGATCCCCGCCGGAAGCTCCCCGTGGCTTTAGTTCACTGATCGCTCTGGTAAGGCATCCCCTTCAGATCCTGAACCTCACTGTCTCAAAGAACTGAGACAATTTAGTTATTCAATGAAGAGTTGTTGTAGTTTCAAGAAGGCTAATAAGTCGTAGTGATCAGGCTAATCAATCTCGTGCAATTCGCACCCGATGCTTCTGGGAAAGATGAATCAGCGTAGATCACGATTCCCCGTCGCCGGTTTCCCCACGCGTTACATAGTCGACTCCATCCTTTGGAAACCCCTCTCTTGTCAGAGGAATGATCTTAGTGACCACGATTTATTACTTCTCCGGTGAAACTTGACGTTGAAAGCGTGCTTAAGACCGCTTAGGTTTTCCATCATCCCTGAGCTCAGATAACTACTACTGAAGCCCTCCTCCATGATTATGCATGCGTTGGGCGTCAGCCTCGGGCTTCTCTCCGTCACGCCTAACTCGGAATCAATATGAAAACAAACTTAGAGAAAGAAAAATCCATTAATAGAAGCGTTGACTCATCGTTAATCGTTTTTGTTATCAAGCTGACAAAGCAGAGAGTCCCCCAGCCGTCACTAAATGACGGACTTCAGAGTCTTAAGCGTCTGACCCATTCAACGAGAGACAATTTTTCTTACCTTCTCATAACAACGTTTCTTCTTCTCCTCTCTCTCTCTGTCTCTGTCTCTCGCTCGTTCTCGCAGAGGGTCCGACTGTATGTATCAGGGCTAGGCTATGAGCATGGTTTCCGGGTTTTCTCTAGGCCAGGTCGAGGTTGGCCCTCATAAAGAAATTCTCCTCTCTAGTTGCGATTCTCATGGTTAATCTTATTAATCTTTGCGTACAAGTAATCGTTGTTCGCCCGGGTTGATTCCCTTCTCTAGTGAACCGTAAATCGGGGCTGTACCTTGAATATTTGTCCATCACCGAGGGATTATGGAGATATATAAACAAACTAGAGAGAGAGAGAGAGAGAGAGAGAGAGAGAGAGAGAGAGATACATTGACACCATCATGGTCTCGTGATTTCTTATCAACCAGTTTCTCACACAGGCCGACGTGGATAATCCATCACCTACGCTTACTCCAGGGGCCGACGACAGCGTTCACTGGGGTTAAGAATGGAATTTTTCTCTCCTTTGAAAGGCTTTGTTACCCTTTCGTCGCTATCGCCGACGACGGTTGGAGTTTCGCTGGCCAAACCAGCAAATATAATAATTGAAGCAGGCGACCAACATCAGGCTACCTTATGGCGACGGTCCTCACTTCAAACAAGATTGCAAGGGAAACTGCGAGGCTTACTCAAAGACGTCTTCTTCTTGAAGAATTGAACAGTGGATGACGCAACCTCTCTCCCCCCACCCTCCCCCCTCCCCGTCTCTTTCTCTTACTTCGGCGTGGGGAACAGTCAAAATGGGGAATCCCACAAGGTGTTATCGAATCATTGGTATGGGTAACGGGAGACAAATCTCTAACGAACCCCTTTATTCTAATGGGGTCTACATTGTGAGTAAGCAATTTTTTAACTTCGGTCTATTACTTAAAAAAAAGACGTGCACGGCACTCTTACGGATTAATCGATGAATACAAAGCTTATACTTTTAAGAGCATGATAGTATCGAATACCTAATACTCTCCATCATGATGACCCTTCTAGGCTATGAAACCCTGTTCTCCTTATGTGGACAAGCCACAAGTCTCCTTCTTGAGTGCATATCTAACCAAAGAACTCAAGCGACTGTATGGCCGCATAAGACTGGATACTAATCAGGATGGCGGCGATATATGGAAAATAAGAAACTACAAGAAATACACTAGTTATTCAAATATGACGCAAAACATAAGATGAACGAATTAAATATTAATTTACTAGTAGTACATCAAGGTTTCGTTATACATGTCGTTAATGAAACTCTCTCTCTCCTCCTCTCTCTGTCTACCTCTTCCTCTCTCCCCACTGCATACGATGTGATCTATCCCAACTAACCATGGGTTACCTAATTTGTGTCTACACGTACGATTGAGTGGAACAAGAAAACTTCTATAGTTTATTTCTCTGGATACATCGACTACTGTTTTGGGGCCATGAGCATATCTCGACCTACATCTACTTAACCAATTTGAATACTATGAGAACCATGGCTGATAGATCTATAAGAAATGGGTTTTCTAGATCAAGTCTAGTCTCCTAAATGCAACGATTAACAAAGCAATGCTTATAGAGGAGGCTCTATGGTCAACGCCTTGAGTTTCCGCCAGTTTCCATCAGATTCTTAGGGAGAGGAAGTATCAACTAAGGAAGATCTGGCCTTGTATCTGAACCACAAGTTCGGTGAGACAGAAGTCATCCTTAAGACGTAGAATTCGTAGAATAACGCCATTCGTTGGAGAAGGTTTTTGGTCATTATACGGCTGTGGACTGGCTTCCTTTTTATCGTGCGTATTTTTGACCTTTGTGTCCTCTCACAGCGCATGCTACTGTAGGAAGATCGTTTGACCTTTGTGTCCCCCCCCTCTCTCCCTCTCTCTCTCTCTCTCTCTCTCTCTCTCTCTCTCCCTCTCTCCCTCTCTCTCCCTCTCTCTCCCTCTCTCTCCCTCTCTCTCTCCTTCTCTCTCTCTCTCTGTGTCTGTCTGTTACCCTGGCCCTTCCCCTCCCAATTTCGTACTCTTTGTGGCTCTCTACCTATGTATTCTTCATCCTTGAATGTCGCATCACTGTATATTATCTCCACCCAATCTCTAAACCATTCCGTTTTTCCCGGTAACAATCTTTGAAAGAAAAAGAACGTGTATCGGTAATAGCTGACATAAGACTGGTGTGTAACGTTAATATATTTTTCAATTTCTCTGGTCCATTGTCTTCGTTCAGGCAGGGGTAGGGTTAGCTACCACCGCGAATACTCCACTCCACACGTATTCTTTGTTCTTTATGACGCTACGGGGTGACGCCTTTCCACAATTACCAAACCCTGAGACTTCCTTCCCCACGAGCGTGATAGCCACTTAGACTTGTCCTCTCTTTCTCTCTCAACGATCTCAAACCTCACAAACTGAGAGCCAAAAAAAAGGTTGACAAGTCTTTCTCAGGATACAAAGAAAGAGATAATATGAGGGGAGGAAGTCCTTCAGATACGGATAACTTGAGAAGACCCGTGTTTCTTCATACTTTAGATCAGCGTCTGAGGAAGCAGATCGACCAATTAAAACGTTCTTCGGCTTATTATACATGTTGGCCGATTGGAGGAGAGATCGGTATATTCAAAGGGTACTTCAATAATAGTTTCCCAGGATTTCAGGTGAGGTTTTGGTAACGGTCTTTAACAACCTCGACGTCACACAGGAACAAGGGCATACTTTATAGAGTTTTCAACGGGAGGGGCTTCCTGAATACCGAGCATGACCTGGGTTGGCCGCCGACCACAGCTAGCGTGGACGAAGATGGGATATTATTTTCAAAAGGATTGGGGAACGAGCCGAGTTGAGACCAAATGTTCTGACAAATTCTGTTATCCATGTCCGACCCCGTTTATTCTCAAGAACAAAGCGTTTGCCAGACCTGATTTTACTATAGAAAGCCAAAAATAAAATGGCCAGTATATTTTGTGTTGGTTTTTCAAGTTAGTCCGACCCATTGATGCCCTCAACCTCATTCATGTTCTACAGCTGCCTGCGAACACTGGGCGGCGGCTGCAGAGATAGATATTTTCTCAAAAGTAACAAAATGCTTTTGTCGGGATAAGGAGACGGCCCGAGTTCAAGGCAGAGATCCTAATAGGTTCTAATTTTGATGGGCTTCCGTGCTTAATTCCGGGCACAACTCTTTTGCCGGCCTGCGTAGTCATCTATAATAGCTGGACCCCTTGACGCCTCTAAATCTCCAAATCCTCCAGAAACTTCTGACCATTCGACGTGTTCGTGAGGAAAAAGAATGCAAGAAAACGACCGAAGGATACGCCTGTAACGCCCAGAAATAGATTAAGCGAAAGGCTAACTGGTGGGGCAACCGTCCCTGCCACACCATTTGAAGGGACGGCGCCACCACAGGAGGGGAAGACCAGCACACGAGCCATGCCACGTCGACATCGTCAACCTAGGACCGAAGATCCGAATTTTATTTATTATTAGGATCTTCCTTTCATTTAGTTTCCTTTAACGAATTTTATTTATTATTAGGATTAGCGCTGTAATAGACGGTTTGGTGGTAATTTTTGAAAGATTTAGACATCATTTTCAGAATTTGCCCTAAGGTTTCCTCTCAGCCGCCGCCGCTGAGAGGCGACCCTCCTGCGCCCGTCCGCCCATCACAAGCGCACGACTTCCCCTTCCATCCACCCGTGATCCTCCATTCGAGGGCGAACGTCCAGTTTCTCTCGCCGCCGATTGCACCGTCCGCCATCTAGCGCATTATTGTCTACCGTTGGCGGTAGATGACAACAATCACGTCGACGAGTGTTGACCCGTCGTGAGGCCCCGCTTTCAGGTCGTCGGCAGCCGGCGCAGCCACGCGCCCTCCGCCGACGCGCCCGTGACTCTTCCCGCCGCACGACTGCCCATTGCCCTCTCGCGCGACGATTCCAGTAGCCGCCCGTTTCGCCACGGGAACGTCGAGATCCTCCATCGGGCGAGTGCGCGGAATCAACCCCCGGTTTAGGTTTCGGGGCGCTGCCCCGAACCCCGCAAGGGGGCGGCTTCCCCCCTTGATCCCCCCACCATTTGACCGCGCAGTTGGATCCGCGATCCCCGCGCCCAAAGAGCCCAGACCAAGATTGAAGATTGATCAGCAGGTTTTCCAGTTTCCATCTTTCACCGTCCTGCCGCAACTCGAGGCTCGCCGCACCGCCCCTCGCGCTATCTCAGCGCTGAAGGTTCTCTCTTCACTCTTTGGTGATTCATATTATTTCATCCAGTATTTTCTTGTGTGTTTTCCCCACCGCCATCGGATCTACGTAATAGATTTGCGTCTTCTCGTGGTTGAGCATCCAGGATTTTGAATTTGGAGCTTTACTTATCGTGGTGGTTGTAAGACAGTGCTCCCGCCCTCGACCGAGGAACGGGGCTGCACCATCATCATTTTCTCCGAATTTAAAGGTTCGAATCGGTGGTGTGAATTTTGTGGCTTGATTTATCCATCCCTGCATTATTATTAATCAACCCACTCTATGACTCTCGTAGTCATCCTACATCACTAACGGAAAGAAATTAACAAATGCAATGAACAACATGACGTAGGATTTGAGCATCGACGGATTGGTCGTGGATCGTTGACGGGAGTATCAAGCATGCTCCATCCTGCGCCTGTTTTACATATGTACCACGTTGCAAAACGGAGCAAAACGGATAGTCCGTGTGGTTTTTTAACTAGCTGGGCTTTATGATGACGCCCGGATGGGGGATGAAGCGAGGCACAGGGGAGGTCTGTGGGTGCGATCCGAGCTTGCGGGGGTCCATGCCCAAGCTCGGAGCATCTTCCTGGCTCTATCTCAATGTTGAAGGTCAGTTCGGCCCTGCTGATCGGAAAGGGCTTCGTTCATAACGCCTTATCTTGAAATATCTCTTGTATCTCGTACAAGAGGACATGGCCATCCGTTAGAGTCCAACGGGCTCCATTATCAATAACTTAACCGACGACTCAGAAGCGAGGATATGAATAAATAAATAAAATTAGCCCGTGATGCGATTACAAATGAACTGGTCACGGATCACAGTGGTTAATGTAAGTTCCGTCATCAATAGACTAATCAGGGTGTTTGCGGCAAGAATAGGAATATAAAAAAAATGAAGTTAGGATCTGAGACGATATTCATTGGACTGATAGTAGATTCCAAGGACGGGATCAGCATCACGTGAGGGGTCACATGACGGGATAATCATCATATTGGTTTTTCTTTATGAAGCAGTCTCATCCGACAGCGGGTGATAATCGCCATAAGACAAGCTATCCTGGCCCACGTCTTCCATAATATTGAGAGAGAGTGAATATGCCCGAAGAAATCTCCAGCGATCTTTCCGTCGTGTGGAATAGTTTCTCTGCGTGTCGAGACTCGAATCACCCTCTGTCAGAACAGCAGACGTAAGATAAAATTTTTGCCACGTTAGCAAATGCGAGTCGAGAAATTTCTTCGTATAGAAGAAAACGAGAACGGTAGAATTTTGGGCGGTCAATGGGCCTGCCTTGTCAAGCCCAGCCCAAACCTGGATATCTATTTTTACCGGGACCCGGTGTAGGTCTAGAAAACAGGCCCTCAAAAGCAAGCACGGGGATAGATATCCATGAAGCATAGACCAACCTTCTGTCCATTTGTACTTGAAATACTTAGTGGGGGGCTCCATATTCACAAGCATGTGAATATGGGGTAGGGAGATCACATCACTCGTCTCGTTGAGAATAGAAGGGGAGATGAGGATGGAAAACAGGATGGAGGCGGGGGAGAATGAATGGGAACGTGGAATAGGTCCAGGGCTTATGAGCTTCTAGGTTGGACCCTATGTAAGCTCAAACCCTGCCTAAATTGTATTAGAGAAGGACTGGATTCGGCGGGCCTGCAGGCCTATTCAATGCTATTATGTGAATCCCAGCCTGTTAAAAATAAGGCTGGGCTTCATACATAACACCCCCCCTCCCCCTCAAAAGAACAGCCCAAATCAGGACAAAGATTAAAGGTAATTGGTGAGGAGGGGGGAAGCCAAGACATTGTTGGGCTTGAATAAGTTTTACGATCCATCAGAGGCTAAGCTAGGTGAGTCATTTAGTAACGACCACCTCCTGACTCAACCCTTTAGTGACTCATTTAAAACTAGTCTCACCAATATACAGCCACATGCATGACATGTTGGACGTGGATCACAATAATCCCATTTGGGCATCTATAGTTCATCTCCATTGATATGTTTTTGCATGTTCATGTGACAATTAGAACTCATCAAACACCAGCACACTCTATTTTACTTTACTTAATGGGGCAAGCAGATATATAAAGGAAACAACCTCATTAAATTTGTTACAAATGCAAATAAATCTTCCAATCTTCAGTGTGTTAACTTTGGAATGCTTGTTTTTTAAGTTTTCGTGGTCAAGTGACTACATGGTGCTTAATTACATAATACAGTCTTAAACATAATTCATTTCTTTTATGCATGAATCAATTGCATTAATATCTTCATAATTATCATTATCTTTATGTGGAAATCTTGAACTTTTAAAAGCATTTAAGGAGATGTTTTGACTTTCAAATTTCATATTTCTAATCCTATTTTTACAATCAATATTTGCTTTGGTTGTGGCAAGAAATAGGCGTCCTAATATGATTGGTGCATGAGTGAGATTATCTAAAATAGAAATATTTAAAATAAAAACATCTACTAAAAATCTAAATTCTTTAACATGGATAATAACATCTTCTAGGAGACTCCTAGGTGTTTTAATAGATCTAGTAATTAGCTGAAGTTCTACTAAAGTCAGTTTTAGTTCTTCTAATTCAAAATTTTTCAAAATAGTCAAAGATAATAAATTAACATTTACTTTCAAATCTAAGAGCACATTTCTAAATGTAGTTTCACTCACTTTACATGAGATGAGTGGTGCTTTGGATCCTTACATTTCTTACGCAAAGAATGAGAAATAATGACACTAACCTCTTCGGATAAAGATATCTTCTAAGGTGATCTACGAGATGTGTGATGGACACTTGTCGTTGTGTTTAAATACACATTATTTAATAATATTTATAATTAAGACTTAATAAAATACTAGTATAGAAGTAAGTCTTAAGTCGAACACAAGCACATTGATTAATCTATTGTGAAAACTAATCCATCATGAAAATGATAATAACAAAATAGAAGGGTGAGGTGAGAAGAATAAAGGAAGAAAAGTAGAGAAAGGAAAGAGGAAAAGAGAGAAAAGAGAGCACTCATGAGAGAGAGAAGGGATGAGATCTCTCATGAAAGGGAGAGAAAGAGAGAGGAGGAGAGAAATCTCATGTGAGATGGAGAAAGATAAAAGTCTCACGAGAGAGAGAGAGAGAAGGAGAGAGGGAGATTGATTGAGAGAGAGAGCTAGAGAAAGAGACGATTGAAAGAGAGGGAGAGAAAGGGAAAGGTTTCATGAGAGATGGAGAGAGAAGAGAGGTCTCACAAGAGAAGGCGAGAGAGAAATAAGATGAAAATAGAGAAAGAGAGAAATACGATCAACTCGTTTTCACAATGACCATTATTCCTAGACAAATGTGTGCTCAAAGATTCACACACATGACATGACATCAATCGTAAATGTCTCTAGTTTTTTTTACAATTTAATACTCATTAATCAACCTTTAATCTTGATGATTTCACATTCAAAAATAAAAAAATACTCATTATTTGCAGAATGTTGAGAATATGAACATGTCAAGATTCAACTATGAAAATTAATAGAAAATAAGTTTAAAATGATCTTAGCTTGATCTTAGACGAGTTTCAAAGGATTCAAAAGAAGAACGAAGATTGTTCATCAAGTTTTGAATTAGTTCTACTCGTTTCAATCAAAATCTGCATGAAATAGAAATAACCAATTGTAAAATAAAAATAAGTGACAAAAATAGGAAAGTAAATATTGAAAGCAAGAAATAGATTGTTGCTCAAGTTTATTCTATCTTTTGGGCAACTAGAGACACTAGTGTGGTGGCTTGATTTTGTCCATGTCTCACACCATGTTGGAAGTTGCAGAAGTATTGTTCGGAAGAGCCACCGCTTGCTAGAGAGATCCACCAAAAGATGGGCCGACCACATTGTCACCATCATTTGGGGGAAGAAGGGAAGAGCTGACCACTCACTAGAGACTTTGAGTGTAGTCAGAGGAGGAAGGAACGAGCTTTGCTAATCGCTAGAGATGTCGATTGCATAAAAGGAGAGAAGAATGGATTCTTGTATTTGCAACTCCCATTGGGATTTTAACTATAATTGATAATATCTATTTTACTAAATAATAATTGATTATTATATCTAGATTCCTATTAAAGCTAGATTTTTGTGTTTTAATTACTTTTATTATTTTATTTTATTTTATTAACTTTCATAATAAACATAAGATATATTGCTTAGTTGAGGGAGTGACATGACTTAGTTGTTGTATAGTAAATCATGCAAATTTAAAATTTATAAAACTATAAAATATTAATTTTCAAATATTTATAAGTATTTCTGAACAAATATATCAATTATAATTTAATAAAAGTTTCAAAAATAATGAAAATTTTTAAAGTCAATCACAAAGATGTAATATAATATCAAGTAATATTTCAGAATTTTCTTTGAAGAATACAGTTTTTATGAATTTTATACTAAAAATTAAAAATAAAATATATTTAAAATTTGTGAAAAAAAATAAGGAGTGAAGACATCATGATGACGTTAGTGCTTGATAAATGCAAATCAGGTGAAGATAGAGTTTCACTGATGATTTTTACGTAAGTAATTACAAAGGATTCAATTGGTCAAATTAAGATCTGTAAAAGTCAAAAAAATCATAATTGAACAAAGAATAGTTTAGAAAGTGAAAATCACAAAAATTATCACTAAATAAAGTGAGAATTAAGTTGAAAGTAAGAAAAGTAGAGTTCCAACCTCGCGACAGTAATCACTAGAATTTTGTGTGTTTGAGAGGGTCATCAAATGATGTCCGCAACCTCAAAGGCTTTTTTTAGACATAGGTGATTTGGGCATTCGTTAGATCTCCTTTTAAAGTCCAAAAAATGTTAGAAGAAGTGAAACTAATTAAAAAATAGTAAAATATAGTTTTGATGTCGCGGCGGTGATACATTGGCGATGCACCGGAATCCTAAGCATTTGGAAAGATTGTCGTGTAGTGTCTACATCTTCAAAGGCTCTCCTTAGACAAAGATGACGTGGGTAATCTCTAGATATTCTTGCAAAGTCTAGAGATTGATGAAATAGGTTGTCGAATCATCTTCAGTAGCTGTCACCCGGTAGAACGGAAAAATAGTGACTTTGCAGCTCTTCGGCGGCTGTCACCCAATGGAGAGTTGAATAGAGATGGGGTACGTGTCATGGTGCTTCATCCTCAGGTCCACATAGTAAGAGGAAGCTCTTCATCGCATTTTGGTATGCTCTCAAGAGGTGACGACTCACTAGAGACTTTTCATTGCATTTGGCGTCATTGCGGGGGATGTATTACATAATATTTGATATTTTTTTTATTTTTCTCTTAGAATACACAAAAAAAACTCTTATTTTTATTTTCTTCTTGTAGAAAAATTAAAAAAGAAATGAAGAACAACAAGGCAAAGATTGGAATAGACTGAAGGAGGGTAATAATTATTAAAATTTTTCTTCAAATTTATTAATTTTTATGCATGGTCAAAGATCCTTACATCAAAGACTAAAAAATCCTTTCACTTTTATTCAAAACTAAAAATTCAAAAGAAAAAGATCAATTTTTATGGATCTTGAAGATAGTACAGGTCAAATTGATAATAATCCCATGGCCATGAAAAATTATTATATCCCTACATCTAATATTAGAGTCCCATTAGCACCCATAGTTAAATTCGAAATAAATCTAGAAATTTTCCAAATGCTCCTTAATTTTCATAGATTACTTTTAGAGGAACCTTATCAACATTTAGAAAAATTTCATATGGTTTGTGATTTAATTAATCTCCCTCAAGTTACATTAGAAATTATTAAGATGAAATTATTTACTCATACACTTAGGGACAAGACTAGTTATTGGTTATCCACACTAGATAGAGAATTAACTAGTTAAAAAGACATATAATATGAATTTCTTCACAAAAATTATCCTTTAGTGAAAACTCAAAAATATGAGAAAATATATATGAAGTTTTGCTCAAAAGTCAAGAGAAACTTTATATGAGACATAGGAAAAATTCAAAGATTTACATAGAAATTATCCTCATCATGTTATACCAAAGTGACAGCTCGATATAATTTCTTATGATGAATTTTTAGAACAACATTGAAATATGGTTGATTTTGTATGTGGAGGAGTTTTTATAGAGAAAACTCTTGATGAGATTTATAATCTTTATGAGAATTTAAGTAATAATTCTAAAGATAAAATCTCTTTTGAATTATATGACAAGAAGAAGAAGATATAGATTTATGAATTGCATCATGATGATGATTCTAATTCAAGAAATGAGGTCAATTAGATTAATCAAAGATTAAAAAAACTTGATTTACTTAGTGACAATATTAGAAAGCCTCTTAACCTTCAATTTAATGCATATAGTACCTGTCATATCTATGATGAAAATGATCATTTTGAATTTCAATGCTATAACTTTGATCAATCATTTCAGCTTAAGCAAGAGTATGTGTAAGTACCACATGATTTTAGTAGAAATAGAGAATATTTTTCTAATTCTTATAATCTTAATTGAGGAAAGAATTTTTTGTAGAGAGACCTAAATAATACTCAAAATTCAGAAGCACTTAAACCCAATTTAAATTCTGAATTTTGTTCAAAATAGGGACACAGATGTTAGAAAAATCAATCCTATCAAATCCAACCTAATTTTATAGATATGATATAGTAAATACGCCAAATGATGTAAAAAATAATGAACCAAATGATGTTGCAGCAAAAATAATTTATAGAAGCTTTTGAAAATAAGAGAGAAGAGGGACAACCACTTAGTCAACTCATAACAAATTTAAGAAACTATCCAATAGTAAGATTTCAACAAGGAGAGTTTAACTTGAAAAAATTAAAAAAAACCTAAAAAATGAAAATGTTAGGATAATAAATACATTGAGTGACAATATTTTACTTGATCCTTATTTCAAATTATTAGAGGAAATATATGAGTCATTAGAAGTAAATGAGAATATTAAGGCTGAAAATATAGTAGTAGAAAATTTAAATAAAATTATTTATTGCTCACAATTGATGAATGAATATAGTGAGGATGATAAGGAAAAAGAGCCCTTAGATGAAGAAACAACAATTGATCATGAAAAAATAATCTAAATTTTAGTAGAAAGGAGTAAGAACAAAAATAAAGAAAAATATATTTCACGTGAAGAAAAACTAGTTGATTTGGTAGATGTAGAAGATGAATTAATAAATCTAATCAGTATTTTGCAGCCATAGATGTTTATAGTGAGAATGATGATGCATATCATATACCAAAATTAAAAGATAACTCTTGGAAGGATGAAGAATTTGATGAGTTGAGAAATGAAAAGTTAGAAAGAGAGTTGATTTAACTAATGGGGAGAAACGAAAATAATGAATATGAATATATAACTAATTTTAGAGGAAAAAAATTAAATTTAAATGAATTTATTAGATCTGAGATTAAAGTAGACAATTCTTCCATCCTTCAAAACCCAGCCCATTAAAATTATGTCTATGCTTGAAATATTTTACTTATAAAAAATTAAATAAATATGTAGTAAAGATAAAATAGAGTAGGGGAAGATTATACAGATAAAAGAATACATTAAGAAAAGGGTGAGTGGAAGAACTAGAGGTATCATTTTAGATGATTTTTTTTAAATTGAGTAAGAGCTAATTTGAAAATTATATGGACTGATCACATTTTGTAATCTATTGATAAAAGCGTTTACTAATGAATGAGAGCCTTACAAATGAGAACTTTTTTTTTTCAAAATAGAAATATTAATTTTGAGAAAATTTTATTAATTTTCATTTTGTTTTGGCTGAAAGTATGTCAAGGTATATATATGAAGCACATGAAATTATGTTAAATCTGAAAAAGAATATCATGAAATTTACCTTAGGGTATAAATATGTTTTGATGGCCATAGATCATCTTATATGATCTAAAAGTTGTCTAGCTATAGACATTAAATTCAACATTGCATAAGAGACAATCGATGTTTTTTATTTCATTCTATTTGTTTTCCTTAAGTTCTATGTCATTGAGGACAATGTCATTTTTAAGTTGAGGGGTGAAATATTAAATCTTAATTTCTATTGTAGAACGACTAAGAACATGTGTTTGTATTTTTTTTTATGCTCACTTAGAAAAGTAACTAAATTTTTTATAGAAAAACTACAACATTTATTTTCTGGTTTTCTGTCAAGAATAATATAAAATAATTTATAAACTGTCAAAAATAGTAGAGAAAAAACAGCCCAAAATTTAAAATTTTAGAGACCTTTTCTCACATTTCAATCTCCTAGACATATATTACTGAAATTCGTAATTACAACTATAAAGAGGATAGTTTTGATTTATTTTTGACAAATTCATTGTTTTTGAAAATAGAATTGAAAACAGAAAGTAAAACTATTAGAACTATCTAATTTATAAATTTTTTACATCATGTTGCATGCACGAAAAATTAAATCAATTAGATTAATATTGATACCAAAATATACTAGGAACTTTTCTTAAACTATATTTGAGAAATTTGTTCAGAAATACTTCTAAATATCTAAAAACTAATATTTTCTAATTTTATAAATTTTAAATTTACGTAATTTACTATACAACGACTAAGTCACATCAAATTTTAATGGCCCTCAACTTAAATCATTAATAGTCTCTTAATAATAAAATTATAACAATTAAAATTCATAAATCTGAAAACATCATATTTTAGTATAAAAAAAAATACAATTAGAAGTGATGCACTTCTAGACACTTTGGACTCTTATATCAAGTATTTAAGAATGATATCAAGCACTTAAATATTTGCGCACTCATTAGAATAATCATCTAGACTTCACTTCTTCTATTCACATCTTTATCACTTCTTCACTCATAGATATAATCCACAAGATATTCTAATTATCAATATTCATCTAAAAATAATATTAATCTTATATTTTTATTTTTTCATGGCTTGATTTTTAAACTTTATATTATATTTCTTCTATTTTTTCTATAGTGAATAAGTAGTTTTTCTTGTAGACAAATTTTGACCATAAGAATGATGTCTCACACCGTCCATTTGTATTCTTCATTTTCAGGACTTTCATATTATTTACTTATTTTGCAGCAATTATTTTTCTATGGATGATTTTCGACAATGAGAATGATGTCTCACACCCTCCATTTATATTATTCATTTTTAGATTTTTCACATTGCTATTTTTTTTAATTCCAAAATAAGTGATTTCTCTTCACAAGTCCTATAGATCAAGGTGTAAATATCACTATTAAACTCAAATAAGCAATCAAATTTTCACATCAAGTAAATACTATCTATCAAGATTACGAAGTGAAAATCTGTAAAATCAAATCTATGTTATTTAGCATGTATTCAAAGAGTATTATAACATTTCATGCTACTAAATCATTCTTTTAACTCATTTATAGCTTTTCGGTGACTATCACCTGATAGAGTGGAGTTAGATGGTGGTTCATCCTTAAGTCCACATAGGAAGAGGAGGTTCTTCATTGCATTTGATATGCTTTCAAGAGGTGGCGACCCATCTCTAATAAAATAAAATCAAGGGTCGTTGAAAGCCCTAAAATCTCTTGATCAAAAAAATATTTATAATCATGAATTTATTAAATAAAAATACTAAAATAAGTAATACTCTAGTGAACTTGAGGTTGATCCACAAGGAATGGAAATTAGACATACTTAGTTACTATTTAAATCAAATGACCATCAAAAGAGAGGTGACCACAACTAAAAAGAATTTTTGCTGTTGGAAATGGGGGAAAATAGAAAATCAACAATGTGGACAATGCTAGAGAAGTGAACACACATATAAAAGACTCGTAATGCAGAATCAAAACTATAAATCACTCTATTTCAAACCTACGAATACCTAAGTGATTGATCATGTGTGGAGCACATCGAACTTAGATGAACTTACCTCAGGCCTCTATATGTTGTCAAGGCCAGGTGGTTTCCTCTTCGAGTAGCTATTCTGATGCTTTGAACATGGCTCTACGCTTTGAATCCACACTTGAATCAACCAAAACACATCCAAATCTGATGTCAAACCTCAATGATGTTTCATGTGAGCTGACAAAATGTCGGGGCATTTGAAGTTACATTCTTCCACCCCTAAATGGTAGCTTAAATGCATAAGGGTTTATACGAGAGGATGAGAATACATGTGTAGGGCTATAATTAAATGAGGATATTTCTATCTTTTTGCCCGTGATAAAATCGGATGAGAGACGGTTTCTTCTCGAGTTGATCTAAAGCATTGGATTTGGAAGTCTTATCGTAGCTGTCAAATCTTCTTGAATGTTGAGATCCACTACACCCTTGGTAAGTATGCTCCATCTACCGTTGATTGTGTGGACATTTTTGATGGCTTTTGATCTCCTCATTTGATGATGCTGTGTGTCAATGCCTCAACCCTTGATTTCGTTGCCTCATCTCCACATATCAGATCTTGTCCGTTGAAGCATATATTGGCCTCCTAAAAACCATAAAAAGAAATTAAAAATCTCTAAAATTCTCTCATATTAATAAAAAATTAATTATGATTGTAAAACTCAAAGAAAAATTATTAAAACTTTTAAAAAATATCAAACTCAATGAAATACCTAAAAAAATAATAAATATTTATTTTTAATAAGATAACATGCTACATTATAAATGTCATAATCAATATATTATTACTCTTTTAGTAGATCATCATCTTCTTGACGACTACTTGTTCATTGATCAATCGGAGATGATTTACTTGATGGATTCACGATCCTTTTATTGCGACTCATTCAGTACTTTTAGTAACAATGCTTTGCGAACCACATTGACAAGATTTTTATCGATGATTAAGCAATTTGCTGACTTAATACTTCACCAGCGATATGTAAAAAAATCACGATTTAATTAGATAAAAAAATATTTTTTGACTTCAAAAAGATTTAAACCTGTGCTAGTCATTTGCTTACATGAGAGGGAGTGAAATAAGTACTATAATACCCTTATAAAGGGGTGTCATCATGCTATATCATTCTTATAACTAATAGGTATCTTAAGTATTGAAATAATCGACATCATTCTAGGGAAGGTGTGACATGGCTTTAGTCTCACATCATTTGTTTGTCGAAGTTTTGGACAAATATAGAGTAATATCAAATTTATAAGTAATGAGCCCCTTTCTCGTGTGTATGACTGCTCCTTGTCTCACAACCAGCTGGCCACTAGTGACATGGAAGGGGAGTGGTGCACACATGCCCCCATCGGTCTATAGCTACTCAAGTCTCTACTTGTGGCTCTGCCTTGATTGCACTTCTGACCTACTTGCGGGCCCAACTGGTCGGTAGGTCCTTTTTTTCTATTTTTTTAAATTTTCTTTTTCTTCATATATCTTCAAAAATAGAATTATAAAAATCATATATATTTTTATAAAATTATATAATTAACAAAAAAATCACATTAATCCACTAACACTATTTTTCATAAATTAACATAAATATAAATCTATTTATCATGAGTAAAGGCTAAGACTATATTATTTATTAATTATTAACTCATGATAATGAAGACTTATTAAGGAGCTATGAGCTGGGCTTGAGTGATGAAGGACTCACTCTATGCATGTGTGCGTCACTCCCCTTTCACATCTTGGTGGTCAACTGGTCGTGGGGCAAGGAGTATCTATACACACGTGCTTGTGCGAGGGTAAACTAATAAGTCTTTATTATCATAAGTTAATAATTAGTAAATAATATAGTTTTAGTTTTAACTCATGATAAATAGACTTATATTTGTGTTAAAGTGTGAAAAGTAGTTTTCAATTGATTAACGTGAATTTTTGGGTAATTATGTGATTTTATACGAATTTATATGATTTTTACAGTCTTAGTTTTGAGATAAATGAAGAATAAGAAATAAAAATAGAAATATTACAAAATGGGGGGACCCGCTGGGCTGGCAAGTGGGTCAGAAGCGTAGTTGGGGAGTAGCCGTGAGTAGGAGCTCGAGTGGCTTGAACCAATGGGGGCACGTGTGCGCCACTCCCCTTCCACGTCACTGGTGGCCAGTTGACTGTGGGACAAGGAGTGGTCGTACACACATGCTTGATCATGAATGTAATATTACTTTATCTTCGCTAGAAACTTTGGCGCACAATTGATGTGGGACTAAACCCGCGTCACCTTCCCTCGAAAGGGGGGGCAACCGGCGTGGGTTCGAATCCTCCCAGAGCCAAAACTCACATTTTTATCTGATTATCGCAACTTTCCTATAGATCGCTGGTGAAGGATTAAGCAACTAAAATCACTAGATCATCAGTGAAAATCTTGTCAATGTAATTCGCAAAGTATTGTTACTAAAATTGTTGAAGGATTCACGATAAAAGGATCGTGAATCGAGTAAATCATCTCCGATTGATCGACGAACAAGTTGTCATCAGGAAGAGGATGATCTACCGGGAGACAAGTCACCACCACTTGAGAGCGTACCAGATGCGATGAAGAGCCTCCTCTTGCTGCACGGACATGAGGATGAAGCTCCTTGACATGCACCTTACCTCCATCCAACTCCTCTCCAGCAAGTGACAACCGCCGGAGAGTCGCAAAGTTGCTGTTTTTCCGCTTCGCCGGGTGATAGCCGCTAGAGATGATTCAACGACCCATTTTGTTAATCTCTAAACTTTGTAAGGAGATCTAGAGATTGCTCACATCATCCTTGTCCAAGGAGAGCCTTCAAGGCCATGGACACTACATGACTATCCTCCCAAACACTCAGGATTTTAGTGCATTGTCGACGCATCACTGTTGTGACATCGGAACTCTATTTTCCTACTTTCAACTTACTTTACGCTTCATTTAGTGATAATTTATGTGATTTTAATTTACCAAAATATACTTCGTTCACTTATGATTCTTTTGATTTTACAAATCTTAATTTGATAAATTAAATTGTCTATAATCGCTTACGTAAGAATCATCTTGACGTCTGCACCCTTATTTCCCTTTTTTGTGAATTTTAAATATATTTTTTTTCATTTCTTAGTATAAAATTCATAGAAAATAGTATTCTTTGAGAAAATTTTTGAATAATTACCAGATATTATATTACATCCTTGTGATTGACTTGGAAAATTACTACTATTTTTTTGGAAGTTTTATTGAATTATAATTGATATATTTGTTTAGAAATACTTCTAAATATCAAAAAAATCATATTTTCTAGTTTTATACATTTTAGATTTGCGTGATTTAATATACAATGACTAAGGCATATCACAGACCACCTTTTTGCCTTCTCTCAAGATGGTCCTAGGCATTATTTTTTTTTGAGAGAAGGGATCTTTACTAAGAGAGAGAAACTTTGATTTATCTTCAGCTTAAATGGTGGCAAGCTTTTGATGTGGGACTAACCATTTTTGTCCATTTCAGCTTAGTCATCTAAAGCACAATGTGATCCAGTAGTATTTAGTGAGCCACATCATCAAATTAACCTGATCTTGCAGGTGACAAACCACCACGATACTAGATGTGTAAAGTGATCCATCAACGGTTTGAAATTTGACACCACTCAGCATGCACATGACCTTAAAGGATGATTTGACGGCTAAAGTGGCACTATGGTACCATGAACTTAAGTTCTCAATCGACTGTGGTTCGCGGCAAGTTGATCTTGTTTGGCTTAGTGGGCAATGTGACCAAGCACATTTGATCTAGTGGCTCTTGAAATGCCATGATACTAGGAATTTCAATTCTCAGACATACCATCATTAGGGATATAAAGACAATAATTGATTATTATATAGTAAATAGATATTATCAATTATCTTTAAAATCTCGACAGTTGACACAAAAATGACAATCTGTTCTTCCATCCTTTTGCATGATTGACGTCTCTAGTGAGTCTTCTCCCTCTAGACAACATTGTCAACATAGTCGACCCCTCTTTCAATGGATCTCTCCGACAAGTGGTAAAGTGCTTCCAAATGATACTTCTACTGACTTCCAACGTGGTGTAGCATGTCCGAATGAAACCAGCCACACCGATGTCTCTAGTTGCCCATGAGGCAAACTAAACTTGGGCAATGATTTATTCTATACTTTTAGGACTTACTTACTTTTGTCATTTATTTATATTTTACAATAAGTTCTTTCTATTTCATGAATATTTTGATTGAAATGAGTAGAACTAATTCAAAACTTGATGAATGATCTTCATTCTTTTTCTGAATCCTCTGAAACTTGTCTAAAATTAAGGTAAAATCATTTAAAACTTATTTTTTATTGATTTTTACTGTCAAATCTTGATTCATGTTCTTGGCATTTCATGAATAAGAAGTATTTTTCTATTTTTAAATGTGAAATCACCAAGATTAAAGGCTGATTAATGAGCATTTAATGGTTACAATAAATTAAAGATGTTCACGGCTGACCTCATGTCATGTGTTTGAATTCTCGAGCACATATTTATTTGAGAATAATGGTCACTATGAAAATGGATTGACCGTATTTCTATCTTTCTTCATTTTCATCTTATTTCTCTCTGCTCTCTCTTCCTCTCCCTTTCGTGAGAGATCTCATCCCTTCTCTCTCTCGTGAGAGTTTTCTCTCCTCTTCTCTCTTTCTCTCCCTTTCGCGAGAGACTTCATCCCTTCTCTCTCTCGTGAGAGCTTTCTCTCCTCCTCTCTCTTTCTCTCCCTTTCATGGGAGATCTCACCCCCTCTCTCTCTAGTGAGAGCTCTCTCTTTTCTCTCTATTTTACTCCTTCCTTTTCTTCATTTTCCTTCTTTATTCTTTTCACATCACCCTTCTATTTTATGATTTCCATTAAATAAGGATAAAATATTAAAATCACTTTTTATGTATACTAAATTAGTTTTCATGATGAATTAATCAATCTCTCTGTGTTAGACCTAATACTTACTTCTTTACTAATATTTTATTAAGTCTTAGTCGTAAATATTATTAGATAATGTGTATTTAAATACAACGACAAGTGCACATCAATTCTTGACAATGATATATGCAAGAGCTTAAGTTCCTAGTATTGTGGAAACTCCTTAGTCATCAAATCATCTTTTAAATCTATGTTCGTGTTGAGCGATGTGACGTGACTTAGTCATTGTATAGTAAATCACGCAAATTTAAAATTTATAAAACTAAAAAATATGAATTTTTAGATATTTAAAAGTATTTCTGAACAAATATATCTAGTATAATTTAATAAAACTTCTAAAAATAGCGATAATTTTCCAAGCCGATCATAGGGATGTAATATAATATTTGGTAATTATTAAAAAAATTTCTCAAAGAATATTATTTTATATAAATTTTATACTAGGAAATGAAAAATAAATATATTTAAAATTCATGAAAAAGGGAAATAAGGGTACGGACGTCAAGATGGCGTCAGCTCCCGACAAACGTGAATCAGACAAAAACAAAGTTCCACCTGGTGATTCTTACATAAGTAATTACAAATGATATAATCGATCAAATTAAGATTTATAAAAGTCGAAAGAATCGTAATTAAATGAAGTATATCTTGGTAAATTTAAATCACACAAATTATCACTAAATGAAAGGTAAAGTAAGTTGAAAGTAAGAAAACAGAGTTTTGGCGTCACGACGGTGATGCATCAGCAATGCATCAGAATCTTGAGTGTTTGGAAGGATCGTCATGTAGTGTCCATGACCTCGAAGGTTTTCCTTAGACAAGGACGACGTGGACAATTTCTAAATCTCTTTGCAAAGTCTAGAGATCAATGAAATGGGTAATCGAATCGTCTCTGGTGACTATCACCTGACGAAGCGAAAACCAACAACTTTGCAGTTCTCTTGCGGCTGTCACTCGCAGAGAGGAGTTGGATGGAGGTGGGGCATGTGTCAGGGAGCTTCATCCTTAGGTCCACGTAACAAGAGGAGGCTCTTCATTGCATTTGGCATGCTCTCAAGAGGTTGTGACTCGTCTCTCGACGGATCATCTTTTTCCTGACGACGACTTGTTTGTTGATTAATTGGAGATGCCTTACTCGATGGATTCACAATCTTTTTATTGTGAATCGTTTAGTAATTTTAGTAACAATGCTTTGCAAATCACATTGACAAGATTTTTGTCGATGATCCAACAATTTTGGCAGCTTAATCTTTCACCGGCAGTTTGTAGGAAAGTCATGATAATTAGATAAAAAAATATAAGTTTTGACTCTAGTAGGATTCGAACCCGTGCTGGTTGCCTGCCCTTTCTGGGGAAGGTGTGATGTAGGTTTAGTCCCACATCGCTTGTGCGCCAAAGTGTCAGGCGAATATACTCTAATGTTACATTTGCAAGCAAGTCCCTTTCTCGTGCATGTACGACCACTCTTTGCCCCACAACTGGCTGGCCACTAGTGACGTGGAAGGGGAGTGGCGCACACGTGCCCCTATTGGTCCAAGTTGCTCGAGCCCCTGCTCACGGCTACTCAACTACGCTTCAGACTCGCTTGCGGGCTTGGCTGGCCAGCGGGTCCACCCCATTTTGTTTTTTTTTTAATTTCTTTTTCTTCATTTATCTCAAAAATAAGACTATAAAAATCATAGAAATTTATATAAAATCACATAATTACCCAAAAATTCACGTAAATCAATTGAAAAACACTTTTCATATTTTAACACAAATATAAATCTATTTATCATGAGTTAAGGCTAAAACTATATTATTTACTAATTATTAACTCATGATAATGAAGACTTATCACGATGTTAGATTCACAAATTGTTGATGGATCACTTTACACATCTAATATCATGGCATTATATCCACCGATGATGTGGCTTGCTAAATACCACTAGATCACACAACACTCCAAATGACTGCACTGAAACATATGAAAATAGTTAGTCCCACATCAAAAGTTTGAGATGATTTAAGCTGAATATAACTCAAAGTTATTCTCTTAGTAGAGATCCCTTCTCCTGAAATAAAATAATGCTCATGACTATCTTGGGAGAAGGCAAAAAGGGGGTCCACCTTCGTGCGTGCATGTGCGTACGGATGCTCCTTGCTCCATGACTGGTTGGCCACTAGGACATGGAAGGGGAGTGATGCACATGTGCATGTAGTGAGTCCTTTGCCACTCGAGCCCAACTCGTGGCTCTCCTTATTTGAGTCTACCCACTCGATTGCACTACCCCTCTAGGTCAATTGTTGAGTGTTGACTTGCCAATGGGCAGAATATTTTTATAATTTATTTTGTATATATTTTTAAATGATATAAAATTACACGAATATTTTAACTTCAAACTTATAAAATTAACACAACATTCTATATTTAGTTTTCAAGTTAATAAAATAAAATAAAATAAAATAATAAAACTAATTAAAACACAAAAATCTAGCTTTAATAGTGTGTATAATTCTTTTAAAAATTTCACATATGTAGGTATGTGTTTAATTACATCTACCAAAGGAATAGAGATATGAACTTGTTTAAATATTTCCATAAGTTCTTCATTAGGTTCAACTCTTTTCCTAAGTTTTGGTTCTACTATCTTAGGAAAAGGGACTATTTTTCTAAGTTCATCTTGCTATGATAAAATAGGAATGGTTGGTATTTTTGATTTTTCTTTTTTTGATTCTTATTTTTCTTCCTCTAAATTCTCATCATCAGAAAATAAACTATTATGTTCATTATCCTCATCATTCAGCACTTCATCATTATTAACGTATTTTTCTAGAAAATCTGATGCATATGAATCTTTGAGTTGCATTCCACTCCTAAAAGTTGTCATCACTTCTACATTTTCAAAACCTTGAGATGTAGATGGTTCATCGCTATTAGAAGACTGATTTTGACTTCATGATGGGTTGACTAGGAAGATGACCTGTTTCACATTTTGAATTGGCCAAGACTAATTTACCTATCTCTTTTTCTAACCTAAGAGTTGTTTGCTGATTTTCTTATCTAATTTTCTCCCTCATTTTCATCATAGATATATTTATTTCCTGAAATTATTACATCATTTGTCCCATAAACTGTTGCACTGATTTTGAATTCATATCAGATTGATTTTGATATGAATTAGGATATTGTGGGTTAAAATTGGGGACCGAACTTGTAGAAGAAGGGGTGAAATTGTGGGCTAGTAGCTAATGAGTACCTTGCTAGAAATTATGACTATTTTGATGAAAAGAGGGCTTAGCATTATATTGTGGTTGATGAGGAGGTCTAAATGCATGATTAGGTCTATGAAATGATTGATAATGCATGACATGATTTTGAGAATTTAAAAAATTATTCTAATTTTCTAAGGATTTGACTGATTCCTATGATCATGAAGTGCATGTGTATGCTCTTGATCTAAATTAGGATATTTAGATTTATAATGATCAGTCCTATCACATGATGAACATCTATAATATGAATATTGTGTCCCTTTTTATGTAGCAAATGATTATATAAAACATTTAACTTTTGATGAACCTCACTAACTTCATTTCTAATGTCTAATGTATCATTATTTCTAATCTCAAATATTTTTCTTTTATTTTCATTATTGTTGTGATCATATAAAGCAAAATATTCACTTTTAGCAGAATTTCTACTTAAATTTTTAGATAATTTATAAATTTCATCCTCATCATTACTCATGAATGTGCCTCCACATGTAGCATCTATACTGTTTTTATGATTTAATTGTCATTTGGTAATTTCATGATGTGGACATCTCCTTTAAAGCTCCTTGAATCTTTTTCAAGATTCATGGAATACTTCTCCTAATTTTTGAGTAAATTGGAGAATGACTTTCTAGATGGCATAAGTCTTGCAAATGGGATAGAATTTTCTAAAAATACTTGCTCTAGTTCTAATTATGTGGTGATTTCATGTGGTAATGATGTGAGCTAATCTCTAGCTTTATCATGCAATGAATATGAGAAGAGACGTAACCTAAGTGTATCTTAAGGAATATTAGGAAAATGAATAAGTTCACATGCAACTAGAAAACAAAGAATATGTTGATGTGGTTCCTCATTAGTTAACCCACGAAATTCAGAAAGTATTTGTAGAGTGCTATGATGAATATCAAAATGAGCATTTGGCAAAATAAGAGGTATAACTTGCAAAGTAAGTCTATATAAATCAAGTGTATAATAATCACATATAGGTTTATAAAGTTGAGTATTTTCAACATTCTCACTCTCTTAGGCTGGATGATCCATTCTAGGTGATTCTACTTCAATAGAAGATGATTTTTTTCCTTTTTCTATTATTGGAGTCATTAACATGGGTGGTAAATTTCATTTTTCTTGTGCTCCTAAATTCTTAGATTGGTTGGTAGTTAGATTTTCTAAGATTGGTTGCAAGCTGTATCTACCATTCATTAATTAAGTTTTTTATAATTTAAATATAGCAATGATCATGACATGAATATATAATTCTAATAAGTATGTCAAAGAGAAGTATAAAATTAATGTGAAATTTAAAATACTCAAGTAAATAAATAGAAATTAAAGAGTTAAAATTCTAATTTATGAAATAAATAGAAATCAATTGAGCCTAATAAACTTTTTTTTCATTTTTCGAAATAATATTTAAATGAAATAATAAAAATAATGAAAGGTCTAATAATTATATTTTTAAAAAAATCACTGAAATATGAAAAAAACTAAATCAATTAACACTAATTGAAAACAAATCTCCTCAACAATGATGCCAAAAAGATGATGTGCACTTGTCATTGTGCTTAAATGCACATTATCTAATAATATTTATAACTAAAACTTAATAAAAGATTAATATAGAAGTAAGTCTTAGGTCGAACATAGGGAGATTGATCAATTTGTCATGAAAAGTAATTTAGTTTATATATAAAGTAATTTTAATATTATATTAATATTTAATATAAATAATAAAATAGAAGGGTGAGGTGAGAAGAATAAAGAAGGGAAGTGAAGAAAAGGAAGGAGAAAAAGAGAGAGAGAAGAGATAGGAAAAGTTTCATGTGAGATGGAGAGAGAGAGAGAAGAGAGAGAAAGAAATCTCATGTGAGATGGAGAGAGAGAGAGAAGAGAGAGAAGGAAATCTCATCTGAGATAGAGATAGAGAAAGGTCTCATGAGAAAGAGAGAGGAGAGAGAGAAGGAAATCTCATGTGAGATAGAGATAGAGAAAGGTCTCACGAGAAAGAGAGAGGAGAGAGAGAGAAGAGAGAGGAAGATCAATTGTTAGAGAGAAAGAGAAAGAGATTGATCAAGAGAAAGGGAGAGATCTCACGAGAGATGGAGAGAGAAGAAGCAGTCTCATGACATATATATATATATATATATAAGACAAAGATAAAGAAGGAGAGAAATACGGTCAACTTATTTTCATGGTAAACATTATTCTTAGATGGATGTGTGCTCGAGAATTCACACACATGACATAAGGTTAGTGATAAGTCTTCATTATCATGAGTTAATAATTAGTAAATAATATAGTTTTAGCCTTAACTCATGATAAATATAGTTATATTTGTGTTAAAGTGTGAAAAGTGGTTTTCAGTTAATTAAAGTGAAAATTTGGGTAATTATGTGATTTTATATAATTTTTATAGTCTTACTTTTGAGATAAATAAAGAAAAATAAATAAAAATAAAAATATTACAAAAATGGGGGGACCCGCTGGCCAGCCGGGCCTGCAAGCGAGTTAGAAGCACAATCGGGGGGTAGCCGTGAGTAGGGGCTCGAGTAGCTTGGACCGATAAGGGCACGTGTGTGCCACTCCCTCTTCCACATCACCAATGGCTAGCTAGTTGTGAGGCAAGGAGTGATCGTACACGTGAGAGAAGGGACTTTGCTTAGAAAGCTAACATTACTATATATTTGCTTGAAAAATTGGCGCACAACCGATGTGGGACTAAACCCCCGTCACACCTTCTTTAGAAGAGGCAGGCGACTGGTGTGGGTTCAAATCCTCTCATAGTCAAAATTCATATATTTTTATGTGATTATCGCGACTTTCCTACAGATCGTCGGTGAAGGATTAAGCAACGAGAATCGCTAGATCATCACCAAAAATCTCGTCAACGCGATTCGCGGAGCATTGCTACTAAAATTGCTGAATGATTCGCGATAAAAAGATCACAAATCCATCAAGTAAATAATCTCCGATTGATCGACAAACAAGCCATCGTTGGGAAGATGATGATCTGCCAGGAGACGAGTCGCCACCTCCTAAGAGCGTACCAGATGTGATGAAGAGCCTCCTTTGACTGTGCGGACCTGAGGATGAAGCTCCTTGACATGCGCCCCACCTCCATCTAGCTCCTCTCTGTTGGGTGACAGTCGCTAGAGAGCCGCAAAGTCACCGTTTTTCCGCTCTGTTAAGTGACAGCCACCGGAAATGACTCGACGACCCATTTCATTAATCTCTAGACTTCACGAAAAGATCTAGAGATTGCCCACGTCACCTTCGTCCAAAGAGAGCCTTCAAGGCCATGGACACTACACGACAATCCTCCTGAACGCTCAAGATTCTGGTGCATTGCTGACGCATCGCCGTCATGACACTGGAACTCTGTTTTTCTATTTTCAATTTACTTTATGCTTCATTTAGTGATAATTTTTGTATTTTTAATTTACCAAAATACACTTTGCTCAATTACGATTTTTCCAACTTTTACAAATCTTAATTTGATTAATTAAATCATATGTAAGTGCTTATGTAAGAATCACTGGGTGGAACTCTATTTCTGCTCGATTCGCATTTGCCAAGTGCTGACATCATCTTGATGCCCGCACCCTTATTTCCTTTTTTTGTGAATATTAAATATATTTCATTTTCATTTCTTAGTATAAAATTCATATAAAATAGTATTATCTAAAGAAAATTCTAAATAATTACCAGATATTATATTACATCCCTATGATTGACCTGGAAAATTATTGCTATTTTTGGAAGTTTTATTGAATTATAATTGATATATTTGTTCATAAATACTTCTAAATATTCAAAAATTTATTTTTTTTAGTTTTATAAATTTTATATTTACGTGATTTAATATACAATGATTGAGTCGCGTCGATTAGTCATGAATGTCTCTAATTTGCTTTAACCATTAGATTCTCATTAATCAGCCTTTAATCTCAATGACTAATGAACTCAAATTAAAATTTAAATATGTTGTTGTGACACAATCAAATTCATGTAAATAATATTTATAAAATCTTACTCTTATATTTATGATAAGTAAGGGTCGATCCTTAAAGAGCATGGGTATTGTAAGTAAGAATTTCACTTATTTTATTTTATATATATATATATATCCTTGAGATTGTGAAGGGTGAAATTAAATGTAAAAGAGTAAAGACAAGAGTTATGAAAAACGTGACAAAGAGGATAAAATAGATCTAATGTAATGAAATGATAAAATAAATGATAAAACTAATTCAAATTAAAAGTTAATTTATCTATGGAGAGGATTACAAAGACATCCAAAATCTGGACATTGCACAAACCTCGTTGTGCGTTAGTTCTAAGTCGAATGATACTTGATCCAAGATGATCTTGATACGCTTCAAGTAATCTCTTCTTCATGATGATTTTAGGCACGGGAATGCTTTTAATCAGGCCTTGATTTTTCTCTTATTTCCTTTAACTAGTCACTACTAAAGAGAGAGCCAAAAAGCGCCCTCTAAGAAGGGGGTGAAATACCTTAATCCTCTCGAGAATTAGGCCCCTCTAATGGATGGTTATGATTAATAACCAACTCTCTTAGTGGACGGCCTAGATCATTTCATGAGGGTGGTGCTCTAATCCTTCTTTTAATCTCATCTTAAGGTGCCCTAAGATAGGCGGCCTAGATCTCATCTCTTGATAGCCCTTTTAAGTCCAAATGGGCTAGGCCAAGATGATGCTCTCTCTTGGGCCATAAATATATTAGGCCAACTGATAGTATGTTAAAACTACTCATTAATTACCTTAAAGTGAATATATTTTAGGATTAAATATCTTGTTTTAGCATGTTATCATCCATAAAATAGCCAAATAGTAACTTCATAATTATTATAAAAAATACTTATTTCACAAATATTTTTGAATTTTTTATGATTTTTTTGAATTTATTTTGATATATTTGAGTTGAGGATATTTAAGTAATTTAGGGATATATATATATTATTTCACACATTCTAAGGGTTTTTCCATAATTTTCCCCAATTAACGACACGTTTCAGCCACATAAGTTTTATATATATTTGGTGCACTGTTGTATGTGATGTGCGGCGACACTCTCTTTTCTTCTTTTAGCACTTACCTAAATGTCTTCTTGAAAATCTAGCTTAAGAAAAACTTAAAACACTCACTATAGTCAGAAATCACAAGATCAAAGTGTTTTCTTCCAACATATGACACCAATATTTTTAGTAGTTACATTATTCTTTATCAACCTCAACCACTATTTCTCATTAAAATACTCTCAAAACTTCTTTTCTACACTCCCTAGGTCAATCATGATCTAGGGTTTCCTTCATTACACCTCATTTCACTCATATTTTTCATCTGCCACTCATCTCCCATCTCTCTTTCTCTTGTCAATTTTCTTACTTATTTCTTCTCATTACTTAAGATTTCTTAAGATCATTAGTCTTTCTCCTTGTGGTTCGACTCTTGATAAGTCTTCATTATCATGAGTTAATAATTAGTAAATAATATAGTTTTAGCCTTAACTCATGATAAATAGACTTATATTTGTGTTAAAGTATGCAAAGTAGTTTTCAATTGAGTAACGTGAATTTTTGAGTAATTTTGTGATTTTATATGATTTTTATAGTCTTACTTTTGAGATAAATGAAAAAAAAGAAATAAAAATATAATATTGTAAAATAGGGAGTCCCACCAACCAGTTGGGCCCACAAGTGGATCGAAAGTCCAGTCAAGGAGGAGTCGTGAGCTAGGGGCTCGAGCAACTTGGACCGATAAGGCACATTTGTGCCACTCCCTTTCCATGTCACCAGTGGTCAACTGACTGTGGGACAAAGAGTGGCTGTACATACGTGAGAAAGGGACTTACTTAAAAATCTAACATTACTATATATTCGCCCAAAAATTCAGTGCACAACTGATGTGGGACTAAACCTATGTCACCTCCCTAAAAAAGGCGAACAACCAGTGTGGGTTCGAATCCTCCTAGAGCCAAAATTTATATTTTTTATCTGATTATCGTGACTTTACTATAGATCACCGATGAAGGATTAAGCAACTAGAATTGTTAGATCATCAGTGAAAATTTCGTCAACATGATTCAGGGAGCATTGTTACTAAAATTTTTGAACGATTCGCAATAAAAGGATCACGAATCTATCAAGTAAATCATCTCCGATTAATTGACAAACAAGCCATCATTGGGAAGAGGACGATCAGCCGAGAGACGAGTCGCCACCTCTTGAGAGCGTACTAGATGCGATGAAGAGCCTCCTCTTGCTGCGCGAACCTAAGGATGAAGCTCCTTGACACGCGCCCCACCTCCATCTAGCTCTTCTCCGTTAGGTGACATCTTCCGGAGAGCTGCAAAGTTGCTATTTTTCCGCTCCACCGGGTGATAGCTGCCGGAGACGATTCGACAACCTATTTTATTGATCTCTAGACTTTGCAAGGAGATCTAGAAATTGGCCACATCATCCTTGTCCAAGGAGAGCCTTCGAGGCCATGGACACTACACGACTATCCTCCTGAATGCTCAAGATTTCAATGCATCGCCGATGTATCGTCACCATGACACCGGAACTCTATTTTCCTACTTTCAACTTACTTTACGTTTCATTTAGTGATAATTTGTTGATTTTAAATTTACCAAGATATACTTCATTCTATTACGATTCTTTCGGCTTTTACGATTCTTACATAATCGCTTACGTAAGAATCATTGAGCGGAACTATGTTTTTGCCTAATTTGCATTCGCCAGACGTTGACATCATCCTAACGTCCGCACCCTTATTTCACTTTTTCGTGAATTTTAAATATATTTTCTTTTCACTTAATAATATAAAATTCATACAAAATAGTATTCTTTGAGGAAAATTCTAAATAATTACCAAATATTATATTACATCCTTATGATCGACTTGGAAAATTACCACTATTTTTGGAATTTTTATGGAATTATAATTGATATATTTTTTTAGAAATACTTCTAAATATCTAAAAATTTATATTTTCTAGTTTTATAAATTTTAAATTTACATGATTTACTATATAATGACTGAGTTACGTCAACCCCTATCTTACCTTCTCTACTTATTAGATTGATTATGATAGTAAAAATATAAATAGTTTTAAATAACCTCACTTAGGACCTACGACATCCCAAGTCTTGAGTTATCATCAACCCTCTCTATAAGGCTTAGGCTTTTTATTATGTTGAAGGCTTGGACTTCTTCTTTTATTTTCAACTCATAATAAGAGCTCACTTAAGTCTTTGTATGCAAATAATTATCAAAAAAATGTGAGAGAATCATCACTTGACTTCATAAAAGTAAAGTGAGGTTAGTCTCATAATATAATTAAAAATAAGTAAAATAATATATATTAAGACTTAAATGATAAAATATTATAATGTCATAATAAGTCAGTAACACATGTATAATTATATTATCTACCTATTAATTAACACCTATATATATAAGATATTAATATATAGGTGCAACTACTATTTTGCAACTATTAGTGACTACGTGTTCGAAAATAAAAATATATTTCTTATTTGTGAAACACTGAAAACATAAATATGTCGAGATTCAACTATGAAAATCAATAAAAAATAAGTTAAAAATGATCCTAGCTTAATTTAAGACAAAATTTAGAGGATTTAGAAGAAGAACGAAGATCGTTCATCAAGTTTTGAATTAATTTTACTCATTTCAATCAAAATATGTATGAAATAGAAATAATTTACCATAAAAGAAGATAAGTAAATACTAAAAGTAAGAAATAAATTATTGTCCAAGTTTAATCTGCCTCTTAGACAATTGGAGACAAGTGTGGCGGCTTAGTTTTATTTGGACATGCCACACCACATTGGAAGTCATAGAAGTGTTGTTTGAAAGTGCTGCGTCGCTTGTCAAAGAGATCTATCGAAAGAGGGGTTGACCACATTGTCACCGTTGTCTGTGGGAAAAGGAAAGAACTCACCACTCACTAGAGGCCTTACGTATAGTCAAGGGAGGAAGGAACGAGCTTTGTCGATCACCAGAGACGTTGATTGTGCAAAAGAAGGGAAGAACGGATTGCCGTATTCACGATTGCTATCAAGATTTTAAAGATAATTGATAATGTCTATTTTACCAAATAATCCTTAATTATTATCTTTATATCCCTAATGGTATCATGACGCTTAAGTTTCTAGTATCATAATGCTTCACGAGCCTTTATATCAGATGTGCTTGGTGAGGTGACACACTGACCAACATAAGATCAACCCAACACGAACTGCTACCAATCGGGAACTTACGCTACCTCCTTATTCTAGCCATGCTTGCATATTCAATATGATAAACCTTGGGTCTAAGGCTCTTGGATTTCCCTTGAGAGATTACACCTCAGTTGCCTTGCCTTGAATATCTCCCTCCTCAATCGTCTTCCCTTGGCTATCGATCTTCTCTCCTTGTGGTGTGGTGTGTTGGACAGGGCCTTGGGGCTCTGATACTAGTGTGGTCGTGGCCCCCTTGATGTTGCTTCTCTTACTAGGAGTAGGGATAATCCTTCCCCCTCTCCTACTCTTGCTACCTCCTCCCTCTTGGGATCCTCTTGACTCACTACCTAAGGGACACTTTGACTGACTAGGGTATCTTCCTTATCCTAGAGGTCCCTACTATGGTACACTCTCCAGCTTGTCTTGCTCCAGTCTTCCGTGGTTCCACAGATTTCCCAACTACTCCCACAATAGATCTAGTAATCATTACCTGCTCATCTCCAATCCTCTTCCTCCCTTCTTCCATGTCAACTCCTTCTATAGTAGTTTCCAGTCCATCTTGCCTGCCCTCCATATAGCCTTACTTCACTTCCCCATCTCTACCCTTTCGTCCCCCCATTTCCATGTCTTAGTGTCTCCATGCTTCCTCCTCTCCTAGACTTCTCATTCCCCATCCCTCTCCTCCCTTGGCACCCCCTCTCCTTTCAATTGAAATGATAGTTCCAGTTGTCATGGCCAATCTTCTAACATGCACTACGATAGGATCATACATTTTCCACAACCACCTTTTGCTCTATGACCTCTCAATCCTTTTTTAATTATAATAGTTTTGGGGATGCACTGTGCGATGTTCACTTCTACACACTTGGGAATAGTCCAGTTGTGTGAATTGAGTTACATCTCTATCAGCACTAATGAATGTGTCAATCATGGATACAATCAATTTGAGGGCTGATGGGTTAAGAAAATGTACCTTGATGCATGGGAACCCCACCCAAATCAAGGTGAAGGGTGGGTTCACTCCATGGGAGAAGAAGGCGGATCAATGAAAAGTTGTCATCCACAGTTCCTCCACCTTCCAACATCGTCCTACTCCAGACAATGCAAAAGCCCTCCCTATTTTCAAATCTAATGATGATGTGCCTTGCATCTAGGGCATCCACACTGTTACACTATCACACAATTTTACTACACTTCTTAATTCGTTTGAAATTGTCATAAGGTAAGGCATGTTTGCATTAAATTTACCCATTATTGCCTGACGTGACTCAGTCGTTGTATGTTAAATCACGCAAATATAAAATTTATAAAACTAGAAAATACGAATTTTCGGATATTTAGAAGTATTTCTAAATAAATATATCAATTATAATTCAATAAAAATTCCAAAAATAGCGGTAATTTTCCAGGTCGATCACAGGGATGTAATATGATATCTGGTAATTATTCAGAATTTTTCTCAATGAGTACGATTTTCTTACGAATTTTATACTAGGAAATAAAAAGGAAATATATTTAAAATTCACGAAAAAAAAAGGAAATAAGGGTGCGGACGTCAGGATGACGTCAGCGCCCGGCGAACGCGAATCAGGCGGAAACACAGTTCCGCCCGGCGATTCTTACGTAGGCGATTACAGACGACTCAATTAATCAAATTAAGATCTGTAAAAGCCGGAAGAATCGTAGTTGAACAAAGTATAGTTTGGTAAATAAAAATCAACAAAGTATCACTAAATGAAGCGTAAATTAAATTGAAAGCAGGAAAACAGAGTTCCGGCGTCGCGACGGCGATGCGTCGGCGATGCACCGGAATCCTGAGCGTTCGGGAGGATCGTCGTGCAGTGTCCACGGCCTCGAAGGCTCTCCTTGGACAAAGACGACGTGGGCAATCTCTAGATAAAGCAGGAAAACAGAGTTCCGGCGTCGCGACGGCGACGCGTCGGCGATGCACCGGAATCCTGAGCGTTCGGGAGGGTCGTCGTGCAGTGTCCACGGCCTCGAAGGCTCTCCTTGGACAAAGACGACGTGGGCAATCTCTAGATCTTCTCGCGAAGTCTAGAGACCAATGAAGTGGGTCGTCGAATCGTCTCCGGCGGCTGTCACCCGGCGGAGCGGAAAAACGGCGACTTTGCGGCTCTCCGGCGGCTGTCACCCGACGGAGAGGGGCTGGATGGAGGTGAGGCGCGTGTTAGGGAGCTTCATCCTCAGGTCCGCGCAGCAAGAGGAGGCTCTTCATCGCATCTGGTACGCTCTCAGGAGGTGGCGACTGGTCTCCCGGCGGATCGTCCTCTTCCCGACGACGGCTTGTTCGTCGATCAATCGGAGATGATTTACTCGATGGATTGCGATCCTTTTATCGCGAATCGTTCAGAAATTTTAGTAGCAATGCTCCGCGAATCGCGTTGACGAGATTTTCGCCGATGATCCAGCGATTCCGGTTGCTTAATCCTTCACCGGCGATCTGCAGGAAAGTCGCGATAATCAGTTAAAAATATATGAATTTTGACTCTGGGAGGATTCGAACCCGCGGCGGTCGCCCGCCCCTGAACAAGGTGTGACGCGGGTTTAGTCCCACATCGGTTGTGCGCGGATTATTTGGGCGAATATATAGTAAAGTTAGCTTTGTAGGCAAAATCCTCTCGCGTGTACGACCACTCCTTGCCCCACAGCCGGCTGACCACCGGTGACGTGGAAGGGGAGTGGCGCACACGTGCCCCTATCGATCCAAGCAAGCCGCTCGAGCCCCTGCTCGCGGCTACTCCCCGACTGCGCTTCCGACCCGCTTGCGGGCCCGGCTGGCCGGCGGGTCTCCCCATTTTGCAATATTTTTATTTTTATTTCTTGTTCTTCGTTTATCTCAAAACTAAGACTGTAAAAATCGTATAAAATCACATAATTACCCAAAAATTCACGTTAATCAACTGAAAACCACTTTTCATGCTTTAACACAAATATAAGTCTATTTATCATGAGTTAAGGCTAAAACTATATTATTTACTAATTATTAACTCATGATAATGAAGACTTATCACACCCCCCAACTTAAATCATTGCTAGTCCCTTAGCAATGGAATTACGAAAATAAAAATTTACAAATCTCAAACATCACATTTCAATACAGAAAAGAAATACAATTAGAAATGATGCACCTTTAAACACTTTGGATTCTTATATCAAGTATTTAAGAATGATGTCAAGCACTTAAATGTTTAAACACTCCTTGGAATAACAATCTAGACTTCACTTCTTCTATTCACATCTTTATCACTTCTTCACTCATAGATGTATTTACAAGATGTTCCAATTATCAATACTCATCCAAGAATAATATTGATCTTACATTTCCCTTTTTCTATGACTTGATTTTTGAAGTTTGCACTATATTTCTTCCTTCTTTTTTTTTTTTATATATATAGTGGATAAGTAGCTTTTCCTGTAGACAAATTTCGACAATAAGAATGATGTCTCACACCCTCCATGTGTACTCTTCATTTTCAGGGCTTTCACTTTATCCACTTATTTTTCAGCAAGTGTTTTTCTATGCACGATTTTCGACAATGAGAATGATGTCTCACACCCTCCATGTGTACTCTTCGTTTCTAGATTTTTCACATTGCTCTCTCTTTTTTTTTTTTTTTTTTTTTTTTGAAATAAGTGATTTCTCCTCACAAGTCCTATAGATCAGGGTGCAAAAATCTCCATTAAACTCAAATGATCAATCAAATTTTGACATCAAGTAAATATTATCCATCAAGATCATGAAGTGAAAATCTGTAAAATCAAATCCATGTTATCTATCATGTATCCAAGGAGTATTCCAACATTTCATGCTACTAGATCATTCTTTTGACTCAATAATAATCTTCCTAGTATCTTTTGGTATCAATCAATCTAATTGATTTAATTTTTCATGCATGCAATATGATGTAAGGAATTTGTAAATTAGATAGTTCTGACAATTCCGTTTTCTGTTTTCAGTTCTATTTTTAGCAGCAATAAATTTGTCAAAAATAAATCAAAACTATCTTCTTTATAGCTGTAATTTCGAATTTCAGTAATATATATCTAGGGGATTGAAATGTGAGAAAAGGGTCTTCTAGAATTTCAAATTTCGGGCTGTTTTTTGTCTTCTGTTTTTGACAGTCTGTTGTTTCTGACAGAAAACCAGAAAATAGATGTTGCAATTTTTCCGAATTTTATTTTATTTTTATTTTTTTTAGTTGCTGTTCTAAGTTGAATAAAATGCAAACACATGTTCTTAATCATCCTACAGCATAAATTAATAATGAATACTTCACCCCCCAACTTAAAAATGACATTGTCCTCAATGACACAGAAAACTCGAAACAGAATATGCAGAAAATATAATTTTCAAGTGAAGCATGCATATCTGCAAAGTTAAGCATTAAAAATATTTTCATAAATGATGAAGCTCAGAAAGATATCACCTCAACCTCGTTTTTAATTTTCCACTTCATCTTACACTCCTCCTGCACTTTTTCGAAAGAAAAACAAATACAGAAACAAGTACTGCGAAATTCTAAGAAAAACAGAGCTTAAAAAAAAATCAAACAGAATGAAATAAAAACCATGGGTTGCCTCCCATGCAGCGCTGAATTTAATGTCTCCAGCTGGACAGCTCTTATATCATATAAGCTGATCTATGGCCATCAAAATATATTTGTATCCCAAGGTAAGTTTTATGATATTCTTTTTCAGATTTAGCATAAATTCATATACTTCATATATATACCTTGACATACTTTCAGCCAAAATAAAATGGAAATTAACAAAATTTTCCCAAAAATAATATTTCCATTTTGAAAAGAATCTTTCCTTATTTCTATCTTGTTTTGTTAGGCTCTCATTCATTAATAAATACTTTCTATTAATAAACCATAAAATGTGATCAGGCCGTATAATTTTCAGATTAGCTCTTGCCCAATCTAAAATTTTTTCATCTAAATTGGTATCTCTAATTCTTCCACTCACCCATTTCTTAATGTCTTCTTTTATCTGCATAATCTTCCCCTGCTCCATTTTATCTTCCATACATATTTGTTCAATTTGTGAGGAGTGAAATATTTCAAGCTTAGAAATAATTCTAATGGGCTGTGGGTTTTGAAGGATGGAAGGATTGTCTTCTTTAATCTCAGATCTAATGAATTCAGTAAAATTCAAATTTTCTCCTCCAAAATTATTTCTATATTCACATCTATTATTTTCGCTTGTTCCCATTAGTTGAATCAATTCTTTTTCTAGCTTTTCGTTTCTCAACTCATCAAATTCTTCATCTTCCCAAGAGCTATCTTTTAATTTTGGTATATGATATACATCATCATCCTCACAATCAACATCCATGGCTGCAAAATTATGATTAGATTCATTAATTTCGTCTCCTACATCTCCCAAATCAGTTGATTTTTCCTCACTTGAAATATATTTTTCTTCATTTCTGTCCTTACTCCCTTCTACTAAAATTTGGATGATTTTTCTATGATCAGTTGCTGTTTCTTCATCTAAGGGTTCTTTCTCCTCATCATCCTCACTATATTCATTCATCAATTGTGAGCAATAACTGATTTTATTCAAATTTTCTGCTACTACATTTTTGGCCTTAATATTCTCATTTACTTCTAATGGATCATCAATTTCTTCTAATAATTGGAAATAAGGTTCAGGTAAAATATTCTCACTCAATATATTCACTGTCCTAACATTTTCATTTCGTGGGTTTTTTTCTAAATTTATCCAGCTAGACTCTTCTTGCTGAAATCTTACTGTTGGACAGTTTTCTGAATTTTCTATGGGCTGACTAGGTAGCTGTCCCTCTTCTCTCTTATTCTCAAGAGCCTCTATAATTTGTTTCTGGTGCTGCATCATTTGATTCATAGTTTGTTGCATCATTTGGCTCATTTGCTGCATCATTTCCATAGCATCAGGTTGGGTTTGAGAGGGCTGATTTTTCTGAAATCTATTTTCTTGTTTTGGACGAAATTCAGAGTTTGAATTGGGTCTAAGTGCTTCTGGATTTTGAATATTATTTGGGTCTCTCCATGAAAGATTATTCCTCCAATTAGGATTATAAGAATTTGAAAAATTTTCCCTATTTCTATTAAAACCGTGAGCTACTTGCACTTGTTCTTGCATAGGATGAAATGATTGATCTAAATTATAACATTGAAATTCAGAATAATCGTTTTCACCATACATAGGACATGTACTATTCGAATTAAGTTGAGGGTTAAAAGGCTTTCTAATATTGTCAATGAGTAAATCAATTTTTTCTAATCTTTGATTAATCTGATTAACCTCATTTCTAAGTTTAGAATCATCATCATGATGCAATTCATAAATTCCTCTCTTCTTATCCCTGTCATATAATTCAAAAGAGGCTTGATCTCTAGAATTTTCACTTAAATTCTCATAAAGACTGTAAATCTCATCAGGAGTTTTCTCCATAAAAGCTCCTCCACATATAGAATCAACCATATTTCTATGTTGTTCTAATAATCCATCATAAAAAATTCTATTGAGCTGCCACTTGGGTATAGCATGATGAGGACACTTTCTAAGTAAATCTTTAAATTTTTCCCATGTCTCATGCAAAGTTTCTCCTGGTCTTTGAGAAAAACTCCATATATGTTTTCTCATATTTTGAGTTTTTCCTAAGGGATAAAATTTTCGAAGAAAGGCCTGTTCTATATCTTTCCAGCTAGTTAATTCTCTATCTAATGTGGATAGCCAATGACTAGCTTTGTCCCTAAGTGTATGAGGGAATAATTTCATCTTAATGATTTCTGGTGTAACTTGAGGGAGATTAACTAAATCACAGACCATATGAAATTTTTCTAAGTGCTGATGAGGTTCCTCTAAAGGCAATCCATGAAAATTAGGGAGCATTTGAAAAATTCCTAGATTTATTTCGAATTTAACAGTGGGTGCTAATGGGACTCTAATATTAGATGCTCTTTGAAATGAATCAGGGATATAATGATTTTTCATGGCCATAGGATTGTTCTCAGTTTGACCTGTACTTCCTTCAGGATCCATCAAAATTAATTTTTCTTTCGGATTTTTATTTTTGAATGAAATAATGAAAGGATTTTCTAGCCTTGGATGCAAGGATCTTCTACCATGCATAAAAATCAATAAATTCAAGGGAAAAAGTTAGTAACTGTTACCCTCCTTCAGGATGCTCCAGTCCTTGCCGTGCTTCTTTTCGTTCCCTTTTTCTAATAAAAATCGGCAAAAAGAAAATAAAACAAGAGTAAAGTTTTTTTTTTTGTGTACTCTAAGAGAAAAACAGAAAAATACTAAATATTATGCAATACATCCCCGGCAACGGCGCCAAAATTTGACGTGACTCAGTCGTTGTATGTTAAATCACGCAAATATAAAATTTATAAAACTAGAAAATACGAATTTTCGGATATTTAGAAGTATTTCTAAATAAATATATCAATTATAATTCAATAAAAATTCCAAAAATAGCGGTAATTTTCCAGGTCGATCACAGGGATGTAATATAATATCTGGTAATTATTCAGAATTTTTCTCAATGAGTACGATTTTCTTACGAATTTTATACTAGGAAATAAAAAGGAAATATATTTAAAATTCACGAAAAAAAAAGGAAATAAGGGTGCGGACGTCAGGATGACGTCAGCGCCCGGCGAACGCGAATCAGGCGGAAACACAGTTCCGCCCGGCGATTATAGGCGATTACAGACGACTCAATTAATCAAATTAAGATCTGTAAAAGCCGGAAGAATCGTAGTTGAACAAAGTATAGTTTGGTAAATAAAAATGAACAAAGTATCACTAAATGAAGCGTAAATTAAATTGAAAGCAGGAAAACAGAGTTCCGGCGTCGCGACGGCGATGCGTCGGCGATGCACCGGAATCCTGAGCGTTCGGGAGGATCGTCGTGCAGTGTCCACGGCCTCGAAGGCTCTCCTTGGACAAAGACGACGTGGGCAATCTCTAGATAAAGCAGGAAAACAGAGTTCCGGCGTCGCGACGGCGACGCGTCGGCGATGCACCGGAATCCTGAGCGTTCGGGAGGGTCGTCGTGCAGTGTCCACGGCCTCGAAGGCTCTCCTTGGACAAAGACGACGTGGGCAATCTCTAGATCTTCTCGCGAAGTCTAGAGACCAATGAAGTGGGTCGTCGAATCGTCTCCGGCGGCTGTCACCCGGCGGAGCGGAAAAACGGCGACTTTGCGGCTCTCCGGCGGCTGTCACCCGACGGAGAGGGGCTGGATGGAGGTGAGGCGCGTGTTAGGGAGCTTCATCCTCAGGTCCGCGCAGCAAGAGGAGGCTCTTCATCGCATCTGGTACGCTCTCAGGAGGTGGCGACTGGTCTCCCGGCGGATCGTCCTCTTCCCGACGACGGCTTGTTCGTCGATCAATCGGAGATGATTTACTCGATGGATTGCGATCCTTTTATCGCGAATCGTTCAGAAATTTTAGTAGCAATGCTCCGCGAATCGCGTTGACGAGATTTTCGCCGATGATCCAGCGATTCCGGTTGCTTAATCCTTCACCGGCGATCTGCAGGAAAGTCGCGATAATCAGTTAAAAATATATGAATTTTGACTCTGGGAGGATTCGAACCCGCGGCGGTCGCCCGCCCTTGAACAAGGTGTGACGCGGGTTTAGTCCCACATCGGTTGTGCGCGGATTATTTGGGCGAATATATAGTAAAGTTAGCTTTGTAGGCAAAATCCTCTCGCGTGTACGACCACTCCTTGCCCCACAGCCGGTTGACCACCGGTGACGTGGAAGGGGAGTGGCGCACACGTGCCCCTATCGATCCAAGCAAGCTGCTCGAGCCCCTGCTCGCGGCTACTCCCCGACTGCGCTTCCGACCCGCTTGCGGGCCCGGCTGGCCGGCGGGTCTCCCCATTTTGCAATATTTTTATTTTTATTTCTTGTTCTTCGTTTATCTCAAAACTAAGACTGTAAAAATCGTATAAAATCATATAATTACCCAAAAATTCACGTTAATCAACTGAAAACCACTTTTCATGCTTTAACACAAATATAAGTCTATTTATCATGAGTTAAGGCTAAAACTATATTATTTACTAATTATTAACTCATGATAATGAAGACTTATCATTGCCTCCCTAAATTGGGCAGCCAACTGGTTTACCTCCCTCGAAAACTCTATGGTTTGGACTCCGTCTTGGACACAGGGCATCTTCTATGACGTTAAGTCCACAAATTGAGGTCTTAAGTGTTGACTGTAGGTAATTGCTGCATATGACAATTTAGGTCCACTTATCCCATTCCTTACTATTTCCTCTCTATTCCAAGAGGTATTTAAAGACTCACCCTCACACCAGTTTGTTTGGACTTTCTTGCCTAAACTTTCCCCCTTCTCTCCTACTTCCTCCTTGGACCCCAAGTCGACCTCCATGATCTCCTCATGATTGCTTCTCATGACTTTGGGTACTCCCCAACTATTGGGGACCTAACACCTCCTTCCTATGCTTTCTATCTCCAAGATTAACAATAATAGTTTATGAGTTAGCAAGACTACAAAGCATTAAGGAAGATAAACTTTCATCTGAATTAGTTAAGGGACTAGGGGCTAGCTACCATGGTCTCCAAGGTGGGGACCTCTCATGGGGATTTTATTTGCTTCTCTTCTAATTCTGTGATCCAAGTCATTCTCTAGTTGGGGCTGATAAGTTATGTTCCTTGTCATTCTCTAGTTGTTCCTTCTCTTGAATTATCCTTCCTTCTTATTCTTGTGTTTAGTTTCATCTATTTGCCCTGTTGCCACTTCTTAGTCCCCCATAGCTACACTTTTGAGGTAGTTAAGTAGCTTTGGTTGACTCAGTCATTGTATATTAAATCACACAAATATAAAATCTATAAAACTAGAAAATACAAATTTTTAGATATTTAGAAGTATTTATGAATAAATATATTATTAATAATTTAATAAAACTTCTAAAAATAGCAATAATTTTCTAGGTTGATCACAAAGATGTAATATAATATCTAGTAATTACTCAGAATTTTCCTCAAAGAATACGATTTTCTATGAATTTTATATTAAGAATTGAAAAGGAAATATATTTAAAATTCATAAAAAAAGAAAATAAGGGTGCGAACATCAAGATGATGTCAGCACCCGACGAATGCGAATCAGGCAAAAATAGAATTCCACCTGATGATTCTTACGTAAGCAATTACAGATGATTTAATTAATCAAATTAAGATCTGTAAAAGCAAGAAGAATCGTAATAGAACAAAGTATATTTTGGTAAATTAAAAACACAAAAATTATCACTAAATGAAGTGTAAAGTAAATTGAAAGTAGGAAAATAGAGTTCTAGCGTCGTGACGGTGATGCATCGGTAATGTACCGAAATCTTGAGCATTTGGGAGGATCGTCGTGTAGTGTCTATGACCTCGAAGGCTCTCCTTGGACAAAGACAATGTGGGCAATATCTAGATCTTCTCGTGAAGTCTAGAGATTAATGAAATGGGTCGTCGAGTCGTCTCCGGCGGCTGTTACTCGGCGGAGCGGAAAAACAACAACTTTGTGGCTCTCCAACAACTGTCACCCAACGGAGAGGAGTTGAATAGAAGTGGTGCACATGTCAGGGAGCTTCATCCTTAGGTCCGCACAGCAAGAGGAGGCTCTTCATCGCATCTGGTACACTCTTAGGAGATGGTGGCTCATCTCCCAGCAGATCATCCTCTTCCTGACGACGGCTTGTTCGTCGATCAATCAAAGATGATTTACTCAATGGATTCGCGATCCTTTTATTGCAAATCGTTCATAAATTTTAGTAACAATTTAGACTTCACTTCTTCTATTCACATTTTTATCACTTCTTCACTCATAGATGTATTTATAAGATGTTTTAATTATCAATACTCATCTAAGAATAATATTGATCCTATATTTTCCTTTTTCTATGACTTGATTTTTGAAGTTTGCACTATATTTCTTCTTTCTTTTCTTTTTTTTATATATAGTAGATAAGTAGTTTTTCCTGTAAACAAATTTCGACAATAAAAATGATGTCTCACACCCTCCATATGTATTCTTCATTTTCAGGGCTTTCACTTTATCCACTTATTTTTCAGCAAGTGTTTTTCTATGCATGATTTTCGACAGTGAGAATGGTGTCTCACAACCTCCATGTGTACTCTTTGTTTTTAGATTTTTCACGTTACTCTCTCTTCTTCTTTTTTTCGAAATAAGTGATTTCTCCTCACAAGTCTTATAGATTAGGGTGCAAAAATCTCCATTAAACTCAAATGATCAATTAAATTTTCACATCAAGTAAATACTATCCATCAAGATCATGAAGTGAAAATCTGTAAAATCAAATCCATGTTATCTATCATGTATCCAAGGAGTATTCCAATATTTCATGCTACTAGATCATTCTTTTGACTCAATAATAATCTTCTTAGTATCTTTTGGTATCAATCAATCTAATTGATTTAATTTTTCATGCATGCAATATGATGTAAGGAATTTGTAAATTAGATAGTTTTGACAATTCTGTTTTTTGTTTTCAGTTCTATTTTTAACAACAATAAATTTATCAAAAATAAGTCAAAATTATCCTCTTTATAGCTATAATTTCGAATTTCAGTAATATATATCTAGTGGATTGAAATGTGAGAAAAGGGTCTTCTAGAATTTCAAACTTTAGGCTGTTTTTTGTCTACTATTTTTGACAGTCTGTTGTCTCTGACAGAAAATCAAAAAATAGATGTTGTAGTTTTTCTGAATTTTATTTTATTTTTACTTTTTTAGTTACTATTCTAAGTTGAATAAAATACAAACACATGTTCTTAATCGTCCTACAACATAAATTAATAATGAATACTTCACCCCCCAACTTAAAAATGACATTGTCCTCAATGACACAGAAAAATCGAAACATAATATGCAGAAAATATAATTTTCAAGTGAAGCATGCATATCTGCAAAGTTAAGCATTAAAAATATTTTCATAAATGATGAAGCTCAGAAAGATATCACCTCAACCTCATTTTTAATTTTCCACTTCATCTTACACTCTTCCTCCTGCACTTTTTCAAAAAAAATAAATAAATACAGAAACAAGTACTACAAAATTCTAAGGAAAATAGAATTTTAAAAAATCAAATAGAATGAAATAAAAACCATGGGTTGCCTCTCATGTAGCGCTAAATTTAATGTCTTCAACTGAACTCCTTGATCTTACTCTTGAATTTCTTTTAATAATGAAATTTCCTTTTCTACAAGGCGTTCATGTTCTATGTAATGTTTAAGCTGTTGTTTATTTACCTTAAAGTTATGATCACTTTTAAGATCTTTAATCATTACAGTCTCATGATCATATGTCTCTTCCACCACATAAGGCCCTTTCTATTTTGATTTTAATTTTCCTGAGAATAATTTCAGCTTAGAATCATATAACCACACTTTTTGTCCAACATCAATTTTTTTTCTGCTAATATATTTATCATGAAAAGTTTTAGTTTTTTCTTTATATATTCTATGATTTTCATAAGCTTCATTTCTCAACTCCTCTACTTCATGTAGCTGAAAAATTGTATGCCTACCAGCTGATTTTTCATCCATACATAAATTTTTTATAGCCCATAATGCTTTATGCTCTATTTTCACAAGAAGATGACATGGGTTTCCAAAAATGAGACGAAATGGGGACATACTTATGGGATTTTTATAAGCTATTCTATAAGCTCATAATGCATCTTGTAATTTTGTGGGCCAATCTTTCCTATCTGGTCTAATTATTTTTCTCAAAATTCTCTAAATTTTCTTATTTGCTACTTCAACTTGCTTATTTGTTTGGGGATGATATGAAGTGGCTACTCTATGGTGTACTCCATTCTTTTTCAACAGTTTCTTGAAATGTTTATTTGTAAAATGTATTCCTCCATCACTAATAATCACTCTAGGACATCCAAACCTCGAAAAAATATTTTCCTACACAAATTTCATCACGATTTTATGATCATTAGTTCTAGTAGGAAGAGCTTCCACCCACTTCGACACATAATCAACAGCAAGTAAAATATATTCATATTTTTCAGCTGATGGGAAAAGACCCATGAAATCTATTCCTCATACATCAAAAATTTCGACTACTAATATGTTACTCATAGACATTTCATCTTTTTTACTCATATTACCTATAGATTGGCATGAAATACATGTTCTATTAAATTCTATAGAATCTCTAATGATTGTAGGCCAATAAAAACCACACTGAAAAATTTTTGTAGCTGTTTTTCATTGAGAGAAATGTCCTCCATAGTTAGATGAATGGCACATGTTAATAATATTATGGTATTCTTCTTCAGGAACACATCTCCTTAAAATTTGATCATTGCCTAAGTAATATAAATCAAGATCATGTCAAAAATAATTTCTAATCTTAGATAAGAAATGATGTTTTTGTTCTTATTCCACTATTTTAGAGTTTTTATAGAAACCAGAAAATTAACAATATGTACATACCATGGGGATGGTTGATGTTGAGCTGTCATCAATTGTTCATCTGGAAATACATCTTGTAAAGGAGCTGCATTTATTCTTGTATCACTTAATCTAAAAAGATGGTCAGCAACAACATTCTCGAAACCTTTTTTATCTTTTATTTTTAAGTCAAATTCTTGTAATAATAAAATCTATCTTAATAAATGTGGCTTTGCATCTTTCTTATTTAACAAATATTTTAATACTCATGATCAGTTTTAGCTCCCAAAATATATGATCTAAACCTTTCTAACGAAAATACTATAGCTAACAACTCTTTTTCAGTCGTGGTATAATTTAATTGAGCATCAAATATAGTTTTACTAGCATATGAAATTACTATGGGTTTTGACTCTTTTGTTTGTCTTAGAATGGCCCCCACTACATAATTCGATGCATCACACATTATTTCAAAGGGAATGAACCAATCAAGAGCTTGTAAAATGGGTGCCTCAGTAAGTAATCTTTTTATTTCGGAAAAAGACTCAAAACATTTCTCACCAAAATTAAAAGACACATCTTTAGATAATAGCATGGTGAGAGGTTTAAAATTTTTTGAAAAATCTTGAATAAATTTTCTGTAATAACCTACATGACCCAAGAAAGATCTAATCTATTTTACTGAATTTGAAGGTTTCATTTTAGATATAATATCAATTTTTGCTCTATCCACCTCTAAATCCCTTTCACTCACAATATGACCTAACACAACTCCCTCTTTAACCATAAAATGTGATTTCTCCCAACTCAAAACTAATTTTTTCTCTATGCATTTCTCAAGTACATGCTGTAAATGATTTAAGCATTCATCAAATGATTCACCAAAAATAGAAAAATTGTCCATAAAAATTTCCATGCATTTTCTAATCATATCAGAAAAAATAGATAACATACATCTTTAAAATGTGGTTGGAGCATTACACAGACCAAAAGACATTTGTTTAAAAAGTACCAAATGGACAAGTGAAAGTTGTTTTTTCTTGATCTAAAGGATTTATATAAATTTGATTATAACTAGAGTATCCATCTAGAAAATAAAAAAAGTTTTTTCAACTAATTTTTCTAGAATTTGATCAGTAAATGGTAGGAGAAAATGATCTTTTCTAGTAACTGAATTTAATTTTCTATAATCAACACAAACCCTCCAATTAGTAGTTAATCTTGTTTGTATTTCATCCCCATTTTCATTTTTTATAACTGTGATCCCTGATTTTTTTGGCACTACTTGTGTAGGACTAACCCATTTGCTATCTGAAATAAGATTAATAATATCAACAACCAGTTACTTTAAAATTTCTTTTTTTATAATTTCCATCATGTTAGGATTTAATCTTCATTGTGGTTCCCTAGTAGTTCTAGCCCCCTCCTCTAGATATATACTATGCATGCATACACTAATATCAATGCCCCTTAGATCGTCCATTTTCCAGCCCATAGCCTTCTTATTTTTTTGAAGTACATCTAATAGTTCTTCTTTCTATTCATCACTCAAATCAGCTGCAATAATAACAAGAAATGAATCATTTTCCTCCAAAAGCATATATTTTAAACTAGAAGGAAGAGGTTTCAACTCTAAATTCAGATGATCTTCCTCTTTCTTTTCTCCCAAATTTATATTCTCTATTTTCTCTAATTCTTCTAGCACACAATCATCATCAACATATGGATCATCAAAATCATCTAGAAGATCTATGATATGACAATCATATACTTGTGATTTCTTAAGATCATTTGGTACCTCAAAAATTTTAATTTCTACTGATTGATCTCCACATAAAATTTTCGCAATATCTATAGGAAAATCAATATTCATCTTTTTTGTATGCAAAAATGGTCTCCCTAGGATGATTGGTGTATCATAAAACTGTCTATTAAAATCTATTTCTAGCACTACAAAATTAGTTGGAAATTTACACCCTTTAATTGTTACTATCACATTTTCTAAAATACCTTTAGGATGTTTTATGGATCTATCAGCAAATTGTAAGGTAACAGTAGAAGGTTTAAGATCAAAAATATTAAATTTATCACAAATACTTGCAGGTAATAAATTAATACTAGCACCGGTGTCAAGTAATGTATTCTGAAAAATAGATCTACCAATATCACACGAAATTAAAGGGGCACCTATATCTCTCAATTTATATGGTAATTGATTTAATAATAATGCACTAGTATGCATAGATAATTTTTCTACTCTATGTGCCCTTTTTGGTGTACACATTTCTTTCAAAACTCTAGCATATTCAGGAATATGTTCAATGGTAGTGGGTAAAGGAAGACTAATTTGCACATCTTGTAAAATTTTCTTTATTTCTTTATTGTGTTTCTTTTTCTTTTTTTGTCTAGGCTCTAGAGCTTTAGGAAATGAAATGGTTGTCATCTCTTTCAAAATTTCCTTAGTCGAATCTATAAAATCTTCTTCTACTCCTATTTGATTTTGTTTTGAGTTGTTCACGTTTTCTTTTTCTTCTAATGTTTGGGGATAAAGATCAAGTAAGATCTTACCACTCCTTAATGCATTCACTGTCCTAACATTTTCATTTAGTGGGTTTTTTCCTAGATTTATTCTACTAGACTCCCCTTGCTGAAATCCTATTGTTGGGTAGTTCCTTGGATTTTCTATGGGTTGACTAGATAGCTGTCCCTCTTCTCTCTTATTCCCAAGGGCCTCTATAATTTGTTTATGGTGCTACATCATTTGATTCATAGTTTGTTGTATCATTTGGTTCATAGTTTGTTGCATCATTTGGCTCATTTGCTGCATCATTTCCATAGTATCAAGTTGGGTTTGAGAGGGCTGATTTTTCTGAAATCTATTTTCTTGTTTTGGATGAAATTCAGAGTTTGAATTGGGTCTAAGTGCTTCTGAATTTTGAATATTATTTGGGTTTCTCCATGAAAAATTATTCCTCCAATTAGGCTTATAAGAATTTAAAAAAGGTTCCATGTTTCTATTAAAACCATGAGCTACTTGCACTTGTTCTTACATAGGGTGAAATGATTGATCTAAATTATAACATTACAATTCAGAATAATCATTTTCACCATACAGAGGACATGTACTATTCGAATTAAGTTGAGGGTTAAAAGGTTTTCTAATATTGTCAATAAGTAAATCAATTTTTTTTAATCTTTGATTAATTTGATTAATCTCATTTTTAAGTTTAGAATCATCATCATGATGCAATTCATAAATTCCTCTCTTCTTATCCCTATCATATAATTCAAAAGAGACTTGATCTCTAGAATTTTCACTTAAATTCTCATAAAGATTATAAATCTCATCATGAGTTTTCTCCATAAAAGCTCCTCCACATATAGAATCAATCATATTTCTATGTTGTTCTAATAATCTATCATAAAAAATTCTATTGAGCTGCCACTTGAGTATAGCATGATGAGGACACTTCCTAAGTAAATCTTTGAATTTTTCCTATGTCTCATGCAAAGTTTCTCCTGGTCTTTGAGAAAAACTCCATATATGTTTCCTCATATTTTGAGTTTTTCTTAAGGGATAAATTTTTTGAAGAAAGGCCTGTTCTATATCTTTCCAACTAGTTAATTCTCTATTTAATGTGGATAGCTAATGACTATCTTTGTCCCTAAGTGTATGAGGAAATAATTTCATCTTAATAATTTTCAGTGTAACTTGAGGGAGATTAACTAAATCACTAGTGGCTAATTGGCTATGGGGCAAGGAGTGATCGTATACGTAGTAGAAAAGGACTCATTACTTGAAAATATGATATTACTATATATTTGTCAAAAACTTCAACGCACAAATGATGTGGGACTAAACTTGCGTCACACCTTCTCCGAAAAGGCTTTGAAGATTTTAATACTTAAAGTATCCTTTAGTTATAATAGAGATATACCATGATGACGTCACTTGATAAAGGCTTTAGAGTACTTATTTTAATATCACTCATGTAGGTGGGCAATCGACATGGATTCAAATCCTTCCAGAGTCAAAACTCATATTTTTATCTAATTATCGAGACTTTCTTATAGATTGTAGGTGAAAGATTAAGCCGTCAGAATTGTTGGATCATCGGCGAAAATCTTATCAACATGATTTACAGGGCATTGTTACTAAAATTAATGAATGATTCATGATAAAAGAATCACAAATTTATCAAGTAAATCATCTTTGATTGATCGACAAATAAGTTGTCATTAGGAAGAGGACGATCTATTAAGAGACGAGTCATCACCTCCTGAAAGCGTACTAGATGCGATGAAGAGCCTCCTCTTGTTGCAAAGACTTGAGGATGAAGCTCCGTGACACATGCCTTACCTCTATTCAACTCCTCTCTATTTTTCTACTTTGCTAGATTACAGCCATCGAAGACGATTTGACGACTCATTTCATTGATCTCTAGACTTTGCAAGGAGATCTAGAGATTGCTCATGTCGTCCTTGTCTAAAAAGAGTATTCAACGCTATAGACACTACATGATGATCCTTTAAATACTTAGAATTTTGATACATTGTCAATGCATCGCCGCCGTAATGTTGGAACTCTATTTTCATGCTTTCAACTTAATTTCTACTTGATTTAATTAAGATTCTTTCAACTTTTATAGATCTTAATTTGATTAATTAAATCATCTATAATCACTTACGTAAGAATTACTAGGTAGAACTCTATTTTCATCCAATTCGTATTCATCGGGTGCTAACATCATCCTTACGTCAGCACCCTTATTTCTCTTTTTTGTGAATTTTAAATACATTTTATTTTTATTTCTTAGTATAAAATTATAATAAGTTGTATTTTTTGAGAAAAATTCTAACAAAATTATTTAATATTATATTACATCTCTATGATTGACTTGGAAAATTACTACTATTTTCAGAATATTTATTAAATTATAATTGATATATTTTTTTGAAATACTTCTAAATATCTGAAAATTAATATTTTCTAGTTTTATAAATTTTAAATTTATGTGTTTTACTATACAATGACTAAGTCACGTCAAGAACCCATCACCATTGAATTTTCACTCTACTAGGTGACAGTTGCTAGAGATGTTTAATCGACTTCCACTATCATTTTCTAAATTTATAAAAGAATTTAGAGAGTGCCCACATTATCCATATCCAAGGAGAGCTTTACAGCCATAGACATTAGAGAATAATTCTGCCAAATACTTAGAATTTTGGTCATCACCACAATGTCAAAACTCTATTTTACTTATTTTAAACTTGATTCATTTTTAATTTAATCTCATTTTGAGTGATTTTAAATTTTAAATTTCTTATTTCATCAATTATGATTCTTTTGACTTTTACATATCTAAATTTGATCAATTAAATTATATGTAATCACTTAAGTAGGAATCACTTGATGAAACTTTATTTCTATCCAAATTATATTTCATGGAGCACTAATGTCATCTTGACATCAACACTCAAACTTTGTTTTTCTATGAATTTTTAAATAAATTTTTTCTTCATCATTTAGTCAAAAAATTATAAAGAATCATATTCTTTGAGAAAAATTCTGAAATTTTATTTGACATTATTTTAAATTCTTTTGATTGATTTGAATTTTTTTCATTAATTTTAAAGCTTTTATCAAATTATAATTAATATATTCATTCTAAAATACTTTTAAAATTCTAAAAAATAATATTTTTAGTTTATAAATTTTAAAGTTGTGTAGTTTATTAGAAAATGATTAAATGCATCAACCATCATTGTTAGAAATAATTACAATTCTTGACTATCCTTTAAGAGAATACTCCATTCTTAGTTAATGATCATTGAGGTATGGAGTGCCATAACATGGAAAATATTTGCCTTGAAGAAAGAGCACTCTTCAACCTTAAGGTTACACTAAACTCATTGACAGAAGAACCTCTTATTAAAGCACTCAAATTCTGAGGGAGAATAGAGGTGAAACATGTGATGGTTCTTGTTGAGAACATCACCTAAGGCCTGCATCTCTCCATTATGCATACACAAGAGTTTTAAGTGGTTAATAAAAGATGCGAGAAGGTCCTTGGAAAAAATGTTTATGGTAGTGTCACCTTGAAACTTTAATCTCTGATCATACTTGAAGCAATCTTGGTTTTACAATGATCTATGTGGATGTAATGTTAGGTTTTACATAGTGGGATACCATGAGGAAGCTCAAATTGAATTTTGATCGATGGACAATCTTGTAAGGGAATTGAATGTGTCACCCTCTAATTGAAGGGACAATGGCCACAAGTGAGTATCATCTTTAAAGTCATGTCCACATGTATAAAATATGTTGGTGTAGTGGTTGAATTATTTCAACTCATGGAAACCAGCCATATCAAACTGATCAGTTCATATTTATCAATCTTGGATAGTCAACTTTGCATCAGATTTTGGAAGTAATTGAAATAGAAATCAGAATGCCCCTAGTTTAAAAGGAGGATCATGCCATCTACCTCAACTAAAATTTGAAGCTTATTATCATTGTCCCTTTTAGTACCCATATTTTCAAAAAAAATAGAAATTTAGTGAATAAGAAAATTTATAAAATTATGAACCTGATTATATGTGATGTAAGTTTAATTAGAGATTGAAGTATTATATGAGATTAAAAAATATAGATTATTTTGATAAATAACTAATGTCTAAACCATAGGAAACATCTCATTCTATTTCAAATTCATATAACTGATATGCTATTTTGAGTGTAAAGATAATAAAAAGTCAATTTGAAGTAAATATTTTATCATTCTATAATAAAGTCTTAATATATAAAGTATATATCTAATATTTTCAATAATATAAATATGTAAGTAATCAATACAAAGGTATCCAAATGAGAAGTCAAATGAAATGAACTTGAGATAAAATGATCAAGACATTTATTTTTTATTTATTTTATAAGATTATTGATTTAAATTTATTCATGTAGGGGAAAAGGAGCCTAAAAGTTTGAGCCTTTTTACTAAAATAATTTTTATCTTAGAAAAATTGTTACAAACATAGGGATACAGCTAGTCAATAGAAAGTTGATTCAAAGAGAAATCTAGAGTTGAACAATATTTATAGAAAAATTAAAATATTGAGGGATATTTTTTTCATTCTTTACACCCATCTTTTCTATATTTTCTAGAATATGAAAATGGTCATCATAAAGGCCAAAAAGGGATGGTCAAGCTTGCCCATATAAGGAGTATTTCGCCCAAATTAGGACAAGGAGAAAATATATGATTTTTTGTGAACAATTGTTACTTCAACAAACATCATCTTTCTTGTCAACTCTTTTCAAGTTTGTAAGATTCAAGGGTAAGATTTGATTATGTCAAGTGACAAGTAAGCTCTAAACATCATTTTTAGTCTCAAGAGCTTCCTCTTTCAATCTAGCACCTCTCAACTCCTTCAACTCTCAATGGACGAAAACAACATTTGATGGTTGGGATAACCTTGTTTCAAGTTGTTCATTTGTTTATTTTGATACTTGATGTGTGTATTGATTGAGGCACTTGTGGTGTGTCATCAATACAACCACATAGGCCATTGAGGCAGATGTGTTGTGCTTACAACAAGGAGATCTAAGAATCTATGAATTCTAAAATTATGATTCTAGATTGAGTGTCACAAGTTCACAGAGCCTGTCAATATAAGAGATTTATTATTCTCTTAAGATTAAATGTATTATGGTGGTGGAATAGTGGAATAAAGATGAAATTCTCAAAAGTGGATATAGGGCAAAGTAGTTTGGCTGAACCACTCTAAAATCTAGCATGTATAATCTGACCTTGATTGTTTTATATTTATACATTAATATAAATATGTCATTTATAGATTAATATATATAAGAAAATAAAAAAAAACTTATTTTTCATAAGAATAAAAAATAAAAAATAAAAATCAATTCATTCAATCATCTTGGGACCAATTGATATTCTCAAAATTTATTTCCAAACACATGAATGACATTAAGAGTTTGTCATTATGACTTTTCGTCTTTCAAATGCACAAGCTACGTTTTAGTCACTGATGAATGAGACATTCAACAAACTCCAAAAAATCATACATTTTCTTATGACATTCTCATTTACAGTTAGATTATGTTCAATTGGGCCATTTGGTATTAATGGAAGGAGTATGAGGTGGATGTAGTCTTTTAGTGGCCATCACCATAACATATCCTTGGTCATCAATTAGAGATTTGAGGCCTACTTTTAATGTTTCACTAGCAAATGTCCACACTCACGGGTTCAAAGCATACGATGGATGGGATATTGGTATAACACCAATTTCCATGCCTCAACTGACACAACATTTCATATCGCTTATGACCACACTCTAACTCTTTTCCACTATGATATACCAAGGTCAATTAGCACATACACATGCCAGGATGAAGGTGTACATAGACTGTCATCATAGAGGTCTCAAGTTCAATGTGAGAGACTGTCTACCTCAAGCTACAACCAAACTGATTGAAGCCCCTTGCATGATGGCTATATGAGAAGCTTGGCTGATGGTTCTTCGACCCTTATGAAATCCTAGAACAGATTGGGCTGATCCTTTTATCATCCACCAACATTCATCTGGTTTTTCACATATCATAATTCAGGCGGACTATCAAATCATCTCTTACTCTTGAACTATTAATCAGGCGGATATTATCCATGCTCGACAAAACCCTCATTGCGTGGAGCACTGATAAAATGGAAAGATTTACATAGCCAGATAATACCTAGGAAATAAGGTTAGACTCCTGCTCAGACCGTTACCACAAGCAACCGCTAAAAATGAGAAAGGAGCATAAATTTGCAAGATCAAGGAGTTGAATTGGGACCATCAACCCATTATAAAGAGGGGGACTCTTCCAAAGAGGGGTCTAACTAACTTTTGGTGTAATTCCCAAGTGGAATTAAGAGACTGACCTTCTTGAATAGGTCTGTTGGAAAGGGGTCGGAACTCTGTGCCTCCACTCTTCCCTAGCTCTCTCTCTCTCTCTCTCTCTCTCTCTCTCTCTCTCTCTCTCTCTCTCTCTCTCTCTCTCTCTCTCATGTCCTTCCGTCGTCGTTAGTGGAAGTACACTTTTGCCTTCTCTTCTCCCTCGTCCACCCTCTTAAAGGAAAGGTTCTCATCAAACTACCTCCAATTTTCTCACGAAAACTTTCGTGCCAAGACCGCCCACCTGAGGTTTACATGATGACACTGGTAGAAATAGAATCGAACCTATTTTTTGACATTATTGTTGTATGATGACACTGGGTAACAGTATATGACTACAATAATGGAACTTACAATATTTTTAACTATACATACAAAACAGCTAGGACTCCTCAATCTGGATCAAATTAGACAGATAGAACTCGTCATAGGCTCACGAAGAACATTTCGGAGCCTGATGAGTTTACCTGCGTTTTTTTATGCGATGCCCGACGCATGTGCTCGCTCAACCATGGTACTCTTTGCTTCCGTATCTGAATACTATATCAGACCTTCGAACAAGAAGAAGAAAGGGGTGAACAATTGACTCTCTATGCAGAAATATATATCCCCACCTTGAGTGTTTTAGCTGTGAATGGTACGTAACTCTCTATGCAGATACAGAAGATGAAGAGAACGAAAAAGGTTGAGGTAAAAAATGGACACCTTAGTTGTAGGTTTAGATATCCCCGCCAAGAGTAGTTCGGTCGTAAATGGAGACCTAGTTATGTCTGCTGCTGCTGCTGCTGCTGCTGCAAGTTGATGAGCCTGTAATAGGCTCCACTCTTGTTCTCCACCAAGCTCGAGTGGGTTCCCTGCTCGACAATCGTCCCCTCATGCACCACCGAGATAACGTCGGCGTTCTGGATCGTTGACAGGCGATGCGCCACCACTATGGTTGTCCGGTTCCTCGTGACCCGATCCAGCGCCTGCTGAACCACTCGTTCCGCTTCCACATCCAGCGCGCTGGTTGCCTCATCGAGTAACAGCACAGCCGGGTTCCGAAGGACGGCCCTGGCGATTGCGACTCGCTGCTTCTGCCCGCCGGAGAGCTGCACCCCTCGCTCGCCCACCCGGGTGGCGTAGCCCTCCGGCAGGCTGCTGATGAAGGCGTGGGCATTGGCCAGCTTCGCCGCCTCCACCACTTCCGCTTCCGTGGCGCCGTCCTGGCCGTAGACGATGTTGTCGTAGATCGTCGTGGCGAACAGCGCTGGCTCCTGCTGAACGAGGCCGATGTGCTTCCTCAATGACTTCAGCCTCAGCTTCCTAATATCTTTACCTGTGCATGCAAAGATGAGGAACAATGAAATTAAAATTAACAAATAATTATGGTGATTTGGATGAGTCGATTTATGGCGATCACATACCATCAATCATCACTCTCCCTTCTGTCGGATCATAGAATCGGAGGATCAAGGAAAGCACGGTACTCTTGCCGGAGCCGCTGGCGCCGACGAGAGCCATGCTCCTCCCGGCCTTCACCTTCAGGTTGAAGTCTCTGAAGATAACCACGTCCGGACGTGAAGGATACCGGAACTCAACTCCCCTCAGCTCGATGACTCCTTCCACCTTTCCCAAATCCTCTCCAACGTCCCCAGGTATCTCCGTCTTCCGGTCAAGGATGTCAAACACGGAGGCCGCCATTTGATTGCCCTTAATGATGTCAGGGGCCAATGCGAGAGTCTCTCCCATCCCCAATGCCGTCACGATCAAGACCATGAAGGTTCTCATAACAGATTTGAAGCTCGCCAACTCCTTGGACATCAATACTGATCCATACCTGCAAAATAAAGTAGTGAATCTTGAAATGTATAATAGTACCTCATCATTTAAAAAGCGCTGGTAAAATGCAACCATGGCCAGTATATTATGTTGCTTTATTCATCGTCAGTTATGCTGGCTGAAATTTTGTATTTTATTGTAGGAACATAGTTCAATATGCGTCTCTGTTCCACTGATAAACTATCAGTTTAAAATATATTAGAACTTACTCTAATCACATTTTCCACATCACCCGACCAATTTATGCAATATTTTTTTCTGTCTGCTCTATTGATGATTATATATATGGATAATGTGCACGATCTAGTAACTAAGTTTAGACAATCGATATCATTTAAAAGAGCGAGACGGTTTAATCCCAAACCAAATGAATGAGTGGAATATCTAAACTTAATATCCTCAAACCAATGTTAGGTGATTCTTAAAATAAAAAAATCTTTGTCAATACATATTTTTAACTTCTGAGTAAAAATCATGTGAAACCATGCTACATGACAGAATATAACCAACGAAAGCTGAGGACGACGTATCGATCAGGAAAACTTACCATAGGACAAGAGCGTAGGAAGAAAATATGAAGAACTGGGAAACGCCGTAGAAGAGTCCTGCAGCCTGGCCGCGACGGAAGGACTGTTTGGATGGCTCTTCGAGCTCGCGGGAGTATAAGTCAATTACTTTGTCCTCGGAGCAGAAGGCGGCGACAGTGCGGATGTTGCTCACAGCTTCTGCTGCGAGCATGTTGGCCTTTCTGTAGGATTTGTTTAGGTTTCCTCCGTACCCTTTCATGAATAGCTTCTGTAACAATTGAGGGAACGAGAGAGAGGGAAAAATGAGTCGGTGAGTGAGTGAACGAGTGTGTGTGTGTGTGTGTGTGTGTGTGTGTGTGAGAGAGAGAGAGAGAGAGAGAGAGAGAGAGAGAGAGAGCTGAGCACACCTCGCTGATATGCCCGCTGACGATCAGCGGGTACGTGGCCAAGAGAACTAGAGTGATCCTCCAGTTCAGGATGAAGGCGATGATCAAAGAGCAGACGATCATGCCAATGTTCTGGAGCAGGATGGTCGAACGGTCGACGACGATCATCTTCAGGAGTGTTGCATCGGTTTCCAGCCGAGACGCTAGGATTGAGCTGCTATTCTCCATTTCATCAAACCACCCGATCTCGTTCTTCAACATTGCTGCGTCCAGTAATCAGAAACATAAGCATCATCTAGAGGACTTAACCAATACATAGTCCTAATAGATTCCATCACACATGGACAGCCCCAGATCTGAGTCTAAAATCAACTAGTGAGGTCAGACAAGTCACGTCCAATTTAAAAAAATGAGTCAGCACTACTATTGGGGTTAGTTTGGCTAATTCGAGCTTTCGTGTTTGACAATGCTTCCGATGGGGTCGAATCTGCCAAGAATGAGTCTACTTTATCGGAGATACCATTTCTATCCTGATTCAGGGATAAACGCATAAGTACCGACATGTGTGGACTTACAATTCATTCCCACACTTTACAGAACAAGATCGACGGTTATCAATGCCCATCTGAATTGGCTAGGGATCAAATAAGAAATTAATTAGCTTACTCATGTTGACGTATCCATCCTAATACATATGGAGTTAGCATAAGAATGAACTTATACAAGGCATGAACATGATCATATGAGAAAACAGTGGGCGGTGTTTGATATATTTTGCCATATAAATATGAATTACCAAACGTGCAATTTTTTCATTCTAATTATTCTTGAGAAGAATAATGCAACGGTGATTGTAGTTATGTTACCATGTGCGTCAACCAAATGCAATTCATCCAAAGTCCAATCTTGATTACCTCCGAACATCCTTTGTCTTACGCGAAGAGTGAGCCTTTCTCCCATGATTCCGAAGTTGAAGTGCGCGAGAACATGTACGAACATGGCGACGATGGCGCCACCGCAGAAGAGGAGGGCGATCTTCCTCACCTCCAGCCTCGTCGTCTCCCAGCCCATGTAATAGGAGACCAGGGCCTGTGTGACACCAAGAGCGAACAAGGGCATCTCGGCCCCCGCAGCCAATGCGCCGATTGTGCCGAGCAACCCACAGACCCAATCAGGCTTCACCATGGAGTAGAGCATCTTCACCGACACAGTTTTCAGCTTTGGCGGTTCACCGCCTTCGGCAACGTACCGGCCGATGGAATCCTTATCGGAATGGACGCTCGCCCCCAGGCTGGTTGTTCTAAGAAGCTCTTGGGAGTACTTCATGCTGAGGGTGTAGAAAAAATGGATAGTTATATTGTCAGTCATCTTGTACTATATTATGCGAATCATGCGAGGAACGTAATTAAATTAATTTATAATGAAATTTTCATAATCGAAATACGATCAGATATGGTGTGGCATAATGCACAGCATAGAAAATTTATTCTGAAATGTTTTAAATAATTTCTACGTCCTAGGGAGAATCAAACCCTACAAACTATCCCATGGTTTGTGGTCTTTATAAAAAGACATGGACATTTTTAAACGCACTCTGTAGGTCACCAGTTTAATGAAAGCCATATCGCTGTATCCTTCTACACGCAAACCAAATTCATGGTAATGATAGGGAAAGAGTAGGGAGGCCATCACCTTAGAGGCCGCCCCACGGCAGCACCGTCGGAGGACGGCGCCGCCCTCCGAGAAGCCGCCACCTCTTGGAGCTGCACCAAGGAGGAGTAGGCGCTCTGAGGATCCGCCATGAGCTGCTCATGCGTCCCCAACTCTACAATCTTTCCTCCCTGGACGACGGCGATGATGTCGGCATTCCGCACCGTTGATAATCTGTGGGCGACGACAACGGTCGTTCTTCCCATCATGACCCGGTCCAGAGCCTGCTGGACGCTCTTCTCCGACTCCGCGTCGAGCGCGCTAGTGGCCTCGTCCAGCAGGAGCACGGCGGGGTTCTTCAGTATGGCCCTCGATATAGCTATTCTCTGCTTCTGGCCTCCCGATAGTTGCACGCCTCTCTCTCCCACCTGCACGATGAAATCATCACCTTTCAATGGGTGTGTTCCAAGCAGGACGAGTCCCCTGGAGAGTGGAGGATTTCACCTACCTGTGTTTCAAAGCGATCTGGGAGGTTGTTGATGAAGGAGATGGCCTCTGAGAGCTTCGCCGCACGTGTGATATCGTCGAGTGTGGCGTCGTCTTTCCCGTAGAGGATGTTCTCACGGATGCTGGTGGCGAAAAGAGCAGGCTCCTGGTTGACCAGTCCAATCTGGCCTCGCAGCCACTTGAGATTGAGCCCTTTGATGTCTTGCCCGTCGAGGAGGATCTCCCCGGAGGTGGGCTCGTAGAATCTTTCGATGAGGGAGATAACGGTGCTCTTGCCGGACCCGCTCCCACCAACGAGTGCAACCACCTTTCCTGCCGGAATGTCCAGGCAAAGGCGGTCGAAGATGAGCATCTCCGGCCGTGAGGGGTACCTGAAGCAAACATCCCTGAACTGGATGTGACCCTCGACGGCGGGGAGGATCTTTCCGCCAGACTTGGCACTTGATTTGCTGGCTGCGCTCCGCTCTATCATCTTGAAGATGGGATACGCCGACGCTCTCGCCCGAAGAAAGGCTGGGATGTTCGGCGCCGCAAGACCGAGAGAGCTGAACAGAGATACATCAAGCTATAGGATTATTGTTTTTCAAAGAATTTACTCGCTCTATAAGCCGGTGCTTCAATTTTTCTCGATCTATCTGTACATTAGTGAACTCCTATGTGAAGACTTACAGGCCGGAGATGACGACGTTAAGCATGGTGGTAAAGGACTCTCCGCCATTGGAGATGCCCTTGTGGACGACGATGGAGGTGAACCACACGAGTAACGCCCACGACAAAAAGAGGACGAAGTGCAACGATCCGAGCCCAAGGCCCTTGGCGAGCCCTCCCTTTTTCCCATACTCGTACGTCTCCAGGAGTGCGGTTCTATAGGAACTCACCGCCTTCTCTTCTCCAACAAATGCCTGGACAGTCCGAACATTGCTGAGAGCCTGAACAGACAGAAGGATCCGATCAGTCAGAAAAACAGGCCAATCAACGGCGACAAGAACATAGATGCGTGAGGGAAGAGGCCAACTAACCTCTTCGGCAACCTCTCCGGCCTTCACGTAAGATTTGCGCACTCTCGCGATGAGCCCGATCGCCGTGTATGCATATACTCCGCCGGAAAGCGCTATCAGTGGCACTATTGACAAGGTGACGAGGCTGATCTGCCAGACGTAGGTGAACCCTATGGCGAATCCGGCAATGAAGCGGCTGATGTAGTGTAGGAAGTTTCCTGCCTGCAAGATTAATCGTGTTTAAACCTGGAGAATATGATAACATATGGATATAATTCCAGTGAAACATGTCGAATAGACAATAACTCTATGATTATCTATCATGGTTTGAGGAATATCGTTCTCATCCAAGAGCACGTGCAGCACCTGTTCTTCGAGAAGAATCTCCCTTTTTCATCCCTAGGAATTCTCAACTGTTCCTAAAATTGAGCTTCTTTGGGGGATTCCATGGAATCTCTTGTTCGCAGGGAGACATGGAAACGCGGGACAGTTCCATGCACCACAAGGCCCAGTTACTTCCCCAGCGACCATCCGCACCAGATCCACGAGTCTCTTGACTTAGTAAAACCCAACGTAGCGAACGAAAATTCAAAGAAACGACAAGGAATAAATACGTATATGTTGATAAACACATCTGCAATTGAATATTAGTTAAATCAAGCGATGCCCGTCAAAACATCTCGTTGACTTCCCTTCAACAACGCCCTCGTCCTCACGGCCCATCCTCGTCCCGATGCAGCTGATCCGGCTTTCCTCACAGCCTTTCAACAGCTAATTAGATGGCGTTTCTCGTATGAACACACGTGACATGTCCCCGACTTTGCATCTGTGTTTATATCTACATAAATACGGACTCATATGGCCAACTATTCCCCTCCTCTCTAGGGGGGACAATTCCTGGGCAGGGCTGAGCCAAGACCGTGTCAGGCCCAGTCCCATCCCGGTGTCAATTGCAAGACTGTCGTGGGTGGAACCTACGTGAAGCCCGTCTTGCCCAGCCTCATCCTCTATCCTCCTGACCTGACCTCAGAGAGAGAGAGAGAGAGAGTTGTCCTATACTCAGTGGAATCTGGAAGATGTAGAAAGGGACAGGTTCTGGACTTACCAGGCATGCTGACACCCCTTTCCCTCACGTTCCGACAGCTGAATTACATAAAATATAATATTGAAGCCTCATGAATAAACTACAGAGTTTTTCTAAGCGAGAAATTTTCAAAGAAGAAATGAATATGATGTCGGAATTCTCATTATTTTTTAATAAGAAATGAAGAAGATGAGGACCAAACCCAACTACTTGGGCAATAAATTCCCATCCAGCCGACTCATCGACCGCTACAGTCGTCAATTAAATTCGCGCGAAGACCCAAAAAAACACAGTAAATTTGAAGTCTGCCACGCAACCCTTTAATAAATGAAGGCAGGACGGTCCTTCCTCAAAAAAAGTAAACGAATAAACAACTCGAAATTAAAACGATAGGATCCACAACTTTGAAGAACGGATAAATAGACGAATATAAGTATTATTCATATCTGCGGCATTGCGAAGTTGTGTGCACCCACCTTTCTGATACAAGCTAGAATCAGATATATATACACATATTTGTATATATGTATATGTATGTATCGATGGATAGATAAAGAGAAAGAAAGAGAGAGAAAGAGAGAGAATGAAAGATAAAATAGACGAAATTGAGCGAATATCAAATTCATATATTATCATTTTTTGTGCCAGGATATTGTGAAGTTGGGAGGGGTCACCAATTTTCGTGTATATATGGAGAGAGAAGGAGAGAGAGAGAGAGAGAGAGAGAGGAATTCATTCGAAGTACCTATAATTATTCTTGAACGGGTTCACTGAAGCATATAAAAACCTTCTGGAATGCAAGCAATAATCAGATACGCACGTATGCATATATTTTGGGAGAGAGAAAAGGCGAAAGTTAAAAGAAAAGAATGTATCTGAATTATTAATCAGAATTGGGATATTGTGGTAAAAAAGAATCGAAAAGAGGTGAAAATTCTACATGTACGCTCCCGCGTCCGCGCACACACACAGATCAAATATACACACAATAAATCATGAGTCGGGTGTTGTGGTATGTGGGCTACCAACCTTCTCGGATATCGCGTCCTGGACGACGATGATGTCGCCTGTGATGGCGGATATCACCTCCGCCGTTGATGCCTCTGTATCGAAGAGCTCTATGTCTTGGTTCAGCAGTGATTTCAGATAAGCCAGCCTCATCTTGGCCGCCTGCCTCTCCCCCGTATGCATCCAACAGGCCACCTCTACAATATTGAAAGACAGTAAATCCCCATTGGCCGTCGTTTTCCCGATTACAAAGATGGAGAGGCTCACCAGCCCATGATGAGAATAGGATCGCCACACCCAAATAGACAAAGTCCAGAGAATACTGTTAACAGGGAGGAAGGAACAAGATGAGTGAACGTAGATACATATATGTCTGTCTAGATAGATAAGCATGTATGAGTGGCCTTGGAGTCCTAAAATGAAGGAAAGAGAGACCTTCGCCACTCTATCAGAAACGGTGGTGGGAAAGAGGTAGGCGATGCCGATGATGTTTATGAGCTTCCCGAAGAAGATGAAGAAGACGGGCACGGAGGCTCCGTGGACGCAGGCTCCCACCGCGCCCGCTGCCATGAGGAAGACATCCCATGTGTCGGCGAAAGTGAAGAGCTTGAGGAAGGGGACTTTCTGTTCCTTGAGTTTCCCTCCTCCGCCCTCCTCGCCCTTTCCTGTAGCTGCTGCTTCTCCTTCCTTGCCATGCTCATGCGCAGACTCCACACGCAAGCTCATCTCTATCTCTCTCTCTCTCTCTCTCTCTCTCTCTCTCTCTCTCTCTCTCTCTCTCTCTCTCTCTCTCTCTCAATTTCTTCTGGTGGACGGGCGAGGGAGAAAGGAGACTGTGGGGGCGGGAGCTTTTGAAGTGTAGGGGGTATGCCATTAATCGCATTCAACAACCGCAGTGACGGGTTAGGTGGATGCTGCGCATTTCGCTCCTCCCTCGTTACGGTTGAGTCATGAACCATAAGTGAAATACGGTGCGTACCCTAGCCGTCTCTTTCGCAAACTGGCAGATCTGGATCCTCCCCGACTCGAAACTTGATCCAATCCTCGTATAGCCAACCTTTTGGGTGCACAGATGCATCATGAACACCCCTACTGTTCTCTTAAAACTCCGGGCGAAATAGGGGAGATCCTCTCGAACCACAGTCTTCATGACCACTGTCTAAGGTTGGAGTTCTCCATGGATCATACTAAGGATTGAGACGAGCAGATGGCCTATGCCTGGATTAAGACGTACAGATGGCCGACGGTGAAAGAGGGATTCCTTCACTTTGGTTTGTCGGCAGTGAGGATGAATACACTTTGTCGCGCACCTTGCTCGTATTTTTCTGGTTCTGTTTGAATGTTAATTAGACAGTTGCGAGGGTGAATGTTGATTCTTGGACTGGAGTCGTTGGGCAGCAGCTGCGCGATTTGCCGTGGCGTAATCTCCTAAATTCGAGATGGAGAGCGAGAAGGAGAGCGGAAGAGAGAAGAGTAGGGGAGGGGAATTGGAGATAATAAAAAATTGGAATTGGACAAAAGTACACTCGGGATATTTTCACTTTTGTCCATATTGCCGGCAGGCCCACCGGATCACTATTTACGACGACTAGTCTTCGCCGAAGAAGAGAGAGAAATTCGCAACATGTTCAAGAATATGTACGAGGCTGTGCCCTGGCTCCAAGGCCGTGTTTCTTGCGCGAGGTCCTGACCCATCCGCTCTTTGAGAAGAACATGAAGACAACATCCTGGTTGAGTCATATGAAAGTGCCAATTATATAGGCCGATCACATTCCTCTGTCTTCACCGAACACGCACCCCCCAAACAGTGAGTGAGTGAGTGAGTGAGTGAGTGAGTGAGGGTGTGAGTGAGTGTGTGTGTGTGTGTGTGTGTGTGTGTGAGAGAGAGAGAGAGAGAGATTCGCTTGATATTAGGAACGGACTCAGAACTGAGTGTAAGGTGCATAGACCCAGTATGAATAAACACCGAGCCTGAGAAAGGATTCGGCATACTGGATCTATTTGTCATCCCCGCAACCGTCTTCGTTGGAACCATCACGATCAGCAACTATGTTTACATTTCAATGCTCTTTAAGATTATCGAACTGGCTTAAGAGGAGCATGAATCATCTTAGTTTCTCACGAAGCATTTATTTTAGCAGGTTATGATACAAAAACACCCGAGAAGTTCCATCTCTATTCGCGAGACTCAGACACAGCCATCATATGATATTCACACGAAATATTTGGTTATCAAAATGGAAAAAAAATAGTATTCAATAACTGTCTACATTAATTCACAACCTTTATCTGATCGCATGCTACCAATTCATATGGATTAATGCAGTGGATGCTCTGATCAGCCTCCCGAGGCAAGTCTCTAAGTTTAGTTAAAAGAGGAATGAAATAGGATTCTTCCAAAGATAGAAAACATAAGAACGATACATCTTGAGGAAATTATTTTTCAATAAATGAGTTCAACCGTCTCTCAACCCTCCACTGATCGCAGCCCTGAAGGTTGGTTGCCCCATGAATCCGCCAAATTTCCGATCCCAATCCACCGTACGCCAACTTTCTAGATAGCATATCCAGCCTTGCGTCACAGTGTCGCTACACCATTACATGAAACAGTTCATCTGACGTTATTATTTACGAGAAAGTGTCATGCCTTCTAGATGACATTTATATATATTTACGAAATTCAACTCCAATCCGAATATTTTACCGTCCCCAGATATGACCAGGACCCCAGAAATAGGCTCCAAGCCAGACCTTCGGTGAAGTCCATAATAGAGCCCTCCATTTGCTATCATGAGAGAGAGGGGAGAGAGAGACAACGAGAGAGAGAGAGAGAGAGGGAGGAAGAGTGATCTTTGCTTACATAAATGATCATAATAAAATTAAATTAGATTTTTCGAGGGGAGATGGAACCCATAAAACAACTAGACTGGGTTCGGCATGTTTTCTATACGCGTTGGTTTCGAGATCCAAATCAAAGAAAAAACGGGCTAAAGTCCATAATTACTCAGCCCCATTGACGCCTCTACTTGTTACCTCGTTGAACACTCAATAGGAAGTGGACAGTCCTTCCATCATGAAGAGGAATCCGTGGAATGAGAAGTTCCCAGGAGATGGAAGAACGTTAGTAGAGAAGGAGAAGGGAGACAGTAGAACGAATCCATTTCGGAGTTGGTCGTGAGAACTCGCAAAGAGCCAGTACTACCAAATCGGCTTGCGCAGTGGGGAGGAATGAAGGACATGAACGACGGGGGGGGATTAGCTGCTTTTAGATCTCCGTGGACGCGCTACCTCCCGCGTTCGGCAAGTCCCTTCAAACGGCGGCGGAGAAGGGGAAGAGGGGATTTCCCTCGAGAGAAGCCGCTGGCCCTAGATGCGCCTCTTCATGTATTGGCGAACGGAGGGTGGACACGCCCACACCCGTAATTTCGACTCGTAATTCGGATAACGATCCTGTGCAACGCGTTGCGCCTGTGCAACTGAGCGACAGACACAGATCTCGTGGATGTGCCGACGGACAGCTAGGTGACCGTCGTGCAAGATAGCCAGCCAAGACCGCCGCAAAGTAGGACAGAGGAAGAGAGAGAGAGAGAATTGGAAAGCTTCATTTAAGGGAAGGCCATTCACTGCCCCCAACCACATTCCCAGCTGTGCATTGTGGTTCACGGCCTCCCAAGCTCTCACGGAGAGAGAATGAGAGAGAGAGAGAGAGAGAGGAAGGGTTATAGCATTGAATAATGATGCACTCGCTTTGCTGGGGATGAGAAAGCGGCTCCACAGGTCTCCTCCCTCCACCATCCGTATTAACTGCGGTCGCGGGGAGCGGTCCCATTACTTTTGTAGCACATTAATGATGTGATGGTTCGCTGCTGAGTGGCGACGAGCGCGTTTGAGCTGTAAAAAACAGGCCTGTTGCTGGGTTGCCCTGGATTTAATTAACGTCACACAAGGGACAGAAGAGTGGAAGATTAGGATTATTACCTCCGACTATCCCGGAAAGAAGGTGCCCCGCATCCTTCCCAGCCACCAAATTCACCTTGCATCGTTCACAGAAAAGGAGACAAGATGGGAAGAAGAGGCAGAAGCTCAGCATTTTTACAGCCTTATCCCATGTTAATAAGGGGGGAGCTCAAAATCCTCTCTCTCTCGATTTCTCCATATGGCTTGCATATATCACGCATGTGAAGGTATGTGGGTCAAGTGACCTGCACAAATATATTATAATGGGCGCAGGTAAGTGCAGTCATGTAACTCAGAGGAAAAGAGTTGAGCCATCATTTAATACACGTACTGCGGGATTTCCAGTTCTACCTGGGCCTCCTCTTTTGCGTTGACAGCGGTGTCTTGAACACGGGGGGGAATACGCTTCAAATCACCAAATTGGGATATTCTTGAGGTTTCTTTAGAGGGTCGGGCCCAAGTCGAACGCCCAGGGGGTGGCAATCCTGTGTTTGAATCTGACCGGAAAACCGTCAACGCCAATTGCACATCACATTAACGTCTCTATCGGAGTGCTGCTGACCCTGAGGTTGTGTTTGTCTAAGAGAGTAAGAGAGAGAGAGAGAGAGAGAGAGAGGAAGGTTCCATTCGAACTGGCATGGTTGAATAATCGGTCTGCATCGAGACCGATCCTTTCCAAATTATTCGTCAATTTATGCTCACTCTTCCAAGAGAGGAGGTTCATGATTCGTTTGAAGCATAGAGAACGGTTGGCCGACCTCGTAATCTACCGAATGAAGGCCCGTTTTATAAGCTTCATTTTCCATGACGAAATACCAGAAAAAAAAAAACCATATGTCCTTCTCAAGTGATCGTGCTAGACAACCTTGAAGCGGGTCTGACCTTGATAGGAAAACCATCTCCTAGTACTCAGGTTATCCTCCTCAAGTTCACTCGATCCAGCCCAAAATCAGCCGACGACAGGAAGGTTTAGGGTTTGAAAGACGACCCAAAACCTTTGTTTATACTGTGAAGGTTTTAGGGTTTTAGGGTGTTAGGATTTTTAAACATCGGATTACTCTCGACAGCGGTCCTGGATTAGCGTTTAATCTTGGCTGGGAATGAGTGAGCCCAGTGATAAATCCCAAACTCTGAAACCCTTCAAAAGTTGGCCGGGAAAGCACAGAAGAAGGAAGGATTTCGTCTGTTGATAGTGCATGGACGTGAATGGCTGACGTGGATGCAGCCCTATTCACCATGTTGAGCCTCTCGTGATTCATGGGACAATGATTGTATAATGTTTAATGGGCCCCAACAGCCCAGATGCCAGGAAATTTGGCCCATGGAAGCGGATTCGACCTACTTGTAACTAAGTTGACGAAAAGGCCCAATGATATTCCAGCTGCTCCATATCCTATAATCATTATCTTTAATGGGATAGCATTTATTTTTTTAATTTTATGACTGGAAATGAACTTGATTTCCGTTTGATAAACCTGAAAATTTACTTTTTTTACCGTTTCAACGCCTAGTATTCTGCAGACAAACGGTTGAATGCTCGTGTTTATATGGAGAGCCTCTCCTCTCTCTCTCTCTCTCTCTCTCGCCCGCTCTCACTCTCACTCTCCCCCTCCCTCCCTTCTTATCTATCTATCGATTTATCTATCGATCTATCTATTTATCTCTCGGGTCGCCTTCCCTTTTTCTTGCCGTGAAACCCGCTCGTCCACTTGGTGATGATGCTGCGGAACAGAGCGTCCTAAGTATAACCTGGGCCCGGCGACGGTGCACTGACCGGCGTCGTCGTTGTCAAAGATAGATGCAGAGGCACAGAGAGAGAGAGAGAGAGAGAGAGAGAGGAAGGGAGGAGTGCATGGGTGGGGATGGCAGCGGCGAGGGTCTTCCCCTTGCGGTTCGGATGTGGCTCATTCAGATCCTAGGGTAGGGGAGGACTGGGACGAGAGAAGAAGAGAGATAATCCTGAAGGGTGTGAGGGCGCCATCCTCCGAGACCGCCGTCGTCGTCGTCGTCGTCGTCGTCGTTGGGGGCAGCGGCGGAGATGGAAAATGAGACAGCGCTGCATACCATTTTCAGTACTAACAACCGCTGCGGATCGGCGGACGCGGAAGCTGACTATGGAGGCCTCCTCGTCCTGCTCTTGCAGACGGTCATTATCATCACTCTCTCACACATCCTGCACATGCTCCTTAAACGCGTCGGGCAGCCCAGTCCCATCTCTCAGATGCTGGTAATACCTCTCTCCCTCTCTCTCTCTCTCTCTTTCTCTCGTCATTCTGAGTTGAGATCTATCGCTCAACCTGCCAGGCGGGGATAATTATGGGGCCGACATTGTTAGCGAGACTAAAGCCAGTGGAAGATCTTCTGTTCTTGGGGAACAAGAACAGGGACTACATTTCGAGCACCGCCACGATGGGACGGCAGATCTTCATGTTCCTCATAGGGCTGGAGATGGACATCCAATACCTCTTCCGCAGCAGCCGCAACGCCGCCGTCCTCGCCTACGGTGGCGCCCTCGTTTCTGCCTCCGTGGCCGCCGTCTTCTCTCCGCTGATCTACTGGCTCCTGAGAATCGAGAGGAACTTCAGTACCTTCGTCCTAACCCTCATGGCCATCTTCTCAAACACCGCCTCCCCCATCCTCGTCCGCATGACGGCCGAGCTCAAGCTCACCACCACCGAGATTGGCCGCCTCGCCATCTCAGCCGCCCTCATCAACGACATGAGTTGTCTGGTGATCATCGCCGTGGTCACCACCGTCGCCGTCACTGATAACGGCTTCTACCAGCAGAAGGTCCTGCGCGCGACCGGCGCCGCCGGGCTGATGGCCATTGCATTTCTCATCATCCGCCCGCTGGTGCGCTGGATCAACCGGCGCAACAGGCTGCGGCGGCACATCAAGTTCTTCGAGTTCATCTCTCTCCTCCTCTTCGTCATGGTCATCTCCTCCGCTACCGAGGTGGTGGGCTACAACGCCATGATGGCGTGCTTCCTCATGGGGCTACTCTTCCCCAGGGAAGGCAGCACAGCGAGGACCCTCATCGAGTGGCTCACCTATCCCGTCCACAACTTCATCCTCCCCATCTACTTCGGCTACACCGGCATGCAGACCGACCTGACCATCGTTCACGGCTGGTTCCTCTGGGGCGTCGTCACCGTGGTGGTCATGAGCACCATCGGCAAGATAGCCGGAACCGTCGCCGCCGCTCGTCACCTGAAGATCCCCTTCCACGAGGGCCTCGTCCTCGGCTTCCTCCTCAACGTCAAGGGCCACGTCGACCTCATCGTTATCGCCCTGGCCATGAAACACAACGTAAAAAGATCAAACCCTGATTGCCCCCCTTCTCCCCCTCTATCCCCATGCGAAGAATTCGATCTAATCCCAATGGGGCCGACGGCAGCTGCTGTCGGTGGACGCTTTCATGGCTCTTATCTCGACGGTGGTGCTGAACACGCTGATAACGGGGCCGGCGGTGGCGTTGGTGGTGCGACGGGAGAGGAAGATGAACAAGTACCGCTCCAAGGGGCTGGAATGGGAGAAGCCGGAAACGCAGCTGCGGATGGTGGCCTGCGTACACGGCACCCGCGACCTCCCCGCCGTCCTCAGCCTGATCGAGATGTCCAGCGGCACCGAGAAGGCGTCCATCGCCGCCTACGTGCTGCAGCTGGTGGAGCTCACAGCGAAGACGACCAGTGCCAAGCTCTACCACCAGCAGGAGGACGACGAGTAATGTTTATGAGACAAGCCAGACCCGAGCTATATATATCCGCGGCGACCTGGTTCACTCGAGGGTCAACGGCGTGGTTCTTCCCCCGCAGGTACGAAGATGACGACGGCGCCGACGAGGCCAGGCAGATCAACGCGGCGGTGGACGCCTTCACCCAAGAGACCGGGATCACCATCCGGCAAGTCACCGCCGTCTCGGCCTTCGCCAACATGCACGAGGACATCTGCAATGGTGCCAAGGACGTACGAGCCTCCCTCGTCGTCCTCCCCTTCCACAAGTTCCAGCGGGTAGACGGGAAGATGATAACCAAGAAGCACGGGCTGAGATCGGTCAACGCGAAGACGCTCTCCCGCGCACCCTGCACGGTCGGCATCCTCGTTGACCGTGAGGGGCCGGCGGCGGCGGCGGCCAGGGTGTCGGCGGCACCGCTTGAGGGCCACCAGGTAGTAGCTCTCTTCTTCGGCGGCCCCGATGACCGGGAGGCGGTGGCCTACGGCGGTCGCATGGCCGTGCACCCGCTCGTGAGCCTCACCGTGGTCAGGTTCCTGCCGGCATCCCGCGCCAGCTACGACGCAGAGGTGGAGATGGAGGCCTCTAAGGGCGAGGAGGTCCTCATAGCCATCAACAACCACGAGAAGGAGAGCGAAGCCGACGAGGCCTTCCTCTCAGAATTCTACACCAGGTGGGAGAACACCCGTTGCTACTCTGTCCCCTTCCCTGTCGGAGCCTTTACGGGAGATCTTCGTCCATCCGTCTTAGGTTCGTCGTGCCGGGGACGGTGAGCTTCGTGGAGAAGACGGTGGCGAACTCGCTGGAAACATTAGACGCGCTGCGGGGGATGGAAGGCATGTACGCGCTGTACCTGGTGGGGCGTGGCGGCCGGCGGCTATCGCCGTTCCTCATGGGGCTCAACGACTGGGAGGAGTGCCCGGAGCTCGGGCCCATTGGTGACCTTCTGGCCTCCTCCGACTTCCCCGTCCATGGCTCCGTCCTGGTGCTGCAGCAGAACGGCACCACGAAGAAGAAGAAGGGGACTAGGGACGAAGACGAGTTCGCCATCTTTTAGCTGCGGTTCTTCGTCCCTGCGGGCAGCTTGGGGCGACTCGTGGAGTCAGAAGCCGGGTCGAGGCACAGAGAGCTTCCGAGTTGGGCCGAGTCAAACTGGATTTCGCTTTGATGCACGCATATCATGCCGAACCGAATCCCAACACCCCTTCCGCCTTCCCAACACGCCAAACTATATTTGTCTTCTCCTCCCCTTCCCAACCAGTGGTATCGATGCCTCAACATCACCGCCTACAACTCTCTCTCTCTCTCTCTCTCTCTCTCTCTCTCTCTCTCTCCCAGGTTCCTACTTGCGACTCCACCGAAGTTACAAAGGTCACACCTTTGGTATCCCTTGATCGCCGCAATCTCCGTCCCATTCTCATAGTCGACAGGAAACCACACAAAAATCTTCAAGGAAATGAATTCAGGGATGTACAGGAACGTGGGAGGAAGTCATCTTCTTCCTCCCTCGTAAGAGGATGGCGGGTAAACGAAGGATCTATCTACAAGCGCCGACCTCCCCGGATCCTCCTCTGGTGGGTCGTCACGGAGGACTGGGAAAAGAGACAGCCTTCGCCGACTGGTCAGACACTGCGGCAAGACCCTGCAGCAGCCTCTCGATCTCGGCTTTGTCGTCCAGATAGTACTTGGCTTTGCTCGGCTTCTGGCCAACGGTGCAGGCGAAGACGTCTGCCGCCGGGGCCAGCGACGGCGCCGCCGCGGTGCCGGTGATGACTTCGAACATGTCCTCGTCGGACCTGTCGTCGCCGATGCAGAGGACGAAGTCTAGCCTTGTGCCCTTCTCCCTCATCGCCCGTAAGAGCCTCTCCGCCACCAGCCCCTTGGTCACGCCCTGGAATAGAATCCGAGCCGTTTTAGGGCAAAACAAACCAGAGGGCGGTGAAAGTTGCTATCGAGAGGCGAACAAATCTCCGAACCTGCGGCTTGACTTCGACAAGGTGGTGTCCGCTCTTCACGGAGACGGGCTCGTTGGCGAGGACGCTCTCGAGGTGATCAAGGAGCTCCTTGGCCTGGCACGATCCGAAGTCGGGGTCTGCGTACTGGTAGTGCCACACGAGGGCGCTCTCCTTGGCCTCTATCGTTGACCCGTCGGTCGTCTCAGTGTACAGCTTCATGATAGGCTCTGCGATCAGCTTCCAGCAGAAGTTGGTCGACGGCTGCGGAGTCTCCCACTCCCCGCCGGGCTCCTCACTGGGCAGAGCAACAGATGAGATAGAAACTCGGAGGTCAACGGTATAATGACGGGTGGATGTATATGTGATATTTGTATACCTCAGGAAGTATCCATGCTCCGCGGCGATTCCCAGATTCTCGCAGGAGGAGAACCAGGAGCTGAGGGTTTCCTTGTCCCTGCCGCTGATGAGGAAGACGACGTTGTTAGGGTCCCCGCAGAGGGTCTTCAGAATCCCGATGGCCTCCGCCGTGGGAGTCTTGTTGATGGACGCCGGCGAGGCCATGGCGCCGTCGTAGTCCAGGAGGATGGCGCGATTCTTCGTCCTCCGGTAGGCGGAGACGATGTGCTCCAGCGAGAGTTTCCGGAAATTGGGGTCGAGGGCGATGACCCTGAAGCCCAAGCCGAAGCCGATCCCCCAGCACCGCCGCTGCAGATGGTCTCTGCAAGTCCGCTCCAAATCCTGCAAGAAGCTGTGCGCCCAGTACCCGACGTGGTGGGTGGCCACGTAGCGGTGGTGCTTCTCGTGACGGAGCTCCTTCTCCGTCTCCGGCATGACCAGAGTGAACTCCATGGCCTCCGCCACTGCGTCTACATTCCAGGGGTTGACCCGAATTGCACCGCTCAGGGACGGAGAGCAGCCGACGAACTCGGAGACCACCAGCATGCTCCTCTTCTGCCCCCCCGGCCGGAGCTGCAGAGCCGCGTCGAGCTTCCGGTTTCCCTGCCGGGAGACGATGTACTCGTAGGGGATGAGGTTCATGCCGTCCCTTACCGCCGTGACCAAGCAGCACTCCGCCACCACGTAATAAGCGATCCTCTCGAAGAACTGGAGGGGGCTCTCGATGAGGACGACGGGCTGGTAGTTCGGCTTCCCGAACGTCTTGTTGATCCTCGCCGCGACGGCGTAGGTCTCCTCCTGCAACTCCTGCACGGGGCGTCCACGGCCGCGAGCGGGGTTCGCGATCTGGACCAGGACGGCCTTTTCTCTCCACTCGGGATGCTGCAGGAGGAGCTGCTCCATGGCCAGGAGCTTCAAGCTGATCCCCTTGAAGATGTCCATGTCGTCCACCCCGAGCAGGACGATCCGATCCTTGAACTGGTCCCTGAGCTCCACGACTTTGGCCTCCGTCTCCGGCAGGTTCAGAGCCGATTGGAGCTGACCGAGGTGAATCCCAACGGGAAGGATCTTGATGCTTACGGTGCGGCCGTAGTACTCCAACCCAACGTACCCTCTCTTCGACTGGTACGAAAGCCCGAGCATTCGGCTGCAGCAGGAGAGGAAGTGCCTGGCGTAATCGAAGGTGTGGAAGCCGATGAGATCGGCGTTGAGCAGCGCCCGGAGGAGCTCGTCTCTGACGGGGATCGTCCTGTAGATCTCAGAGGAGGGGAAGGGGCTGTGGAGGAAGAACCCTAGCTTCACCCTGTTGAACCTCTTCCTCAGGAAGTTGGGGAGTACCATGAGGTGGTAGTCGTGTACCCAGACGAAGTCCTCCTCTGGGTTGATCACCTCCATGACCTTGTCCGCAAAGATCTTGTTCACGGAGACGTATGCCTGCCAGAGGGACCGGTCGAAGCGGCCCCCGAGGTCCCGCGACAGCGGCAGCATGTAGTGGAAGAGAGGCCACAGGTACTGCTTGCAGAATCCATGGTAGAACTTGGCGAACAGGTCAGGGGGAAGGAAGGCCGGCAGGCATCTGTAACCCTCCAGTAGTCGCTGCGAGACGTTGTCTTGTTCCTTCGGATCCACTTCCTCCTTCAAGCAGCCGATATAGATGACCTCTGTGTCGTCTCCCAGGCCATCCTTGAGCTGCAGGAGAAGGGAGTCCTCATCCCAGCTGAAATCCCAGCCCCCGCCGTCCGGTCGCCGGAGAGATCGTATGGGAAGCTGGTTTCCGACGACGATCACGCGGTCGTGAGCGGTGGAGGATGGGCCGTCGGAGCCGGGGCTGTTGGAGTTCTCGTCGTCAAGATCGGAGATGATCCCTGCGACTGTCATTACCCGGGGGAGCCTCTTCCCCACGGGTCCAAATGCGGGCGAATCGCCCGATGTGAGCTCCAGCAGATTGGAGTACGATCTCGAAACCATCCCCGGAAGAGCGTGATCTGCGGATTCGAGTGGAGAATCAGGAGAAACGGAGGACCGGGGGTAGAGAAAGACTATCAGAGAAGAAGATCACTCGCTCCCCCTCGATTCATTGTTCAGGTCAAAACCCTCAAAAACTCTCGGAGATCACCAAACCAGCCAGGTGGAAGAGAATGCCGTGAAAAACAGGGGTCCAATCGACGGCGAAAATTCCTCTTCACCCGCCGTTGGAGATGGGTACGGAGACAAAGGACCATCAGAGATTCCAGACAGAGGTGGGCATGGTGATCACCTCCGCAGGAGAACCAGAGACTTTAGACGGATAGACGGAATCTCCGCGCCTTGCTCCCCACCATCTCTCTCTCTCTCTCTCTCTTCCCTGCAACTTTTCACAGGTATCCTAGAAAGTGTAATAGAAAAACTGAAAGCATTTGATTCCCACCCTCCGAGTTTTCGACGTAGGCCCATCACAGAGTGGCCCGAGGAAGGGACGGTACTTCGCTGTTGTTGCAGGAAGAGGACGGTGGCCGCGAGTAACTTAACCGCGAGTGACGCGTGGAATCTAATTTTTTTGATAGGACTGACCGATCACGCACGTGGACCCACTGACATGAATGAGCACCTATTCCAGCATCCCCGCACTTTGTCGTTTTCCCTCCTCCCCCGACGAGCCGAATCAGAAGTACGATTTGATACGCACTCAATGGTAAGCTCAGAAAGAGGAGGCATGTGTCGGTCTCTCTCATTCACTCCTATTCCACGGATAAGATCGACCAAATTGGGTGGTCCATCAAATCGGCGGTCCCGAGGCGTGGAACGCGTACCCAGAATTGAATGCCTCGTCATTCCCGCGGGTATTTTCGGAATGTTTTTGGCCTCCATTCTCCGGCCCCGCCGCTACGGCGTCTCCTTTCGTGACGGCGGCCTCTCAGAGATGACCCCCAGCCCCGGACAAGACCCCTCGGCTATGACACTTTAACCTCTCACAACATGACACGTGGACAGCAACGACTCCACCTCAAATTTATTCTTGGAGTTTTTAAAATTATATATATAATCTTAAGAATAATTTTTTTAAAAAAATATCTAATAAGGCATTATTTGAGTTAATTTTCACACGTGCTGCTGTCAAGGCATGAATTCGCTGGGGGAATGGATCGGCCCAAAAAAATTCCCGGATGGGCCTGAGAGACTTAATGGGCCGCACTGTATGACCCAACCTAGTCGTGGGCCCCACTCTAGGAGCCCATTTGCTGGGGTTATATTTGGGTCCGGGCCGATTCTGGGTCTGTAGTAGCCTGATCGTTCGGGGCCGGTCGGACCGACCGGCCGAGGAATATTCTCCGAAGTCGATGTAAGCCCACCATTCGGGGGCAGCGGCAACGGCGGCCGCTTCCGTCGGTGCCCGGCGAGCCTTCCGCGATGGGGAAACCGGCGAAAGGGACGGCGAAGGGCAGGAGTCGGAGCAAGGGCCACCTCCACCTCCTACAGGAAGAGCAGTTGGTCGTCCAGTCTGCTTACGAGGAAGAGCATCGTCGCCGCTGCGAGTCACTATCTGATTCTCCGGTGACGGCACAACCGGAGGCTACCTGCTCCACCGGTGATGGCACCATCTCGGGAGCTTCCAATCAGGGCGCCTTGGAAGAAGCAGAGGTACTGCGTAGCTCTGAATTTCCCCCGATTGATCGGATCAGTGTGGATGGTGAGGGACGGGAGGGGGAAGCCGCAGAGTGTGGCCGCAGGGATCACGTTATAATGTCACCTGAAGTTGACTCTGAGCCCCGGGGGCAGCCGGAGGAGGACGCTGTTGCCGATGAGCAGAGCGCGGAGAATAGCGATCAGGAAAAGGTATCGGAATCCGCCGGGGATTTTTCATCGGAACCTGGATCGACAGGTGCACGCTTGCAGGAAGTTGAGTCAGCAGACTGTTTTGAGAGGGATCTGAAAGAAGCCCGCGGCAGGCTGGAGGAGCTCAGCTTGCTGGGGGAGGAGCCCATATTGTCCGATGAGCAGAAGCTGTACAACGACCAACTTCAGGAGGACGAGGTATCTACCTTTACCTGGCCCAATTTTGGCGTAGGCTGGGCTTTTCTTGAGAAGACTTTTCTTCCCTGGATATCTTCTGATAGAACTTGATTGTATGGCTCAATTTGCTTCAGACGTGACTTAGTTCTTTTCCTGTGACTGTTCTTCAGGTGACGGCATTGGAGGCCATTTATGGGGAGAGCTTGTTCGACTATAAGAGGGAAAAGGGCCTGCGATGGTTACAGGTTTAAATCTGATCAAGTTCGTCCTAGTGTCCTATCCAGAGCGGGAAAGACAATTGAATCTGTGCCCTTCATAAACTGCAGATCAAAGTGCACAACGAATTTCCTTCTGATTTTAGTGTTTCTGCAACATTTGGCTCGTCCAGTGAGAAGTTGAAACGCAAACAAGCTGAGAATGATGATCCAGATGAGCTCACCTACACATTTAATGTTCGGTTTCTACCCCCAATTGTATTGTCTTGTTTGCTGCCGCAATCATATCCAAGCCATTGTTCTCCTTATTTCATGATCCATGTCAAATGGCTGGACTCCATGAGAATTTCCGGTCTCTGTCGCATGCTGGACTCCATCTGGATGGGGCTGCGGGGGCAAGAAGTTATATTCCAATGGGCAGAATGGTTGCATACTTCTTCTCTATCTTATCTGGGATTTCATCATGGCATATTGCTGGATGCCTGCAGTGCAGATGGCGAGAGGGACATGAGAGCGATATCAAGATGCATTTCTCTCGATACCCTGGTGCCTTCTATGATGAGCTACAACGAGGAGAAAATTCTAGAGGCCTTCATGAGCGATCTACATGCTTGCCCAATCTGTTTCAGTGAGTATGCAGGTATGTATCTTTGTACCAAAGATGCTACTTTATGGCTTTCAATCACTATAGTCCTAGACTTTGTTTTTCTTTTTTTTTCTTTCAACACTGTGAGCATTGGTTTTCTGTAGTGGATTCAACATGTAATCCTTGAACAGTGCCCATCTGAAGCATTCTATTGCATATCACATGTAAGATAGGGCGAAATTTTTTCACCTATTAATCCGTGATATCCATGATGTAATTCAAGTATAGAATACAATAGCATTTTCTGTGATACAAAGTTAAAAATTTTCGTAGTGAAACTTAGTTCATCAGCCAAATCAGTCTCATTGTCGCAATCAAGAAAGGCCCTTCCGATCCAAATTCATGCAAATGTTTGGCTGATCGTCATGCTTGATACTGACGTATGAGAGAAGTTAATGAGCGCATATTGGCTGCTATTGATTTAAAACGAGGAGCGGTGTAGTCCTGTTGATGTGACTTTCATTTTTAATTGATGATGAAAAACTGGGAAACAAGCTTGTCTTTTAGAGATTGTGGATGCTCTTAATATAATTAAAATAAATCCAAGTAACTGTTAAAAAAAATAAAATAGGGGCCTTTAAATCGGATCTTGAACGCCTTGATGCCAAGTAATGTAAGTCGTTTGATGTGATCTTCAAATGTATATTTTCTTTTTGGCGATATGTTAACAAAAAGAAACAAAACTTGACGAACCACCACAAAGCTTGCGCACCAGACAGATGCTGCTATGTCCACTAAGAAGTTCAGTGAATGAGGAGCAGGCACCAAGTCCAGAGCCTGCGTTTGTTGTGTGCACGCCATTCGAAAACTTGCTGTGGAGGGTTTTCCTTTTGGCATGAGGTGTATGAGAACTTCGTTCTTGAATGAAATGAATGAGAAGACTTTTATCAAATCATCTTTATAAATCAAAGCCCCACACGCAATTTCTCCCAGACTTGCACGACTTTCATTGGCAAGAAGTCAAGTGCAGAAGTGAAGCCAGCCTTTTTGTCTTGGTAATGTGTATGCTTCATCATCTCTGAGCGCCTTGCTGATCCTTGATTTTATCTGACGTGTCAGGTAAGGAGCTCGTCAGACTGCCATGCCAGCATTTCTTTTGCTGGAAATGCATGGAGACATATTCTAGCATCCACGTGGACGAAGGCACGGTGTCCAAATTGCTATGTCCCAATCCCAAATGTGGTGATCTTGTTCCACCTGGGTTACTAAGGCAGTTGCTTACAAGTGAAGAATATGAACGCTGGGAATCATTAATGTTGCAGAAGACACTTGACTCAATGTCTGACGTGGTTTATTGTCCAAGATGTGGAACTGCCTGCTTGGAGGACGAGGATGATCATGCTCAGTGCACAAAATGCTACTTCAGCTTCTGCAGTCTTTGCAGGGAGCGTCGACATGTGGGAAAGCAGTGCATGTCATCAGAGGACAAGCTTCTCATTCTGCAGGTTCAAACTTTCATATTTTCCGTACGCTTTGAGAATAAACAGTGATTATGAGATTCATTTCATTTCACTACTTTCTCTCTGTCAAAAGATGGTAGTTTATTTCGTGCCCTGTATCTCTGTCAGTGATTATCTGTTTATGGTTAGTCGAGACATTTCAAACCCCTGTTTCAGAATTCTGACTGTTGAACGGGGTAGATTCAACGCCATTAGATGGCATCACCTTACCAATTGTGGATGGAATAAGGAGGCAAGGGTGTTCTTGAACATCTGGATTCCACGTTATATATCCCAGTTGGATCCAAAAGACGCTGCTTTGCTGGTAGATGGTGCTTCTTCAAGGGTAAGGAAATAAAGGAATATGGTCAGGGAGAAGAGGATCAAGTTATTGAGCTCTCTACAAATCTTAGTTGGGCGAGTCCAAGGTAGATGGATGATCTAGGTTCCACCGTGTTTTAAATGGTTGAAATCTTCAGAACATGACAAAGTGGCATCCGGGAATTCTCACCTTTTCTTTTTTTTCTTTGGTTCTAGATGTCAATGAGGGAAAGCATCGAGAATCAGAGAAATCATGTCCCAAGATAATGCAAATGTCAGGTTCCTCTGTAGTGATCTGGGGAAACTCTTTGAGCCTCTTGCCAGCGATTTGAGTCTGAAATATAATGAGGTTTAAAGATTTAACCGATTAAATCTAGAACCAACATTGAATATTGTGAATTTTCTGGCAAATTTTAGTACAAACAAGCAATCCATGTCGGTCTGTAATCATTTTGCTCAGAAAATCTTCTTGTGTCAACATCTGAAGCGAAATTCATAGTTTTCTTGCTCTTCTTTTTTTTTCAAGGAAGTCCACATCCATTAGACAAAACCCAAAACGTCAAAGATGCAATTCAGAAAAGCAGAAGAACAGAAGAAGAACCATGCAACAGGAGCTTCCCTAGGATCGCGATAACTTCTGACCCAGCCCCGAGCAAACTCCCTGCCCTAATAAGTTCTTGATCCTAACCAACACAACTGGTTCGACTCTTGTCATGATGTTGAAGGAAATCTTTCTGGACGATCCGGCGGCACTTGATCTAGTTTCTGATACCTGTTTTTCTTTCATATAGATCATCCCACCTCCTGGATGTTGGGATTGCCGACAATATTCCTCCTTCATTTGAATCAATGTTCTTCGCTGTCTGTTCAAAAGAGTTGAAATATTTTCCGGATACTAAGAAATTAAATAGTAAAAATAATTATTATTGTCCTGCAGGAGCGGCAGAAGTTCTCTAATCTGAAGGAAGACCAGAGACGAAAGGAAGCTAATCTGATCAATGAGATCCTGAGCGTCAGACAGATATTAAAGGATTCTAAGCAATGCCCATCATGCAAAATTGCCGTCCAGCGTACTGAAGGCTGCAACAAAATGACCTGCGGAAACTGCGGGATTTTCTTCTGCTTTCGTTGCAACAAGATAATTAAAGGATACGAGCACTACAGGTGACCCATTTCGCCTGTGATTCTTCATCATTTTCTCACTTCTCCTTCTGTGAAGGAAACTGATGCTTTTATCGTAGAAAAAAATGTGTGTTATTTGAAGCTGAGTTGATTCAGAACTGGGAGAGGGACATGAACTTCCACCGACTCGAGGCTCAGGCTCAGGCTCGACATGGGTTGCAACCTAATCATGCCCATCCGTGTCCCAACTGTGGTCAAGTCAACGCCAAGGTGAGTTGAGGATCAAGTTCATTCCCTGCTATCCTTCTTCGTTATTGGTTTATATATATACAAAAATAAATTTTAATTTTCTTTGTACACGTTTTTTTTCCCTGCCTCTCTATCATGATCAGCTGTGGTTTGAAACCTTCATACATGACACTGATAGTTCCGATGGGCCATTGTGGATTCAATCCCCAAATGCCCATCGGAATGAACGTTGACTTTTTCCTTTTTAATAAATCGGGATGATCCATCTGTTCTTGGTTTATAACTCTTGGTTTTGAGTTTTTATTTTATTTTAAAAATGGTCTGTGAAAAATCGGTAGTGGATTCCAAGCCCAGATAGCCGCTGGAATTTATTTATTTATTTATTTATTTTTCAACAAGTCAACAGGATCTTATCTGTTCTTAGTTTTTATTTTGTGACTCATGGCTTGAAAATTATTTTATTAAACTCTGTGATTTATCCTCTTTTAAAAAATATATTTTCTTAACGAATCAGCATTATCTATCTATTTCTGATCCTATAACTCGTGGTTTGGGGGGGGGGAAAAAAAAAAAACCTTAACCAGGTTGAGAACAACAACCACATCATGTGCTGGTCTTGCCAGCAGCACTACTGCGCCCTCTGCCGGAAGGTTGTGAAGAACAGCAGGGAGCATTACGGGGCCAAGCGCTGCAGACAGCACACCGTTGACTCCTGAGGAGCAGAGCCGATTTGAGAAGGCCTTTACCGTTGACTGCAGACAGCATTACGGGTCGCTTCTGTGTGTGTGTGGGGGGGGGTTCTCAGCTTGGTGGAGCTGCTCGCAGAGGTACACACATCCATGGTGGATAGTCAACGACTCTTCTGAGAATATTCTCTTCTTTCTGCATATCTTCTCCAAAAGTTTCCCCCGTCCACGCCTTTTTAGCATTGGCCAGGATGAGTCTTGTGGGAGCTTGAATTTCTTGATTGGGGAGACTATCTGTGATACTATATTGAAGAGACCATCGATTCATGGAAGACTACCCATAAGAAGAGAGAGAGAGAGAGAGAGAGAGAGAGAGAGATGTGTGCTTGTATCCTATGCATATGGGGATTAGTTTCTGGGATCCAAATCGATAGAAAAAAGCTTTTAGCGCAGAGAATCTTGGACTGCTTATGAACCCTGAGACGGGTCTATCAAGATGAATCAGAAGAAGGGGACAGAAGGAAGCTAGTGGGCAGTTCATGCAAGCTGTCATCGTCCCTTCAGTTTCTAGGGGACTGAGCCCTCTGCCCACTCCAACCCCCTGCATGAGTTGATTTCACCAGCGCTCAAGAGAGGGTAGCAAGAGGATTACAGGTCGTTGATAACCCAGTTGGGAGCGTCCACCGCTCAGATAACTCCATGCCGCCCAACATCCTGCAGGAGGATGGAGGTGAGAGAGAGATCTCACTCAGAGAACTCCATAAGGTGTGGAGCGAAAATTTACATGGAATGCATTAAAGTTAGGTTATGTGCGTATTATAATGCGAGATCACACAGAAAACCGACTCGGAATGAGTATTAGAGATTAGTCATTAAAAAAGCTGTGGTTGACATGCAAAGTTACTCTCTCTCTCTCTCTCTCTCTCTCTCTCTCTCTCTCTCTCTCTCTCTCTCCCTCTCTCTCTCTCGCTCTCTCTGCGGAAAAGATGTCCGAGGATCAGCTCGGGCTTGGCCTGGCTTTCAAAGGGAGAGAGAACAAGTTTCAGGCAGTGATAGGTACCTGGTTTGAATTCAGAGGACGAGATCATCTCAGAGGGCAGCGCCAGTCATGAAGCGGTGGCTGAGTACTGCTTCGGCAATTGGGCGTTGACGATAATCCGGGTTTAGCATTGACTGCGTCAGCAGCACACAAAAAAGTCAGCGACCAAAAGAAGCCCCCATTCACACCACCCAAAAGAGCAAACAGAAGAAATTATGCAGCAAATCAAAAGAAAAAAAGAGGGAGTAGAGGTCAAAAGCCAATCCACTAAGGAGCATTCTGATATACAGGAGAATCACCCACTGCCACGTGCAGAACAAAAAATGAAGCCACGTGGCAGTCAACAAAGCCCAGTCAACACGTTGACACCCCACGTAATATGCAACACTAAGGGAGCTATCCGGAGGAGGAGGAGGGAAAAAGGAAGTAGGGATCATCTGCAGATCCCAGCTGGCAGGAAAAAAGAGGGAACTTTTTTCCTCTTTTAGTGTTTGTCAGATGGATATATATGGGAAAGAAGATCACCCAAAAGAATAGGGTCAAAAGCTGACCTGAAGCAGCTCCCAGCCTGCGCGATTACCAAGGTCCAAGAACTTGACGGCTTCTCTTAAGCGGTCATCCGCCAGGCAGTACCTGAAAGACTCAGCAGACATAACCAAGAGGGCGTGCGTAAACGATAAGCTTTTCTTTTCGGCAGAATATCATCTGCCCTAAAATAAGATATAAACTGAGAGAAATACTTGCATAAAATAGGATATAAACCGAGTCAACCCTTGAACATATATTTCTAACATGTTTGTTGGACTAGTTGACCTTCCGCTATAAAATAGGATACAAACCAAGTCAACCCCTTGAACACAAGTCTGGGAAGAGACAGTCTGATTACTGATTCAGTTTATACACCTCATTGTTGGAAGTTGTAAGTCTTAAAAAAAGGAAATACTATTAAAGAATGAGGGCATTTTTGGAAAGTTATCTAGAGTTTCGCCCCATATAATGGGTGTTAGAGGTGAATGAATCTTGAGATGGTTGTCCCCTATGTTTTTTCAACACTCATAGCTACTGAGACCAGCTCAGTTTTGACTCAAATAAGTTATGGAGAATAGTAATGGTGGGAATAATGAGAGTCAATGTGCATTGACTCAGTGTGGTAAGTAAGCCCACGGGCCAGCAGGGTAATGGCAAAAACCGGTTAAAATGACATTCAGAGAAGATTTCTACAGCATAGAAAGCAGTCAACATTAAAATGATAGATCAAGTGGAGAGCCTGAAAGAACACCTACATCTGATGCCAGTTGAATGATAGTTAATAAATCTTGATCTATGCAAAAAAGGGTTTTCCGAAAATATGAAAATTCTGATTCGGGAACTGAGAAGAACATCCAAATTTTTACATGATCAGAAAAAATCGTAGAAATAGCCATTAAAATGAAGGCAACAACAGAGCAGGAACCCTTACTCTCTTGCAGCTTCAAGGTCAAGCTGGAAAGTGCCCTCAAAAAGCCTCTGCGAGATTTTATACTCAAAATTGATTCAGTAAAAAAATAAAAATAAAAATAAAATAAAAAATATGTTGATATATGGTTGATCAGGAAGAAACAGTTTTGCAATAAGCTACTCTTACTTGCAAGGAAAGACCATCCATGGCGCCTGATTCACAGAATGGAAGGAATGTCAGGTACAAAAACAGAAGACCCGCCTCAAATCTGCTTGCAGGTAGACATGAAAACAATGAAATTTAGACTAAGTAAGCTGTCTATCAGGCCACGTTTTATGGTAAACATAGATGGAAATATCTGCCGCTATTTTACATGTCATCAGCTATCCCAAAAGCTCTTTTCTCCAGGAGCGTAAAAGCCCCAGCTGCAGAGGCCCGGCGCCATAGCCCTTCAGAGAGCACTCCTGGACTCGTGTCTAACGATGAATACCTGTGATCGAGAACGCAATACTAGACTTGATACATAGATCATGCGATATCTAATTTACCAGAAGAGCCTTGAGATAAGAAGGATAACTTAAGTTCCCTAACACAACCTACATAATTTGTCGATTATTCAAGATTCAAGAAAAGGGGCCGCATCAACAAACGTAACCTCCCCATTCACCACATATTTGCATGTCTTCCGACATGCCACAAGATTCTCTGTAGACCAAGACGGTCATCACTTGGTGGATGGTTGATGTCAAGGAAAGAAAAACAGTCGAAAGAAATATGGAAAGACTTTGAACACTGATATATGTGACTCCAACTTGAGGGAATAAATCCTATGATTAACTGATATCGGATAAAATATTATTTTCCGATATGTTTTGACCTGGACTAAGTCAGTCAATAAACCTTATGTTAGCCATTTGTGCATTGTCAGCAGAAGGCATTAGGTTTTATCTCGTGTTTCTAGCACAAGATTGTCTTCATAAGTTATTATTGCTGAGGTGATAGAGAACGTTTAAATTTTTGTTGGAAGGTGGTACAGCCGATGATAGAAAAGTTATAAAGTAAAGGAAAAGAGGATGCAGATAGCAAACTGTAATTTCTGCCACATTAAGTGTCACGGAAATGATCTAAAAATACATGGCGTGTAATAGAGATTAAGATGTAGAGGTTCGGCACTTATTTCCTGTGACCACAGGAGCCTCAGATCTACCACTTCAGCCTCAACATGAAAATTTAATTGAATTAACGACGTCCAAAGGAACTCAACGGTTAGGGGTGTCAGAACATTCTATTTTCAAGGAGGATCTGATGCATAGAAAAGAAATCCGAGAATCTTTCATAGCTTATCTATCAGATTATTAATTTTGCATTTTGTTTTGTTTGCCTCAACTTGAAAAATATCACCGATTACTGTCCCATAACTAGGAATCCAAGAAGAACCACTTTAGTGGCAAAAAATGTCGAAAACAGAAGTCCGCATTGACTTCGGAATTACTGAAGAAAATTCGTGGGGGTTGGAAATATTCATACTTTGGTATAAGGCAGTAAAAAATTATAAGATGATTATCAAAGACGATCCGCTCAAGTTCCATCACTAATGAGACAGGAATTTATGCCCCACTACCTGAAAAAGTAAAACTCTAAAATCATTCATGAACTGGAAATACTATGAAGCATATTGTGAACATAATACAGAGCATCTGAATTCAATAACCCTAGCAGAGTGCCATGTGTTTTCAATGTACCTCCAGTTATATGACCATTTGAGGAACCCTCAGAGACCACTGTATTTAGTCTGTCTACTCCAAAACCCCTGATTGAATCTATCAAATATTCTCTAAGATGTGAGATGTAAATTATCTTAAGCTCAACAATCTGATCAAGAATCTCCACTAAGAACATGTTTTTTTAACATAAGAAATTATTTTTTGGACTCCTGAATAAAATCCGTCGAAAGCATACACATATGTTGTCCATTTTTATAATCCCTTACTTTATCACACACTGGATCACCAATCACATGATTATGTACATCGAAACATGGGAAAGCTTGCAGGCGATCTGGTTGCATAACATGCAAGGAAACTCCTGAAGCCAAATGAGATCACTTCAATTTCTTAACCACATCAAGAAAGAATAAATCTTAATATGTTCTTTTCAGGTTTTAGGCTGACAAAGGTAAAATTATTACTGGACAGACATGATTCCGGAGACAGAGAATGGTGAGCTTGCCTAATGTCAACTGAGAAGGCCAGATCACGAAGTCGTGGCACCAAGTAGTCTGCATCTTTTTCCATAATCGTACTGTCAACCATCACAATGGCTGTCAAAATAAATGCAAAGAGCAAATAATCTATAAAATACATGTAAATAAATGTTGATATGATATGTACTTGAGAACAACAGAAGCCGGTCCAAGACTCTGGTGCAATCTTTCGTTGCTGTGCATGTAAGCAAGCCCACCCATGGCACCATTGAGAAGCTTGATGACAAACTTTCTTCTCCGCGTCATCTTTTGTTCCCAGTCAAAGGGGTTCCATGACCTTTGCTCAGTCCGATATTTCAACACATCTTCACCCATGATTTTAGCATAGTCTGCAGCGCTATATATCCCATCATTACGGAAGGCCAGCCACTGCAGAGAAGCCACAATTTGGGCATCAGTTGCTGAAACAGAAAGCATGATATACATGTGAAAAGAAATTAAAAATTGGTATTTTCAACCTGCTCTCCAGTTTTTGTCTCAAAACCCCCTAAGAAAATCTGAATATTTTGGCATATACGTCCAGTCTCACCCTGAATTGTGAAAGGACAAAGTTGAGAACATAATAGTTGCAAAGCGTTAGATGATGAAGATTGAAAAGGAGGCTTAATTAGCATCAAAATTATGTCAAGAGTTCTTCCTACTTGAAGGAAAGCGTGACAATTGAGCTCATTGGCAGCCATCATATCCGCCTCCACGCCACCAGCACGCAGCCCAGGGTATACCTGAACAAACGCAAAAAACAGGCCACAGAGGCCTCAGTCAGTATTCATTACTTGGTGAAAAACTCGTCACAATCAGTAGTGAAACTTGTTCTAACAGATTGTGATCCCTTATTACTCTAAATATGTCGGTATTACCTTTATATGCAGACTAGTGTGTTATAAACACGATTAAGAAATGACAAAACAGAAAGGTTTCAAGTAGGTGATAAATACGACAAACACTTTTCGTCAAATCGTAGAGTATTGCAATAGATAAATAAATACCTTGAAGATTATCCGAGTCCCTCTAAGTGGACCTTGGACAATCCTTCCTTCATAAAGCCTGAAAATAGACTGTCATGAGTAAAGTATATTAGTAAAAGAAATAACATCTAATTAAAGAATATATTACAGAGCTAGGAAGACACCTGATCTTCACTTGGCCTTCTCCAACGTCTTGAACTTTTAACCTCTCAATATCTTCTGGAGAATACCTGACATCCAGTTCTTCAAGCCCTCCACCACTAGAAAGCCCCCGTAAATTAAATGATGAAAAGCTGCATACATTTAAGAACCATTGTGAAATGGAATAAAATAAGTCGCAAGAGCTTGGTGCATTAGAATACGAAATAAGTATTGTACGGCATTGTATAAAATATCAAGTACCACCACAGATAAGCCATAGAATCTTCTCTGTTCTACAGCAATCACGAATCTATAAAATCAACCACAATTAGATGGAATTTATTTAAAGACGTAATTGGCCATCACCAGCATGTTCGAAATGTAAATTCGTACCTTCTGGTCAGCAAGTAAATTCTAGATGCCAAGGGTGTCAACCATCCTACCCTTATACAAAAATATTTATTCTGAATAACCTAGAGCTCAATGAATATTCACAAGGACTAAATCACTTTAAAGACATATAGTCACTGAATTAGATAGTAAGCTGCTGGCCACAGGAAATCCCCGATATTCTAGCCATTGCCCAATTAGAATCCAAGAATTGACACTCAGGCTCTGCAGTAGATTAGATCGTGTAACTCGTGTGTCCCAAGTTCAAGTCAGTTTGAAAGTGAAATATGCATACTTACCTGTATCGTAAATGAAGATGGAAATAAATGTATCCATTAATTATGTAATAAAAAATTGTGTTTAACCTATTCTAATAAAAAAATACATTTATTTTTTTATTCTTAATAATGCTGTTCTATGTGACCAACCTACTACATTCACTCGTGATAGGAATTTCAACGAAATTAATAAAGGAAAACAAGTTGTCTTGAAGATAAGTAAATACATCATAAAAAACATGACATCACAAATGAGAGTCAATTTAACTAGAGCATACAAAACAAACACCAGAACAGCATAGGAAATAGATTAAGCTAGGTAACAACACTGGAACCACCCAATCTGGTGAAATAACAAACTAGGTTGACATTATTAGATTAATACCACTAACTATTATGATTAAATAGGTTTCAGTCACTTTGTAAGTTATTTATTGTACGAACACCATCATTATTAACAAACATCACAATCTTATAAGCACCACCATTTACTCCAAGATTGTTACTTAGCAAGAAACGTGAGTATAAAGCATCATCCGATTCAAATTCTTACAGAAAAACTCCCTGTAAGGCGTGTTAACTTGGAATGTAATTACATGTACATGTGCCATCACTTATTAACATGATGCACTACAAGAGCTCGTATATCTGCAAGTTTAACCAAATAATGAGCAACATAAAGTAAAGAAAACAAATGGACAAAGGAGTCACGGAAAATTAACCTAGATCGGATTTTCTCATGAAGTTGGTACAAGATTTTTATAAAATATTGTTTTACTGCGTAAATTTGATTACGCTGCAACGTGGGCTTATATTGGAACTCAATCACATCTAGGGATACAGAAGTTCAGAGAAAAGAGGCAAAGATAGAAATTCGACCGAGTTTTAGGGGCATTAGTACAAAACCTATGTACCTGCTTGGTAAATAGATAATAAGATTTATATAACGATTACCGATTATGAAGCTGTTTTCAAATCAGTCATTTGCCGATTCGGACCCGTGCAATTCTGCCATGGACTCTCTTTCCCTCTCTCCCCTTAGTCATATCTTTTTTCCTCTTTTCTTCCCGAGGATGGAAAGCTGTACATCTAGTTTTTTTTCTTTCTCGTATACGTAATGTCATTGCGGTGCGGGGCACTAAATTATTTGTCTCGTGAGAGCCCACGAGGTATAAGAAGATGACATGAGCTCGTTTGAAAATATAAAAATGAAAATCACACGGCACATAGCCAAATCAGAACAGTACTTGGAGGTTCAACTCGTATCCTGGCGATTTTACCACGCGTATTAAGTCTAAGCTTGGGGAAGCAGCTAAAACGAACCTGGTGACATTCATGAATCCGTAGCTTCCAATGAACCTCCCCACCTCGAAATCCTCCGGATTGGTGATGAGAGATGATCTCGCGCGAAGAATCCTGCGACCAGCCGCCGCCGGAGGCTTCCCACCGTTGCGCAAGAACCGAACGGAGCGTTGCATTGAAGCATGTCTGATGCCACTCCGGCGCAGCCCTCTCAGGCTTCTCCCTGGGAAGAAGCCACTGGACGAAGTGATGATCATCGCTTGGCCTCCGCCCTCCACGAATGAGCAGACTGCAACTCCATTCACACGCGTCAGGATGGATAACCGCATCTGTGCGATTATCAGTAAAATCCCTCTTTCTTGAAATATAAAATTAATAATCGTTCAAGTTAACAAATAGTATTTATACACGATAACAATTTACCTTCTTTCTTCAATATAATTGCATTCATGCCTCACCGTTTGAAAATACTGTACGCGGCCTCACTTTAGTTTCTGCTGTTTCCACAATTTTCAGCAAATACGGGGGCCATACGCAAATAGCTATTGAAAAATATATCGATATATAACGCTATTCTTTTATCTCCTAAAATTATTAAAATGACTGCTCTTAAATTTTTTGTCAATAAAATACCCTTATTAATTTATAAATAAAAATTTAATCCTTGAATAATAGAAAATTGGGCGTGCCATTTAGTTTTCTCAGGCACTTTCTTTTCAAGTCCCCGTCTTTTGAAAATAATTCAAGTAGGCCCATTCTTGGTACATATTTAAACGATAATAGAAAAGTTATATATTATGTTAATCTCCATGGATAACATAAAATTAAAAACCAGTACCCAAGTTTTCTCAAAAAAAATCGTTCGATGGGTACTGGTGGAATTTTATATTTTAGCCCCTGTTATTAATGTAATCATGAACCTAGGAAACTATTTATACCGGGCCTTCGGTGAGGCGGTGGCACAGTCAAATCGCCGCTGCTTCCGAGCACCGGTGGCGTCGCCGATTCACCTACGGTGCTCGACGGCGGCGGAATCTCCACAGCTGGGAGGATTGTCCAGCTCGAGGAGACGTTTGGATCGGACCTTATCTCGTTGATAGAGGAGGAAGACGAGGGGAGCCAGGTAGATCTGTATACGCTTTGCGAGGAGCCGAGTTCGCCCCTCCCCCGGCCGGATCTGCTTCTCTTGGACGCTTTTGTTTGCCGCCTCTTTGGTTTGATCTCTGTTCCCGGTTAGGATCGGTGAGGGGATGGCCAGGGCGGGGGGGATCACCAACGCGGTCAATGTGGGGATCGCAGTGCAGGCGGACTGGGAGAACAGGGAATTCATATCGCACATCTCCCTCAATGTCCGCCGCCTCTTTGAGTTCCTCGTCCAGTTCGGTATGTGCTCACATGCCCCGCCCTCGTGTGTCCTTGTCTCCGCGATTCTCGGCGCCGGGCTTTTCCGACTCTCTCTGATTTCGTGAATTCGTTCTCGAATGCCTTTTCCTCCCATTGGAGTACCGGATCTGGATCATGTGTAGCAGTGGATAGCTGTGTGTAATTGGCATTGGAAATTATGCCATTACATTGGTAACTTCGTGTTTAACTGGAGTCATTTTATTGGACAATATTTTCTGAAAATTCGAACGAGATGCATCCCAGCCTGATCAATTGGCGTTTTCATTTGCCGGAGAGTTTCTGGGCAGTTATTTGTCGCTGAGAGATCGATTGCAGAGTCTACCAAACACTTCTTGGCCCAATTCAACTGGTACTTCGTTTCTCTAATACTTCAACATCGTTGATTCCTTCACCTTCGGACGTTTTGGCTTTGAATCCTCCACCCGTTCTCCAACACAGATATCAAAGCCAAGAACCTGCTTTCTTCCCATTCTTTGACTCCGAGATTCACATCCTGCATCATTGGACTACAATGATCGATCTTCATTCGATTTCGAGACTCACGCAGAAGCTATGAGGGCTTGTCTTCACGTCACTGATCTTTAGATCATGTTTTGATGGGATTCTGAAGAACACATTTAAATATTTTTTCTTTTTTTGGGTTGTCACATACCTGTATATTTCCAGGATGACTACTGGCGAAGTTGGTGTATTGGTTATCGATGGATTCCATCAAAGAAAGTGGAGGATTCACCTAATCTTGGCTTTAGTGATCTTTCAGGCACTTGTATATGGGCTTTTGATGAACAGAGTGAAGAATTATTTTCTTCGGGTTGTTAATATTTTTCTATTTCCAGGAAGGTTATCGGCAAAGTCTGTAGATTATTTATTTCTGGACACTCAAGAGTAGGTGGGACTTAGGGTTCTAAGCGAAGATATTTGGGTTACATTCATCTATTTTCCCAATCAATGATTTGGAAGAATTTAGAAAATTTATTTGGTCTTCTGCTCTTCTTGATGCAGATCGCCTAATGAAAATCTATAGGGAATGGCGGAAGAAATCACTTTCTCCCCCAATAACACAATGGTTTCCATGAATATCTGCTCTCGATTTCATGATCATCCAGGGGTTCACCGATTTTAGTCCTTACTGTCTTCTTCTAACCCGATGAATCAACTCTTCATCAGATTCACACGGATCTTCTTTCATTGACTTCTGCAGAGGCGACGACCAAGAACAAGCTGGCCCAGCTCAATGAGAAGCTCGACACCTTGGAGCGGCGCCTGGAGGTGCTTGAGGTTCAGGTGAGCACTGCCTCAGGGAACCCGTCGGTGTTCACCTGATCCTCGTGGTCGAGCCCTCGGCTTGGGAACAGTATGGACTGGGCTTCCACACAAGATCGTCCCCCAGCTGGGCACTCTGCACCCCACCCTGAGCTCTCTGTAAAAATCTATTCACTTGTGTCCGAATCTAGTTGAGAATGTACTTGTCTTGTGGTTTATTTGCATAAATATGGTCGTTATTTTTCTTTTTCCTTTTTGGTTGTGAGTGGGAAAACGTGGAAAATTGTAGGAAAATCCGTAGTTTAATATTTTTGGCTAGAAATGGTACAAAATATGTGTAATATTGTTGATAATTACAGTCAGCAATCGATGTCCACCTGGGCCAGCCAGATGATGCCAGGTGGTGAGCAGATGTCGTCTGAGCTCTTTTAAAATCTTTTTACCTCTCTAGTTGAGAATTTAGTTGTTTAATTGCATAAAACTGGCCGTTATTTGGTTTTTTTTTCTTTTTTGTGAGTGGGAGGGGAAAATTGTCGGAAAATTTCTAAAACAGATTTTTGGCTATAAATGATACATAAAACTGGTTAATATTATGGATAATTACAGTTAGCAATCTATATAAAGCCGGGTCGGCCCAGGTGGTGCCAGGTGGCAAGCAGATGTGGACCGGCTCCCTTCTGGGTCAGCCAGGCCTCTTTGTGTGACGTGGAATGCCACGTGGAGCCTTTATCTTACCCCTGGCCCACGAGCCCTGATGGGCTCCGTCGAACGGCGCCGAGGAGAGCCGGGTTGGGCTGCTCCCTGCGATCCGACGCGGATTGGACTGCTCTGTCCCTTCGATCCGACCCGGATTGGGCCGCCGGGCGATGCAGTCGGAGGCGTTGAAGCAGCGGTGACAAAATGGGGGGAAAAAACTGCGCCCCGACCAGTTTCTTTATATCCGGGATCTCTCTCCTCCGCCCTAGACTCTCTCTCTCTCTCTCCCCTCTTCTCTCTCTATATCCGGTCCCTTCCTCGGAGCTTGGGATCAGCCTCCGCCCGGGGGGGGAGAGGGAGCAGCCACCCGTCGCTCCCGCCGACGCCGGCAGCCGGGAAATCTCTGCGAATACAAAGCGGGACAGCGGCTCCTGGTCAACTCGGTCCTCCCCCTCCGGCTGAGCCACGGATCAGAGGAAGAGCTGTGGGAGGAGCATATATTCCTGGATGCCTCTTCCGGCGATCTGCTCTCTTCGGTCAGTTCTTCGGGGGATCGAATTGTGATTTCATTCAGCGAAGAACGGGCTCCTCGTTCTGGTAAAAGGAGGGAGGGGAGGCAGATGGACGCTGGCGGCGGCGGGGACGTCGCCGGTAGCGCGAGCACGGGCGCAGGCTTGCCGCCGCCGTTTCTGAGCAAGACGTACGACATTGTGGATGATCCTGCCACGGACGGGATAATCTCTTGGAGCTCGAAGAACAACAGTTTTATCGTGTGGAATCCCCCGGAATTCGCGAAGACTCTTCTCCCCAAGTTCTTCAAGCACAACAACTTCTCCAGCTTCGTCCGCCAACTCAATACCTACGTATGTCAACCATCTTCTCTTATCGATGCTCTTGATTCACTGTTTTATCTTCTGTTAACCTACTTTGTTATGCCGAACAATAATCTTCGGTTGCGATAGATAGATGAGGAACTGTTCTTCGCTCGATTTTACCTGGTACCGTTGAGATCTGGTATCTTGATCTGACTATTCCTCTCAACATCGGGGTGAATGGATGGCGGATTCGTGACCTCTGCCTCGCCCTATTTGGTTGAACAACCTTCCAAAAAACTATTTACGTGGTTAATTTCTTTCAGATGTCCTCATGCTAGGGGCCGATTCGACCATCCCCAGCCCTTCCCGCTCTTATGAAATCACCAGTATATATTTCCATCGCCAAAGACTAAGGTCAGATGCATGCAGAGAGGCACATTATTCGGAAACATTAGTACACTCACAGACCTAATTGTTTTGTGAATAATTCTCCGTGGATCATTTCACAATTTTCTGATATCTCATGTCCACGATATGATAAAGATCATATAACTACTTGCTCTTTTTTTATCGTGAAAATCCTTCACTCTCGATGAATTATTCCCTGATTCTTCGGAAACAATGGGCCTCTTACATTATTATTTTTGTTCCCGGATAAAAATATTATAAACTGTCTATAAGTTGGCTGTGGCAACGTAGTACGACTTGCACAAGGGAAAGGCAGGTTGAACTGCGTTGACTTTGGAATATAGAAATAATTTCATCCTGTGTTTTACGCAGATGAAAGTCAAAAGGCAGTAGGAACTGGAGTGATCCAGTGAAGTAGCAATAAATGCGAGACTATTTACTTCCATAGTCTTATTATTTTTCACATGCTGAGAACTCGGAATGGAAGCTTGTGGAGTGGCTTAACCTGGGAGTAGAAGCTCTTGCAGCTTACTACGATTAATGAAGCAAATAGGAGATGAATTGCCTGACTATGAAACATGAATTTCCCTTTAAATACAAGGTGTTCATAGTAATCTGGGTTGGGATAAAAGGGCAGTAATAGAGTTGGTATAATAATCCATAATTATTATCCCAACTTAGTAGCTCTACCACATTGTGTTCGTCTGTATATTATTGTTCCACGTATATGTTTTCAACAGCAATGGCCCATCATCTGATTAGCAACGACTAGAACGATTCTTCGAACAGATTCACTTCTTGCAGGAAACACTCGATTCTTTTCTCGATGAATCGCAATCTGGCTGTCATGGAAGAGCATGCTGAAGCATTAATGGGGCAGGATCCTTTTTTTTTTCTTTTTTTTTAAATGATAAAGCTGCTGTAGAACATATGATCATAGGCATTCAAGTTGATGGGGAAAATATTTTTTAAAATTCATCCAGAAAATTCAATTTTGATCAGATAATGCACAAATCTAGAGAGAGAGAGAGGTGATGATGATGATGAGCAACTTACTTGTTTGAAGTCCGTCGTGAGATCTCTTTTTTTTGTTTTTTTTCGATGGGCTGATGATGTCGTTGTGACATGGGACAGGGGTTCAGGAAGGTGGATCCCGATAGATGGGAGTTCGCGAACGAGGGTTTCCTCCGTGGGCAGAAGCATCTCCTGAGGAACATCACCCGGAGGAAGCCGTCACATGTGCAGAGCCAGCCGCCGCCGCTGCTGCCGCAGGCGCCGTCGGCGGGGCCGTTCATAGAGGTGGGCAAGTTCGGCATGGAGGAGGAGGTCGAGCGGCTCAAGAGGGACAAGAACGTGCTCTTGCAGGAGCTCGTCAAGCTCCGGCAGCATCAGCAGACCACCGACCACCAGCTCCGCACGCTGGGGCAGCGCCTGCAGGGCATGGAGCAGCACCAGCAGCAGATGATGTCTTTTCTCGCCAAGGCCATGCAGAACCCCAGCTTCCTCGCCCAGCTCGTCAATCAGACCGACGCCCCCGGCCGGCGCATCGCCGGCGGCGGCACCAAGAAGCGGCGGCTCCCCACCGGCGGTGGGGAGTTGTTCCTCGACGGGCAGATCATCAAGTACCAGCCCCCCGTCAACGAGGCCGCCAAGGCGATGCTGACGCAGATCATGCAGATCGAGGGCTTCCCCTCGCCGGAGGAGCCGGCGATCATAGTCGTTCCCCCGCCGGAGATTCAGCCATCGCCGCCGCGGATTACGGAGATGGTGGCGGACGCCGGCGGCTTCCCCGCGGCGGCGGAGGAGGAGGAAGGCCTCGAAATTCCGACGGGGATCGAAGATTTCGTCGGCCCGATCGGGATCGAGATGGACGATGTGGCCTCTGAGATCGGCATCGGCATCCCGCTCGAGGACGGCTCCAACCTTCCGGGGATCAACGATTCCTTCTGGGAGCAATTCCTGACGGCGAGCCCGCTTCCCGGCGAGGAGGCGGCGCCGCCGGACGGCGGCGACTGCGACGGGCCCCAGAAGCTGGACCGTCTCACCGAGCAAATGGGCCTCCTCTCCTCCGAGCTGAGGGAGTGACGCCTCCTCTCTTTCTCTCCCTCTCACTATGTGCAGGGTTTCTCTCTCTTGTAGAACTAAACATCGTAATTATAAAGATCGGTCCCGCCTACACCTCCCCCTCTAGAGAAAGAGAGAGAGGGAGATAGAGAGTGATTGTTTGCCACGTGGAACTAAACAATCACTCTCTATCTCCCTATCTCTCTCTCTCTCTCAGATGCTATAATTTAGAGATGCGTATGTTGTATTAGTGGAGTGCGCCCAGGCAGCGATCGGATTTTTATAGAAAATATACTTGAATAAATTAACAAATTTAATTCCGGATATATTAATTTGTACTACATAGAATCGGATTATTAATTACTTAAATAAATATACGTATATCCCCAAATCTATAAATATGAATATTAATTACCATAAGCAACCCATCTTTCGTTCGGCTAGCGTGGTTCGCCTTCGCGTGAAAGTCAGCTGCTCTCTCTCTCTCCCCTCTCCCTCGCTCTCCTTCTCTCCCTCTCTTTCACTCGCACTCCTCTCTCTGTCCCTCCCTCCCACGCTCTCCTTCTCTCTGTCTCTGTCTGTCTGTCTGTCTCTCTCTCTCTGTCTCTCTCTGTCTCTCTCTCTCTCTCCTCTCTCTCTCTCTCTCTCTCTCTCCTCTCTATCTCTCTCTCTCTCTCCCTCTCTCCCTCTCTCCCTCTCTCCCTCGCTCTCCTTCTCTAACTCTCTATCTCCCTCTCTCTCCCTCGCTCTCCCTCTCTCCCTCGCTCTCCTTCTCTAACTCTCTATCTCCCTCTCTCTCCCTCGCTCTCCCTCTCTCTCTCTCTCTCCCTCTCTCTCTCCTTCTCTCCCTCCCTCTCTCTCTCCCCTTCTATCTCTCTCCTTCTCTCTCTCTGCCTCTGTGTTGTATGTTTCTCTCTCGCTCTCTCTTTCTCCTTCTGTCTCCCTCCTCTCTGGGTGTGATGTCTCTCTCTCTCTCTCTCTCTCTCTCTCTCTCTCCTTCTCTCCCTCCCTCTCTCTCTCCCCTTCTATCTCTCTCCTTCTCTCTCTCTGCCTCTGTGTTGTATGTTTCTCTCTCGCTCTCTCTTTCTCCTTCTGTCTCCCTCCTCTCTGGGTGTGATGTTCTCTCTCTCTCTCTCTCCCTGGTTTGTCGACAGTGCCTTGGCAATGGTCGGGAACTGTCTCCGTATTTTCGCTGGTAGTGAAGATGTAGACCGGGTGGGGGGGTATGTCCGCCTTCCCTCTGCCTCTGAACGATTTTCGGTAGGGTTTGATCCGTGATCCATCTGAGAGCATGAATTCCAGCCCCTCTGTAATCCTCGCCTGTCATCGTCTCTGCATTGCCTTGCTGCCATTTCTTCCTATTTTCGTCTCTTCGAGCCGTCATCCGATGATTTCCCGTCCGAATTAGGAAAGAACACAAACCCTAGTTCATCTCTGTTCCTCTTGAGCTGCGATCTGCCGACCGATTGACGCTCCAATCTTGCTTTTCAGAGCATCGATTTACCGCATTCACGGTGCATTTTTCGAGGTGATACCCGCGAGCAGCAGCAATGGTAGGTTCGTGGGCCTCAAGAACATGATGAACAGGTAGGTTCTGACGCCTGCTGTGGATGCCCTTTTTCAGACAGGTTCCGAGCTCATCAGTCCCGAAAGTCGTCTCCAGAGAAGGATTTCCTTCCCAGACGGCGGACCTTCATCTCAGGACCCCAGCAATACTTCGGGTACCCAGTTGTTGATCAGTTGACTTTTTTCCATCGGTCGATGCAATTCGAAAGTTGACCGACTGTTCATCTGTTTTTCAGATGGAAATGTGCGGTCAAATGGCAGGAACAATCAGTGGGAATCATTCAGACCCATGACGGAGCCGCTCTCGGGAAACCCCTATTTCGCCTGCATCCTGACGAGGGCCAATGTTGATCGCCAGTTTCAGCTGGTAATGGATCCATGAATTTCTCCCTCACTGCGGCTCCTGACCCCGTTGACTGATTGATCCAGATAGTTTTCTCCCCCATTTGTGATATGAAATTCCTGTTGACTTTTGGACCCTGCTGGTGTGCTCTAACCCCCGTTGACTATCTTGCTCGGGGTGATGGCTGACCTACACCAGTTTCAGCTTGTAATGGGTCCCGATTTTTCTCAGCCCGCTGTTCTTGGATCCATGAATTTCTTCCTGACAGCGGTTCCTGGCCCATTGACTGACTGATCCATATATTTACCCCCCATTTATGAGATGGAATTCCGGTTGACTTTTGGGCTTCTTGGGTGCCCTAACCAGTCTGATCCTGCGCTGTGTGATGGTTGACCTATATACAGGTGATCCCGAGGAGTTTCTACCCGGAGCTGCCTGCTGCCACCGTCCCGGCAGCGCTCTCCTGCGGGAACAAGACCTGGGTCGTCTCTTACCTCGGGGACCGCGAGCAGAGGAGGTTCGACGGTCGTTGGCGGGACTTCGCCGTTGACCACCGTCTGAAAGTCGGGGACGCCTGCGTCTTCGAGCTCATGCACGGCGGCGGGAGCTTGAATTTCAAGGTACAGATCCTCGACGGCAGTGTCCCTTCCTCCCCCGTCGCCGCCGCCTCCGACGACGGCAGCAGCTCCGACTTCCCCATCACCATAGACTGACCGCCGCCGCGACCAGGTAAAAAGGAAGAAAAGATCCTGGTTTACGTTGACTTTTTTGGCAAGATCTTGAACCTACCCACCCCGTGGACCTCTCTCCCCAAAGCAGTGTATTTTCTTTTCTACTTGGTTCCCTGTGATATGTAATCAGTGGGGAAGATATAGTCCTAGTATGGGCTTGCCATATGTTCGTTAATGGGCTCGTCATAGTTCTGGATCCTTCCTTTCCTTCTCTAGCCGGTCTCGTCTCCCTTTCTCCCCCTTCTCTCTCTCTCTCTCGCTATCTTTGTTAATATGTTAACAGGTCTTCAAGATCCGTTCTACTCCTTGGGGATGGCGACCTTGGTGAGGTCCATCGCTCACCAAAACAGCGACTGAGAGAGAGAGAGAGAGAGAGAGAGAGAGAGGAGATCATCTAGTTCTGAGAGAAGATGGGGGAGCTGTACATGGTTTTGTTTCTTCAAGACGACCGACCCCTCTAAGGAGGACGAACAAGAAGAAATGGAGGGATATATATGACTGGAGGAATGGTTGGTTGCCAAGGAAGGGGATGAAAGGGGAAGAAGAATCCCACCCTCGGGCAGTGCGCGCCAGCTCCCGCCAGCTGGCGGAGGAAGAGGCCAGAGAAGATGCGCTCCCGGCGAAGGTTGCAGATCAGAGGAGGCCCGTGCGCCGGCAGGCGCACGTTAGCGTAAAGCCCGCCGTCTAAACAGATCGTATAACGAAAGCACGGAAAAGAGAAGCTTCGAGAACGAATGGACTGCTCGAGCTGGCGGAGCGGCTTCATAGATGCGGCCCCCTCTTCCCCATCCTCCTGCTGCCGTGGTGCCCCCGGATCCGTTCCAGCTCCTTCAGGCTCCGGTGGCTGCGAACCACCGCCGATGCGCCGCCGGTCGCCGCCGCCGCTACTTGCCGGCCGATTTCCGCACCGGAGGCTGGTAAGACCAGATCGTCTACGGAGTCAATTCGATTTGAAGGAAAATTTGAGGATGGAGAGAGATCGGGGATCGATCCGCATTGTACCTGTAGGATCGAACAGCCGGCCGACGCTTCCGGAACCATTCAAATCTGCGTAGGCCGAGCGGAGAGAGAAGATTTCAGGCTCTGAAGAGAAGTCCATCCATCTGGATGCCAAGGGAAGAAGACGAAGAGAGATCGGAGAGGGGGAGGAGAAGCTGGAGAGTACCTGTGACGGCGGGATCGTGGGAACAGAGGTACAGGACGAGGAAGCAGAACAAGGTGAGGACGGGGATGATGTGTATCGTCCGCTCCGGGCCGGCGGAGGCAGCGCCGGAGGGCGAGGCAGGTGCCGCGAAGGAGCTCCGGCGGAAAGGCTTCTCCGACGACCTGATCTCGCCTTCCTCCCTCGCTTCGTCCACCTCCACTGCTCCTCCTCCCATCTTCTTCTTCCACTTCTTCTTGCCGTCGTCGTCGTCCTCCTCCGCGCCCCTCGCCGGCGGCAGCGGCTGCTTCATGGCGGGGGACCCGAGCGACTGTCTCTGCATGCCGCAGATGGGGGGGGAGAGAGAGAGAGAGACAGAAAGAAAGAGAGGAAGAGAGAGAGAGGTGTAGGGAAGGAGGGTGAGATGTCCCCATCAGTGTGGGGACCCTTTAAATACTCACCTGTCAAAGTTTTTATTTTGATTAAACCCAGTAAAGTTGGTCTTCTTACATCAACACCCAGTTTAAAATACTTTCTACATTACCACCCACCATCGATTTGAAAGAGGTGTTCGGATTCCAGAGTCCTGCGATCCAAAGATTCATTTTAAACGACGGATTCCTGGAATATTCCAAGGCCCGTCAGAAATTTAATCAACGTCTGTCTGCCTGGCGGTGAGAGGTAGGCAGGAAGAGGGCTATTATCAATTAAATAAATTCTTGAGGGTTTTTCTCGCATGCGCATTCTAGAAGGGGCTTTTTCGGAATCTAGATAGCTTAACGGTAACTACGCGGGGGGGGAGAGGACCTATACATAAATAAATAAAGTAACATACTTTTTTGAATTTAATAAATATATAAGGGTTTTATGGAAAAACCTAAAAAATTTACGTCACCGTCACTGTTTACCGTTGCGCCCGCCGCCGAGCTTCGTGGCGGCACCCCCGCCGGGGGGATGTTGCCTTCCTTCCCTTAGACTAGACGCTTCCTTCGGCCTCTCGGATTACTCTGAGGCTTCTTCAATCGTGCCGCCCTCTCTCTCCGTCGGCGCCGTCGTCATCTTCCTCTTTCTTTTCTCCTCCTTCCGGTAGCTATGGCTAGAGAGAGAGAGAGAGAGAGAGAGAGAAACCTGATGCGTCAATTTTTTAAAGAGGGCCCGTTTTTGAACGTCATCATTTCTCTCATAATAATAATAATAAGCCCGCAGAGATAACTAATCATATGATCTCCCCTTCCCCTAACACCCAACTCTGTACATACTCGAACCAAGAACCCAGATTCTGATTACGACTTAGATGATTTTCCTCCTCTGAGAACTTACAGATTACTGGGGATCATCGCTTCCAACCCCCCGCCGGCGGCGGCACGGCGTTCACTTCTCTTCCTCCGCCATGAATTCCGGCGAGGTGGTGGTGGTGCTTCTTCTTCTTCTTCTTCTTCCTACTCAGAGAAGGTCCAGCAGGGGGCTGCCCTCACGGACCAGCACGAAGAGGCCGCCGTCGCCCCTGGAAATGCGGAGGTCCTCGTCAAGGAAGGTGGTGAGCAGCCATGACTGGGTCCTCTCGCCGGGGATGGGGACCTTAAAAGGGGGCTGACCGGAGACGGCGCGGGCGACGGCTGCCGCCGCCTCCTGCAGAGGGCCGAGAGTCTGCCGGAGAGGCAGCAGGTCGACGCTCCGGCCGAAGACCTCGGTGCTCTCTGGCAGGTCAACGGTCTGCGATATCTCTGGCGGGTCAAACGAGCCTTCCCTGAACTGGACCTGCGCATAAAACCAATTGATGCCCAGATGAATAACGCCACATTATGCGACAGAAAAGATCAGCAGATGGTGGTGTAGAAATCACTGTCATCATTCAAGACGAATCTAATGAAAACGAAGCATGATATATATATTTCATTGATCACATCTTTAAATGAATCACCATATCATTCATGATGCACGCGTATCCAGGAATATTTGATGAATTAATTGCTATAATTCAAGAACAAGTCGATGAAAAAAAAAAAAAGGCTACGATGATTCGAGGACAGATGAAGGAAAATTGGGCACGATGATTCGAGGACAAATGACATGATCTTTAGCACCAAACTATTTTACAAGTAGTTGATGAACTAATTGCTATAATTCAAGAACAAATTGATGAAACATAGGTGTGATATTCATTATCCGTATCATTTGAATACAGAAATATTACATAATATCATATATTTTACGGATGAATTCACGAATAATTGATGAATCAACCGTTATAACTCAAGAACAAGTTGATGGAAATGGGGCATGATATTTACAGCAGAGATGGAATCAAGAGGGCTTTCACCTTTTTTTTTCCCCGTTTCAATACTCGTCAAACAATTACTGACAGAGATGGAAACGCACTGGATTGCAGTTGACCAAGATTTTCACCAAGATCATTTGAAAAAAAAAAAGTGGATTCATCGTTGACCGAGCGAATAATTTTCTTGCCACGCAGAAGAAATGATCACACACCATCACGATAGAAACATTATCACGTTTTGATTTTCATGGGTGATCAACTAATGTTGCTACCTATCAGACCACCGATACCATGCTGATGCTCGAGAGTGCCATACCTGTATTCTTGATGGGGTTTGGACTTCAAAGGAGGCAGATGCGCTGAACGAGAAACTCGCAAAAGGGCTGGAAATCGTCGTAGAATTTTTTATGGTCAAACTTTGAGTGTCGATTTCTTGGGAAATCCTTTTGACTTTTAACAGGGGTACCGACCCAATGGCAATAAGAGGTAGCAGCTCAGAGAATGCCGTGTACCTGAGTGAAACCAAAAACAAATCCATGAACATATTTATCTACCCAACTAAAAACACGCCGGCCTCGTTCCAAGCTGCAGCCAGCCAACCATCAGGGCATACAAAAAAGAACGAGTATCAAAGAAAAAGAAACCTAAAAATGAAAGGTTATCGTACAGGAGATGAACTCATGCATCATGAGAGAGATTACGTTAAACAGAGACGGAAAAAGAGAGATTATTTCATCCTAGAGCCTAAGAACAACTTCCTTCTCAGTTATAGAGTTATACGTCAATATACATCAATATACTTTTGGTATGGTTTCATACTTGTACTTCTTTTTATTCTATCGGAATTTCTTATCCAATGGTTTCAATTAGGCATGTTTATCACTTTCTGCCTAGCTTTCCTATTTCCCCAATTTTACAATTTGGTAATCCCTCTCAGGAGATGGGTAAGCCGAAGAGAGGCCTAAAGCAAGGCAAGGGCCCAGGCAGACAACCAAGATGGAGGGACACAGCAGAGGATTTTAATTCTCGTATAATTAATTTACATGAGTTGATTTCTTGTGCGATTGTCCTTTTTGTGGGCCATGTTTTCCAATGAAGAAAAAATTAACAGCAACAGCGAGCATGGTTATCAGAATTAGATGATTTCAGACGGGAGAGATAAAAGCGAAGCCTCGATCGCATGAGCATCAATGTAAGAAATGAACAAAATGCATATCGATATTTTGAGTTCAAACATATGAAACAATGACAGGAAATGCTGAGAAGGGAGAGATGAGATCGACAATTGAGATGAGAATTTTCAAATACAAAAGTTCGAACTCTCTAGTTGATTGCTACTGGACACTGGTTCGATGTATTTCATAGTTGTTCAACGAAATGAGGATTACCTAGCATGCATAGAACGTCAGTGCTAATATATCAGGCACGCAAATAATCTCAGAAAAATGACCCGAAAAAAAGGAGGCATCGACTCACAGTAGGATCCAGTTCCCATCCAGAAGCTTCAGTGCTTCCATAGGTGCAGGAGTTGGGTTCTTTATCTCCAGTTGGTTAACCAGGTCCAACACCTCCCCCCTGACCTCGGACGAGGCCTTCAATCCATACTCCGTCCCATACAATGAGTCCACAAGGCACCGCTTCAGATCCCCGAGTACATCCTCATCCGGGAGAGCCGGAGAGGCACCGTTCCCCGGATCTCTCCCCCATTCGTCATCGTCCCTAGGGAGATCCGGCTCCGCCGGCGGCTCGGCCTCAGGTTCTGCCCTCTCCCCCCACTCATCCGGAATCCCTGAGGCCTCTGTGACCGCTTCTTCCGCCAGTTCTCTCAACTCGTCAATAATCTCAGAGGTCGATACTTCCACCTTCTCTATCACATCATCCAAATTTTCAGGGACCTCCACCAAGCCACCGACGCCGGCCACCAGATCCCCAAGCCCCTTCCGCTTGTCCTCCTCCGGCTTCCTCTTCGGGGGCTTCTGCTTCTTCCCTCGCCCCTCGCCGGGGGTCTCGCCGCGCCGTTCGTCCCATTGCGCCGCGGAAGGAGCCGGAAACGAGGAGAGTCTAGGGTTCCGGCGGCCGCTTTCGGAGGAGAATCCGACCGACGATTCGCCGCTCCTCGCCGGCGACCGCAGCCGGAACCCTGGGCTCGGCTTCCCGGCGATGACGGAGATGCGGCAAGAGAGGAGCGCCATTACAGAGACGAACTGGTTCTGCCGGAGAATAAGGACCTCTCTGGGAATCCTGGTGGTGGTCGGCGAAGAGGCAACATACTAATGGGCGGAGAAGGACCGGTGAGCTGCAACGGGCAGTTTCTGTCCTCACGTGGTTGATATTTTCAAACTGCGGCCCATATCCAGATAATAGACTAATGGGCCTTATTGGATCCAAAGGGACCGGGTACAGGAAGAGAGCTACTCTTCGGTAAGGTTACCGAATCCCAAGGCGCCACCTTCCGATCTCTCGAGTCTGCATGGGAAGGGCGGAGAAGAACGGGTGAGCTGCAACGGAAGGTTTCTGTCCTCCAGTAGTGGATATTTTCGGAGTTCAGCCTGTATCCAGATAACAGTATTGTGGGTGATAATTGGCCCTATTGGGTAAGGCCCAGTGAAGGAAATTCGGCCCAAGGGATCGACCGGAAAATGAGAGGTACCGGTTTACCGGTTCATAGCTGGCCAGGCCGGTTCGATTCGGCCGGGGTCCGTCCGCCATTGGCAGACTGCTTCTGGGCGGTCCCTCAGAGCTCTGCGGCGTGAACGAGAGAGGAATGGCGCGGAGAGAGGAATCTCCGAGGCTGAGGATCGGGATCATCCACCCGGATCTCGGAATAGGTTTGGTTTCTACCTCTCCTCGTGAATTCCTGTCTCTTCTGTTCTACCTCTGGTGCGGGGATCGTCCTCGGTTTGGGGGAGTTTGGTGAAGGAAGGTGGATGACATTGGATGATGATAGGTTCTGGTTTAGCATCTGATTGATCTAGGGGACGCGATGGGTGCTGCCGCGGCTGTCGTAATGTGCGCTTGAATGTAAGTGGAAGGCGTGGTTCTTCTGAATCGTCACCACGGCCTAGAAGAGGAGCGACGGATTTGACCGTGCCCCCACGGATCCTATTCAGTGGAACTTGTCCAATTTTTCCCTCTCTGGCTGATCAAGCTTGTCTTGGTTTGGTGTTTCGCAGAATTGCATTTACGTTTGTGATTGGGATCGAGATGATGAGCTAGAACAAATAAGTGGTGGTTTTTGGACATTGACTGTATTCTGTGGGACGCTTCTCTCTTTATAATTATGTTCTGCAGCGTTCTGTGCATTTTTATCTAAATAAATGGATTTTATTCACCAGTCTTGCTCCTCCACATCCCCAAAGAGAAATAGACAACCGGCAAAAATAAAAGAACAATAATATTCATTTTATTTTACTGCACTAGGAATTTATGGGCCGATTAGATCGTTTGGAGCTGAAAAACTTTTCAACGCGTGACGGGAACTAGACAGGATGATTTTTTTTTCAGTGACTGTGACCAGCTTGCATACATAGGATCTAGAAAGCTATCATATTCTCCTATTTTCTTGTGAATTTGGAGGCTTCATCATACCCTTTGTATAAAGTTGTCTGTGACAACTAGGTGAGGTGATTTTTGGGGTTTTCTAATGATTCGTATTTCAGAGTTTCTTAACTTCTTGATATCTTTTGTTACATGCTTTTGAGTAGAGAAACTTGATGGCCGTGACCAATGTCTTATATATCTTTTTATTATTTCGAAATCTATTTTTATGAAAAAAAATTGTAGATAGTGTGGTTAATTACGTAATCCAAGGAAATTATGCCCTTCAGAATCTACGAATCAGTGTGCATTCTAAAACTTTCAATTAGCTTCCGACACAATGGAGACCTGTGCTTGAGAAATATGCAGTTCAATTTTTTTCTAAAAGTTAGCATTCGATTCCATCAATCTAGAATCTGGCCAAGTGTTCCTACGTACAACATTGAACATATCTACGAGTAACTTTACACATATTTATCACCCTGTTGTATCCTTGTGACTGTCTTCTGGATCTTCATCATATCCGGGATGCACTCCCATATTGACTCTTGATGTTTGTATCCGTTGTCTAAATATCATAGGTCAGGTCTTCTAAATAAACTAAAACTTTCAGCTTTCAGATCGAGGCTGAATTTTTATTTTTTTTTACGCAACTGGAAGCTCAGTTGACTTAGTCGGGCTGTGCCTTTGTTTGGAATGCTTGTTATATCTTCTCATCAGTTACCCTGACAATAGATGACAGGGATATTTTAAATTTCCATTTTGCTAAGGGTATGTGTCCACATCCATGTAGGTGGTGCTGAAAGGTTGATAGTAGATGCTGCAGTTGAGCTTGCATCTCACGGGCATGCTGTTCATGTCTTCACTGCACATCATGACAAAAACCGATGTTTTGAGGAGACTATTGCTGGTGAGAGATATAAGGGTTATTTTCTTAATAGGATACAACGACCATTTTAAGTTTCGAAACTAATGAATGAGTCTGACTCATGCCGCAGGTCCTTTTCAGGTTACAGTTTATGGGTCTTTCCTGCCTCGCCATATTTTCCATCGTTTCCATGCTGTTTGCGCATATATACGGTGCATCTTTGTTGCATTTTGTGTGCTGTTCCTGTGGCCATGCTTTGACGTCATTATAGCAGACCAGGTTTCAGCAGTCATTCCCCTACTGAAGTTGAAGAGGTCTACAAAGGTGATGGTTGATTATGATTATCATAGGTTGAGCATCAGTTGAGTTTAGTATCAAGTATTTATAAACTCAAATTTCATCTTTTCCACAGATTGTATTTTACTGCCATTTTCCAGATTTGTTGTTGGCACAGCGCTCCAACCTTCTCAGGAGATTGTACCGAAAACCAATCGATATGATCGAAGAAACAACTACGGGTATGATATTTAAAATTTTATGATTTATGGATGTATTTCAAATTCTAGTTGCTTTCGATGAGCTTTTCAGTTTTTCTGGGTTATCAGGTATGTCGGACCTCATTCTTGTCAACAGCAGCTTTACAGCATCCACTTTTGCCAACACATTCCGCCGTCTGCACTCCCGTGGAGTTCTTCCAGAGATCCTCTATCCATCAGTTGACGTTGAACAGTTCGATGGGCCACATTCTTATGAGTAATTGACATGCCTGTGCACCTCTCGATATCCTAGGATGTGCTTTAGTTGTAGATGCTCGTGCTTTGCCTTGCTTTGAATCTTGTGATAGAAAATTATATCCTGTGTTCTCTGTGTTTAGGTTAAATTTTCTTTCCATCAATCGTTTTGAGAGGAAGAAGAACATTGAATTGGCAATCTCTGCATTTGCAATGCTTCGTTCCTTCGAGCAAAGTGGCCCTTCGGGTTATGGCTTCTCCCAACTGACTCTGACTATTGCAGGTGACTGCAATTGACTCATTCCTTTTATTGATCTTTCGCTTCATGCTTTCTGACTTCCTTTCAGTGGACTAAGATATAATTTATGTAGATTAACTTGTGGAAGTATTCATATGTTCTCATTTTTTCTGCTTCTTTTTCTTTTTATTTTTAGACTTCGGAACCTAAGGATGACGATTGTGTGCTGATTTTTTACCGTATTCGAACATATTAGGTGGCTTTGACATGCGCCTTCCTGAAAATGTGGAGTACCTCGAAGAACTCAAGAGACTGGCGGAAACAGAAGGGGTATCTAGTCAAGTCAGATTCATCACATCCTGCCCAACAATGGAAAGAAATGCTTTGCTCTCACAATGCATCTGTGTTATCTACACCCCAAAGGTAACGTGCTAATTATTTAGAATATCTTGCCAAATCGTCCCCCTTGGAATTTGATGATATTCTGGATAGCCTCAGAAGAATTTCTCGTATTTTTATCAGCAACCATGTTGGTTGACGTGGCCCATTAGTGGCACTCATTAAGCTCTTCTCCTATCGTCATCTTCTTCTGACTGAAAGTAGCACACATAGGTTGAAGCTTGTGGGTCGGTTTCTGTGCAGGGTTTACAAAACATGGAAGTCTTTAAGGATCATAATCATATCCTTAAAATCTTCTTCTCACGAGCATATGATTCCGTGGTCAATGTAGGATGAGCACTTTGGAATCGTCCCATTGGAAGCCATGGCAGCACAGAAGCCTGTGATCGCATGCGACAGCGGCGGCCCAACAGAGACAGTCAAGCACGGAGTCACTGGGTTCCTGTGTAGCCCGACGCCCCGCGAGTTCTCAGAGGCCATGCTCAAGCTCGCCAGCGACCCAGCAATGGCGGCCAGGATGGGTGAGGCGGCTCATCGCCATGTATCTCAGGCGTTCTCCACGAAGGTATTTGGGGAGCGGCTGAACAGGTACATCTGTGACGTTTATGACAGGAAATTGAGATGAACCCATGTGTTACTTTCTTGGAAATTTGTGTTCTTGGGTATTTGGATTTTTACGACAGGAAATTGAGGTAAACCGGTGTGCTAGTTTTGGAAATTAGGGTTCGTATGAACTCGCAGAGCACCAGCACTAAGTGACGTTTCAAACAGGAAATTGAGTTTAACCCATGTGTAATTTTTTTTATATATAAAAAAATTAAGGTTATTTTGGACCTGCAATTGACAGATACATTGCTGACGTTTCTCACAGAGAATTGAGGCAGACCCATGTATTGTTTTTTTTTTGGAAATTAGGGTTCCTTGGGACCCACATATAGCTGGATCATTGTCGACGTCTTTGACAGAAATCTTGAGTACACACCCACGTGTTGTGTTGGAAGTTAGGGTTCTTTTCGGACCCCGATGATTAAAGTTTCATCAGTGGTGTTTATGACAGAGAATTGGCATGCTGTTTTTCTTGGAAACTAGGGTTCTTTAGAAACCCGCTATCCACAAGTGCATCTGTTGGTGTTTTATGACAGAGAATTGACGTAGACACATGTACTAATTTTTCTGTATGTTCTTCATCGACCCACTAATCTTTTGTGCTTCTTTGATGCTCGTAGCAGGGAGTTTCAGTAAACCCATGTGCTATTTTTGGAAATCCGCGCTCTTTAGGGTTCCCGGGGGATCCCTGACGCTCAAGACAAGGAACTTAGGCAGACCCACGCTCTATTTTCTAAGGAAATTAGTGTTCTTTGTTGCCCCATTAATCACTGATGCATCGCGTACATTGGTGGTGTTTATGACAGAATTATGGTTGACCCGTATGCTCTTTCCCCGTGTGCTCTTTTCTTTAGGTGGATCACTGGTGCATCGTTGACTTTTATGGCAGGAGATTGAAGCAGATCGGATGTACTTGTTTTGGAAATTAGGGTTCTTATGGATCTTGCGGATCGAGTGTTGGCTTTTGTGGTCTGAGGGTCTGGAATAGGAAATCGTAATGTTGTTTTGGGGTCCACGCGCAGCTGGCGCCCGAGGTACTTCAATGCAGCGGGCCCAACTGCGGGCTTCTTTGCGATGGGCCCGTTGGCGGGCCGGGTGAGACCAGAGAAACCACGTGGGTCGCTCATGGCATCCGGGCCACAGCCATTGAATGGGTTGCCATGCCCAACCCCAACCCGGGTGGTCCTCACACGCTTGGTCCTGCTTTTCCAGCACGTGTGGAGCCCTCTTTTTTCCCCTCCCACGTGCGAACCCACCGACCGGGGATGGTATTCAATGAGTTCTCTCTCTCTCTCTCTCTCCCCTGGGGAAGCGAGCCTTGCATGGTCTCTCGAGAAACCCTAAGAGACAAAAGTGGGCTATCCGTGGCCTGCTACCCTCAGGGACTCTGAACTCCCACTGTTTCATTCCCACCAAAAGACTCTCGCTTTGACTTTCTACCGTCCAGTTGATTTTCTTCTGACATAGTCCGGTAAAACACGTCAACCCACGGTCAACCTCCTCGAATCCCCCCCCCTGGGCACTGTAATCTTGGTTCATGGGGAGGCAAACGAAGAAGGGCATCTTCGGACTTTTAGTCGATCTTATTGACGGTTGGGATTTCACTAGTTTTTGAAGTCAACGGCTTCGTTTTTACTTTATCAACTCGGTTCTAAGACCTCTCTCTCTCTCTCTCCGATACAACCCTCTAAGTTGGGCCTCGCAGGCAAATGGTTGACTAGTAGTTACTGAAGGAAATTGACTGAAAAGACATCAAAGCCAGCGGATAAACACGACACGATTTCCAGATTTTTTTATTTCTTTTTTTAGCATAATAGAGTGACTTCCAACATCAGGCAACACTGTCAACGGTCAACTCCGACCTTTTTTATTTATTTTAACTATTCTGATATGTTTCTATATTTTAATCACAGCATTTAACATTATCTTTAAATACGCTGCTATTTTAAGGCCTTGTCTCACACGGAGGGATTATAATATATATTAATACCCAACTAAAAGGAAATAGTTTTTTGCACATGACTCAGGTGTTTTACTCATTTAATTAAATACGGAAATATTATAAAACAAAAGCTCCGATCCGTCTCCGTTGACTTCCTGCGCTGGGAAGAGGTCAAATGCCGCCTGCTTTGTTCTCCGGGAAAGACGTGATAATCAGCGAAGCCGGAGAGAGGAACGCGTGTTCGGAGACCTTGGGAACTATACCGACGAACAACAGAGAGAAGGACCTCCGAGTCATGGTTTCCTCGCTGGGGGGGGGGGGGAATGGCGACGACGTGGGAACTGCGCACCTCAGTTGAAGGGGTGTGACCCACATGAGGTCAGTGGCCTCGGAAAGCAGGAGGAAGAAGAAGACGGATATCTGAGTTGAAAGCCGGCGCGTGTTTCGTTAGACGGGCCTTGATGTAGACATTGCCGAGGATTCCAGCGAGGAGTGGGGTGTTCCCACAAGATCCTCAGAGTTCCAAGGGAAAGGGAAGGGAACTCTCCTCCATCTTCTCCTCTCTTCTTCTTCTGCTTCTTCTTCTTCAACAGGAAGCTCGATGTGCGCGGAGCATCTTTCCCTCTGTCCTCTTCAACAATCCAGACAGAGAGAGGGAAGGATGGGGGACAGAGGGAGGGAGGGACAGAGAGAGAGAGAGAGAGAGAGATGCATAAGCTCACTAATAGTAAGTTCATATCACCCATTCGCTTCCAAGTGAGACTCATGGAATCCAAATGAGGCCGGGATTATTTAACTACGATGATTTCATAAATATGTTCCACAAGGAGACCGTTGGCGATCACAAGATACCGCAGTGACGACATGAGCCACTGCGACTGAATAAGAACTTCTCACGTACGAATTCGTATCAAGAAGAGCCATGACGAAGTAGTGTAATTTGATGGATTATCGTCACCAGTCTTCTCCAGTTACACCACCGAACTCACTGATGGCTTCCGCTCTCTCTCTCTCTCTCTCTCTCTCTACAAGAGAACACAATTCTTTCATCTCTGTCCTTCTCCAGCTCCACCACTAAAACAACGGAGGATGACGTCCCCCCGCTGATCTCTCTCTTTCCGAGAACGATACTCTCTCATCTTTGTCCTTCTCCAGCTGCACCACCAAAGCAACGGAGGCTGACGTCGCCTCGCTGATCTCTCTCTCCGAGAACGCTACTCTCTCATCTTTGTCCTTCTCCAGCTGCACCACCAAAGCAACCGACGTTGACGTCCCCTCTCCGATCTCTCTCTCTCTCTCTCTCTCTCTCGCTCTCTCGCTCTCTCTCTCTCTCTCCCAGAACGCGAGACTCTCATCTTTGTCCTCCTCCAGCTGCACCACCAAAACAACGGACGCTGACGTCCCCTCTCTGATCTCTCTCTCTCACTTCCTCTTCCCCTCATAAGCGCGTTCCTCCATCGAGAATAAGACGGCTTCGTTGAGATCCTGTCCTCTCGAACCTCACTGGCCGACCAACAGTCCTGCATGAGCACCATGACTAGAGAGAGGAGGTCAGACTGCCAATTCAGGCTGAGAGGAGAAGGCATTAAGACGAACAGTAAGAATGCAGGTGGGTTTCTGTGGCGCAATGAATGTGCCTTCATCTGGGGTCATTAGCGGCCTGCAACGTCGTCGCGCACCGCCAGCTTGAAGCCCATTGAATATGGCGCTTCCTCGTCCTCATCAAGCGACGATTTCTTTCTTCTGTACGTATGTTTCGTATTCAGCAATCAATGGGAACAGCTGGTCAAGGCCGGTCTTCTGTTCACTGAGCTCCGGCGCTAGAGAGGTACGGAGATGCATTCCCTCCCCTTTCCTCTTCTCCAGCAAATATGTGGATTTCAGTTCCTCTATCAGCAGACACGAGGAGACCCATGAAAACACGCTGTTATCTTAATATCCTCTCCCATTTTCGCAACGAGCGGATGTTGAAGCCCGAAGCATGGAATGCGTCTCCTCTTTTTACTTCGATGCAGTTGACTCCATCGTCACCCTCGACGAGGTCAGACATGGAAATTACCTTCACGCTTCGTCTGGCCTCTCACGTCACAAATAAAGTGATGGAGAAAGGGCCCCTTTGTCAGTGTCTGATCTGGTCTCATTTCCTGGAACGCTAAGAAGCGAAGTCAACAAGCCGGTTCCTCCCAATTTGACAAGATCAACGCCGGTGCACGACGGCCTACCAATCTTATGATTGACACTAGACGACAGGGTACTTCAATGGACCCTCTTGCAGAATGGTCGCCATTAATTTGCTCTCCTTGCCCAACTCTTAACGTTTGCCGGACATTAATGAAAACCCTGTGACTATTGCGGGGTCAAGGAAGGGAATCTCCACTATGTGATATTAATATCGAAACCTCGCTCGAGACTCTACGCTTGGTTCCCTTAATCTTTTCGCTGGTCTCCGCTGAAGGGTGCAAGCTGGGTTAGTGCCATGGATTACACTGTTCATTGGGAGTTCGCATGTTTGCTTGGGCTCTTTATGAGATTTATACGGAACAATTGATTGACTTGGGGGATCTCGTGGATCTAATTAATACTGTTCCTGTCCGAATTCCAGTCAACAATTTTTGTTTACTAAGTGAGAGGCCATACGGATCTTCTAAACTTGATTCTGATCAACCGAACTTTTTGAAGGACACACTCTCTCTATGTGGGCCCTGCGAATCTAGAACACATGCTTCTTTTTCTCCTGCGGCTCAATGTAATGACGCGTGAACCCGTGAATATGTAAGATTATCGACAATGTTTTTGTTTTATGTCCGGATTTATTTCACTGTAATTTTTCACTAGCTGGTTGAAATACAGATTTTAATTAATGAAATGCCTTTATACAGAGCTTGAATGCAAACGAGGAGATCGAATCCTGTCAAATGTCGTCTGAACCATGAAATTGCGAATTTCATCTATTTTACTTGGAAGAACGAATGTGGTGCAACGGAAAGGGTAAAACCTTAACTAGTGAATTATGTCATAAACTTTTAATTCGAATTTATGAAATGTTGAAATTACTAACTTGAGTAGCATTTTTTTATAATAATCAACTATGGTCTTACTTATGCCATTTCTATGAATATTCTTGCATATGGTCTTGACATATCATGAAGATATAATATCACCAACATTTATAGAAGGCCATGGCGTATCCATGAAAATTTTGAAGATATAATTATTATTTAAGGTTTTAAAATATAATTATCTGCAATTGTATGATAAGCTCGAACATAACACGGCCAAAGACTTCTTTGGAAGTCAAATTAATGGGTCAGGTGTTCTAATGATCTATCAAATTATAGATATCACGTATTTCATTTAGTGAATAGTCTATCAAATCTCATAAGATGAACATGAGGAGGTAGTCAATCAGCCATGACATCCTTACCAACCTTATTTACATCATCATTTGATGTAAAGAATATAGCATGATGAATTCACTTTGTGATATCTTTTAATGTTATTCAAAACTATTTAGTTCAAAATATGTGCAAACAAGTTATTACTAAAACTAGATGCTCATGCTGTATGAATTGTAAGGGATCAAGTTAATTTTTTTAAAAAGATATTATCATGCTAAGAATAAAATAAAGGAAATAAATAAGAGAATTTGTCTATAGTAAGTTTATTTCCACTCTATTAAATTAAAGAAATAGAAACAACATTGTAAATGGTCTTATATTTTAATCAATGGAGACGATAAAAAACTCATAGGAAAGACCTAATTAAAAAAAAAACAAACTTAGATCTTGACATCCTTTTTGTTCCGAAATGTTATAATATTGTCTACATCAAATAGGGATTAATTAAATAATAAAACTCAAAATTTTCTATTGGAATTACACTTGAAAAAAGGTATTTGAAACTTTTGGTTATGTTGACTAGAAAAGTTTGATAAAATAAGATGATTTTCTACAGTAACAATCTAACCATAATTGACAATCTCAAAAGCTTAGACATATTGTCAGTGTAGTGAACCATATTTATTCACACGACCATATCCAACTTTCATTTTATTATATACTGTGAATAACTAATATAGATATGGATGCCTCTGTAAAACCCATCCTCTGCCTTGGCCCATTTTTTAGTTTGGTTTTTCTTTGAGATTGCTTAAATTTGAAGTCTAAAACCCAAATTCTCATACAACGTGATGATACATCTATATTATACACATAGAGGACTGCTCGCATATTTCATAAATGAGCCAACTTTCTTAGTTTTTAATTAGAACTATAACAAAATCTTGCAAGAGCTATTAAGACTTGAGTTGGACTTAGCTTGGCATGGTCACAACCTGTCATTAAACGATATCAAGTCACGTGCATGTGCTCATTTTCCTTCCTCACAGTTCTAAAATAACGGTTCATGAGATTGACCAAGTCCACATACAAAGACACGAGGTCAGCACTGGGTCTACATGACGGAAACACATAAATTCCCTATTTTTATTGTCACATGGTAGGCTCACCTCTCTCTCTCTCTCTCTCTCGTAAGCGTGCATATGGATGACCAGCTAAGCTTGAGTTCCGGGGGAGCCACCCTGGAGCCAATTTTCTAGGCTGTTCTCTAAGTCCGTCCCCAGCTCGCTAACGACACCTCCAGCCAAGATTCCTTCAAAGAAAAGTCCACGGGGACCAAAGTGAGGGAAACACATTGATCAACCGTTTACCAGGGCTTCATCGCAAGTCCATGTAGGCTGCAACTTCGCATTCCCCTCGGCGGGGTTTCTAGCCGATGGGTCGGAACCATATTCAGATGTTGATGGGCGACTAGAGCTGGGTCTGTTGATCCTTCCATGGCAGGGAGCTCCTCCTCGAACAAACCCTAGAAGAGAGCTGGCCCTTCTGGCGGGGTGACTCGAAAGGGAGGACTGTTATCTCCCACTGTGCACTGTGTACGACTTCCAGCACCTCCCTGTTCAGGAGACGTCATGCGAGCGGGCTTTAGGCGATGGCCTCTGTTGACTTAATTTATCCGGAATAGACCGGCCACTTGTCGCTAACGCTCATCGCGGACCACTCCACCGGCCTTGTGGGAGGATGTCTCGGTATCAAGACCGTCCATGGCTTGAGGGACGGCCTCGATCGAGCGAGGAATCGTGATAAGGGGGATTGGGTAGATGGGGCATAAAAGGGATAACTTGGGGGTATTATGGGGCTGAACAAAAGGACGGAGGAGGCGTTTTGACTTGGAAGGGGACGCGTCGCGCGGGGTTCTCCGAGAATCAGCGGCAGACACGTGGCATCGAGCGGTCGTCAGCCTCTGTCTCCACCGAGAGGCAAAGTCTTATTTACCCCTTATGGCTTTCTCATAATTACCGCCGAGTAAATATCCCCACCCCCTTCCACGCAGCCACAAGGCGCAGCAGCAGCCAGCCTCCTCCCAGCCACAGCAAAAGCGAGAGCTAGAGAGAGAGGGTTGCCGTTTCGAAAATCCTCTCTTAATCAGAGGGAGGGTGCAGGAGGCATTCCGGGGGGAACGCCAACATAGAGGTGTTTACTCTCATCGCCCCTTCTGTTGTCTGCTTCCTCTACCAGCGTACCAGGGGATCCCCACCTCTCTCTCTTCTCTTCTTATGACCTCTCATGCTTCCAGGTGACTTTCTCTGTCTTTTCCTCGCGCATCTCTGGTTGTTCAGATCCTTCTCGAGGATTTTGGGAGATTTTTGTGGAGATCCTCGAAGGACCCGAAGGGAGATGTCCCGTATTTCTCGTTGTTGGGGGATGAGCAATGCCGATATTCTTTCATTTCTTTTATTTTGACCGGTTTTCTTGGTGTCTGTGCAGGAGATAAGATAGGAAGGTGATCCCCTTGGCTGTATCATCCGCTTTCTTGATCTTTCTGAGTGGCTAGAAGGTGAGAAAGTCATCGGTGACGGAAAAAATCTGGAGATCGTCGGTGGAGGAGGGGCGGCGAGGATGTACGGGGACTGCCAGGTGATGCTGATGGGAAGCGGCGGTGGCGGAGGTTCAGCAGGACCTTTGGGCGGCGCAGCCGGTAGCTCAGGGTCGGGGGGAGGCGGGAACAACATGATGATATTCTCAGCCCCCGCCTCGTCCTCCGCGGCGCTCACCGACCCTTTCTTCTCTTCTCCCCACAGAAACCCTAATCACAGTCTGTCCAGTTTCATGGCTAGCCTTCCCCCCTTTCATGGCTTCCCTAGTATCATCCCTGTAAGTTCTCTCCATTTTTTCTCTCTTCGTATGCCTGCATTTCTTCATTTATTCCGGATTTAAGTTCATGATAGAAACACCACGTCTAGATGTGGAATCATATCCTTTACTCATCATTCTTTTCCTCTCTCTAGAAGTTGTATCCTTTGAATCCGGAGTAAAAGTTTATGCTAGAAACAACAATGTGTGATGCTTTCTTCTCTATTTGTGGGTGCAGAAGGAGGAGGGAGGGACGGTGGCTGGCATGGGGATGGGCAAGGAGGTGGAGATGGAGAGCGGCGGCTCGGGGAGTGCTCAGCTCGACGGCGCCGCCAGTTGTGGTGAGGACCAAGACGACGACCTCCTCTTCGCGTCACAGCAGCAGCCGCAGAACCGACAGCAGCAGCAAAACGGCAGCCAAGCCAAGAAGAAGCGCTACCACCGTCACACCGCCCACCAGATTCAAGAAATGGAAGCGTGAGCGACCCCCAAACTATTACCGAAAACTTCAAGAATAATTCGGTGTACACATACATTAGCTTTAAATGTACGTGGTTTCGTATTTTGATGTCTGCAGGATGTTCAAGGAGTGCCCACACCCGGACGACAAGCAGCGGCTGAAGCTCAGCCAGGAGCTGGGCCTGAAACCACGGCAGGTCAAGTTCTGGTTCCAGAACCGCCGCACCCAGATGAAGGTTAGGGTTTCGACAATCCCCTTTAATACATCCCTCTCTCTCTCTCTCCCTCAATTCCCAATCTGCTTCGGTAACGCTCGATGCGTTCGGAAGATCCTCCTACCTGCTAATTAATGCTGCGAGGGGAGCGAAAGGTAGAAAATGGAAAGGAGAGAGTAGCAAACGAGTTTTTTGGAGGGCTGGGGGTCTTCGCACGTGCTTCATCGCATGATTCCGAAGCGTTGGCACGCTTGCGTACCACCTCTTTTTGGTTCTTTCCCTATTCTCTTCCTCCGTTTCCATGGCGACGATAATAACAATAGAAGGAGATGGTGCAGGCGCAGCAGGACCGGGCCGACAACGTAATGCTTCGGGCGGACAACGAGAGCCTGAAGAGCGAGAACTACCGCCTCCAGGCCGCCATGCGCAACGTCATCTGCCCCAGCTGCGGCGGCCCCGCCGTTTTTGGCGAGGTCTCCTTTGACGAGCAGCATCTCCGCCTCGAGAACGCCCGCCTCAAAGACGAGGTAAAGAAGGGAAACCTACAAGTTCTTCATTCCGGGGGTTCGCACGTGAGAGGGATCTCGACACGGGTGAGACACCTCTTCTGGGCAAAGCGCGTGAATTGATTGCTCTCCGTGCATGCACAGACACGTGCGTGCTCTTCTCCTCCTCGACCCTTCTGCATGTGGAGGGAGTTGGCGTGCAGAGAGAGAGAGGGAGAGAGCACAGTGGCCTCTCCGTCCATTTCGCTATGATTTGTAGTGGCTATACGCCCTAATCCAATAGAAGGGAGAGAGAGAGAGAGAGAGAGCGAGAGCGAGAGATCTACTCTCATCTCTCGTAGGAGGTTCCACATCTTCTGCGGTTTCATGGCTTTATCCATGAAACATAGAGACCCAGCTGACGAGTTTCATCTGTGTTACCAGCTGGAGAGGTTGTCGTGCATCATATCGAGGTACGGGCACCGAACCGTGCCGCCACTGGTTGCGGGGACGTTGCCGCCGCCGGGACTGCTGCTGCCGCCGTCGCTTGACCTCGACATGGGCATCTACGCCCGCCACTTCAGCGAGCAGACGGTTATGAACCCCTGCGCCGACGTCATGACCACCCTCTCCTCCCGCGCTCCCGGTTTTGCGGCGGCAGGGATGACGGAAGCTGGTCAGCAGGTTGACTTCCAGAGCGAGTTATTCATCATGGACCAAGACAAGACCCTCGCTCTGGACCTAGCCATGACGGCGGCAGAGCATCTGGGGAGGTTGTGCCGCAAGAACGAGCCGCTGTGGATCAGAGGAGCCGCGGGTGGCGGTGGTTGCGGCGGCTACGATGTGTTGGACCTGGACGAGTATCATAGGGCGTTCCAGTGGCCAGTTGACCTAAAGCAGGGGCAAGGGGGCATCGAATTCAGAATCGAGGCGACGAGGGAGAGTGCTCTCGTCATCATGAACAGCATTACACTGGTCAACTCCTTCATGGATGTCGTAAGTATCTATCATAAAGTCGCCATACGTTAGTCGACCATTTTATCGACCATTTTATCCCTGTTGAATTCTAATCCTCAGAAATGCCAATAGAGGGTAGTATAGCCTCGTCTCTACGTTTTAGTCCGGATTTCTCTTTTTAACTCTCTCTCTCTCTCTCTCTCTCTCTCTCTCTCTGGTTATACGTCCAGAACAAATGGGTAGAGATGTTCCCTTCTATCGTCTCGAGCGCCAAGACCATCCAAGTGCTTTCCTCTGGTATCTCAGGCCACGGGAATGGCTCTCTTCATCTGGTAATCCTCATTTTAAGTTGACTAATTTCGTAATTCCTATGAAATTTCCATAGATTCGGAACGTTCCACTGGCCTTTGCGCCCACTCACACGCTCTCTCTCTCTCTCTCGATGCAGATGTACGGCGAGTTCCAGTTTCTCTCTCCTTTGGTACCCATGAGAGAGGCTTACTTCTTCAGGTATTGCCAGCAGAATGCCGAGGAGGGGACCTGGGTAGTGGTGGATTTCCCAGTTGATGGCTTCAATGATGGGCTCCAAGTTCCTTTCACTAGATACAGAAGGCGTCATTCAGGCTGCGTTATTCAGGATATGCCGAATGGGTACTCCAAGGTGAGCCCCATTTGCATGCTTTCCAATAAAGATTTGAGAATCTTATGACTGGTGGGTTCTCTAGAACGTTGAACGGTATTTTTCTATTTAATTTTTAATATTAAATTATACGGCTGTTACATGTGTTTTTCTGTGAATTACTGTGATTTCTCCTTTAATATGTTTCTCTGTTTCCGTTTCGGTTCTCTGTGTCAAAGCTTTGGGTGAGCTTGAAAAACTTAGGAAGATTTAGCCGGACATGGGATCAAAATATTTAGTTGAAGCATACTGGAAAAAAATGTAAAAAATAAGGAATTAAGAATAAAAATGTAAGAAATTATTCGTAGAAATATTATTATATTAACTTTTGGTTGTAAGAAGTTCCCATTTCACCTAATACATTTTTTTTTTTACAATTATCATTTTTTGTATAATTACAATATGCATGTTCTTGACGTTTCCTTATAGATTTTGTCGCTCGAAAATTGAGGGATTACACTAGATCAAAGAAACATTCCACAGTTTAGTGCGCGCGCGCCATCTTTTTGCCTGATTTGATCGAAAATATAGGGAAGATCGCCTGAAATGGATGACATCTGTACTTTCGTTTGGAATCAGATCGCCTGAAAGGGAAGACGGTTGCTATCTGTCTCTACTTATTGCTCATGGTTAATGAGACTACATACGCCATCTTCATGCGCGGTCCACACTGCATAAGACAGCTCTGAGTCTAAATAAGAGCAACCGTCTTCATTCAGGTGACGTGGGTGGAATTCGCCGAGGTTGAAGACAAGCCCGTGCATCAGATATTCAATCAACTCGTCAGCAGCGGCATGGCCTTCAGCGCGCAACGATGGTTGGCGGTCCTTCAACGCCAGTGCGAGCGTCTTGCCAGCCTCATGGCGAGAAACATTTCCGATCTTGGAGGTACTTAACATCGATGAACCTTAATCTATATCTAAATAAAACTTTAGGAATAGTCTCACAATCATTTGACCGAGTGTTTGGGACTTCTTCCACGCATTGTCGGTTGAATCGGCCCTCGATACACGGACTATTATGATACAGAACCACAATCTACTTTGAAATTCGCGTTTATCTCGACCCCTCGCGAACGATTTTTTTTCATACGTTCGGTTTATTTATATAATTTTGAGCGGAGAAGCCCTAGGTATTTAACCAGCGTCTAGTATTTTCCCTTCGAGAATGGAACTGACTCTTCATGATGTTTCATGCTGCCGTGAAAACGATCTACTGAGAAACCCTTGTTTATGGTGGCATTGCCCAGATTTCCGGCCGACTCCCCGCGTTTTTGTGTCCTGTTATTGTTATGATACCGGGGCCATGGACGGATGATCTTGAGAGAAACCCGTGTTTATCATAACCTACTCTTATTGTTTTCTAGAGTAAACAATCGTTTATTTCCGAATGATCTTGGAGGTACGTCCCCGCTTCTCCACCACGTCCAGGTGGTTTATCAAGCATGGGAACACAGTAATAGAGCCACTCTTGTGACGATAGTGCATGTTCTTCGCTGTTTTCTCATATATTCCGTCTCTTTTCCACTCAACATGTTGAGGAGACCATAACCAGGTCATTCCTGCCACCATATTCCACTCTGCGGAAGAATAGTTAATCCAGAAATCCGCTCCTGAGAAGAATCTGCCATTCCTGTTTTGATATTGCATTTGTAGAAGAATCTAGTGAGAAGCACGTGCTTGTTACAACCTTTATCCACCATTTCTGATACGTTGGAATGGTTATTGCCCCAGTGATCCCCTCGCCAGAGGCCCGGAGGAACATGATGAAGCTCTCCCAGAGGATGGTCAGGACCTTCTGCAGTAACATCAGCTCCTCGGCTGCACCGTCATGGACGGCACTCTCAGATTCGTCCGGAGACACGGTTAGGGTTACGACCAGGAAGAACATGGAACCCGGCCAACCCAACGGCGTCATTCTCTGTGCAGTATCCACAACGTGGCTGCCCTACTCCGCCGACCAGGTGTTCGAGCTTCTGACGGATGAGAAGAGGAGATCCCAGGTTCGGCCGCAGCACTTGGCCCTCATTTCTATCAGAGTGTTTATTGATATTTCTGAGAAGTCGATCCCGCTGAGGCTGATGTTGATCTCCGGCGTTGAATGTGCTCCAGCTGGACGTGCTCTCCGGGGGGAACTCGCTGCAGGAGGTGGCTCACATCGCCAATGGATCCCACCAGCGGAACTGCGTCTCTCTTCTCCGCATCAACGTAAGAACAGTTAGATTTCTCGACTCCTCTTATTATTCTTCTCTCTTCTGTCTCTATTTTGGCTCCTCAAGTTTTATCGTAAGCTCAAGAAGGGCTTCAGATGATGCTCAATTAGTCTATCTTCTCCCAATTCAGCCCAGCTCTTCCTCTCCGAACTCATTCCCCCTCCTCGTCTCTGGGAAAGAATAGGAAGACTTGCATTCAATCTCGCGAAGAGCCTAATCCGATGTTTTTTGGGTCTATTTTCTCCCAGTCTAACGTCTCTCGTCGATCCCTAAACATCTCTTTCGTCCTCTCTGTCTCTCTCTTTAAAGAAGAGGGTTTATTCCACAAGACGCTCGAGACAGGCATAATCTGATGCTTTTTCTAGTCCACTTACCCCCAATTAAGCACCATTTCTCCCAATTCAGCGTAGCACACCCGATAAGCTAGCGGCGTGTTCTTTAGCGCTGTTTTAAGTCCGTTTTCTCACAATCCAACCAGGATATGTAGGTCTTTTAGGTTTTCGGAAGAGTTCATCAGTCTCCCTTCTTTCTGTGTGGGGTAGCTGGACAGCTAGGGTGGTGGGCGGGAGGGCTTGCGAGGTGGGGGTTCCTTGGTCGTCTGAATTGACAGCAACAGTAAATAAGCCTCAGAAGGGTTGCCGAGGGGTCTTCAAGTTTGTCTGCGCAGTTCATCTGTCAGAAATCTCACCCTCTTTCTTGCTGCACTGTTGTTGGTCTTCGATTTATTCTCTCTCTCTCTCTCTCTCTCTCTCCCATTCTCTCTGTGGGTGGTGCAGGATCTAACGTGGGTTTAATGCAGGCTTCTAGCAACTCGTCCCAGAACGTGGAGCTGATGCTGCAGGAGAGCAGCACCCACCCGACCGCCGGCAGCCTCGTCGTCTGCGCCAACGTGGACGTGAACGGGATCCAGCTGGCGATGAGCGGCGATGACCCCTCGTGCATTCCGCTCCTCCCCATGGGCTTCGTCGTCCTCCCCGCTACGGCGATCCCCGAGGACGCCACTGCCGGTGGGGCCGGCGCCGGCGGCTGCCTCCTCACCGTGGGCCTCCAGATCATCGCCAGCGCGATACCCTCTGCCAAGCTCAACCTCTCCAGCGTCAATGCCATCAACAACCACCTCTGCAACGCCGTCCACCAGATCAGCACCGCCCTCGCCGGCGGCGCAGGGGCCGACCAGGCGGCGCCGCCGCCCTTCCCGGAGGTCAAGTGAACCAGACAAGGCGGCCGGATCACCCTCACCAGCACCGTCCCTCTCCAGAGCAGCGATGATCTGAAATGACGAAAATACCATCGATCCGTCGATGGCATTTTGGGCATTTCAGACCCATCCCCTCCCTCTCCGCCCTGCAGCTTGGGCTAGGGTTTTGGGGGAGTCTCCGTGGTGATCTGCGGCCGAAGCTCAATAAAACCCGGGAACGAAGGCAGGAACGTCAAGGAAGCTATCGTCGTCGTCGTCGTCGTCGTCCTTTTGCCGGGAATCTGTTGTTTCCTTAGATTTCTTTTGGACTGCGGGGAAGAAGAAGTCTGAACAGTGGAGAGAGATGCGGGGTGGAGAACAGTGGAGAGGGGGAGCAGCGGGGGGGAGTCAAGAGCGCACCAGAGGCCATTAACTGCCCTGCCATCGGAGATCAGGCGGGAAGACGGCTGCTGGTTCGGGAATTGACTCTTCCTCCTCCCACTCCTCCTCCCTGTCAGTGGGTTGTCTTCGTCCGCTTCTTCTTCTTCTTCTTCTGACTGTGTATGTTAGGTGTGGATGCTTTGTGGGTTGCATTAACTGCCCATTTATGTTCTTGCGATGCCTTCCTTCGCCCTTGTTTCTTGTGGGGATGCCCGTCCTCTCCGTTTCTACAGTTGGGCTTTTATGAATGAAGGGTCCTCTCAGGGTGGGTGGGAGGGGCGAGAGAGAGAGAGAGAGAGAGAGAGAGTAAATGTAGGTGCAGGAGGGTGGGGTGGGGGCATTTACTCCACCCTACTGTAAGTGACGAGAGAAAGTCAGATGATCAACGGTCATTAGAATGCTCATATCAATCTGTTAACTGGTTTGGACTCTCTCTCTCTCTCTCTCTCTCTCTCGCTCTCTATCTACCTCTATCTGTAAGAAGCTCAATCAGTGTAAAAGTTTGAAAGCATCACATGGCGGTCCTCAGAAGACCCATTTACGGCTAGTCTTTCTCAACTTCTATCCCAAAATCAACCGTAACCATGGTTCAACCTGCTCTCTCTCTCTCTCTCTCTAGATTATATGAAGGGTTGGGACTGGAACAAGCCCAGATTTTGATGAGGCCCAAGCCCATCCAATCCAATCCACATTTGACTTCCGGAGTGGGTAGAAGTTCAAAAGACGTAACATTGATATATATATATATATATATATATATATATATATGGCTAGCGAGAGAGAGAGAGAGAGAGAGAGAGAGAGAGAGAGAGAGAGAGAAGGGAATTAGGATGATGAAGCATTAGAAAACATAAGGATAATATTAAGAACCAATGTATTGAACTATAGTTACCATAAAAAATAGCCCTTTAGTCGAGGGAACCATGTTTTTGGTAACATCTGGAGTTCCCAATTGCCAACTGGACAATGTCTTTTTGGGCCGGCCCAACGCTATCCTCTCCGAACCGCTCCATTATTGGGCCGAACAGAATTTCATGGCGGCCCAATTCACGGCCCGTTTTTCGGCTCAATAAAGGGTCGAGCCCCCGTTTCCCTTCCCTCCCCTCCCCAATTGTGAGATGCTGAGCTGGCGACCGTCCGACGGGGCCTCCAACTCGGTGATGATGGTCAACTAGCCTCGCCCGCTGACTTGCACCGCTTCCCTCACCTAACCCAGCCGTCAAGACACTCACCCGGTCCTCGCATGGCCTGGTCAACCTTCCCGCTCTTGCTTTTCCCGACGGTATCTTTCTCTGACCACGTCCTCGCTGACCAGTCAACGCATAGACCGAGAGCGATGCGACTAGTGGTGCTCTAGAAATTCTTACCGGACTCGTGCCACGTAGCGGGGGAATATGCCGCACGTGCTTTCCGTTGTCGACCTGCCTGCCGGTGGGATTGCGGCGTCAGGTTCACGGGTGGGGTCCACACAATCGATGGCTCTGCCAGCGATCTGTGGATCTGACGGGCTACATTGGTCACTCGTGAGGTGGGACCCACGGTAGGTGGAGCGTTCATTCGAACCACGTAGCACTCCGCCAGGTCACATCCCTAACCGGGGGGGGGGGGGTATGACAGGGGATAAAACACGGGAAATGATAAAATAACTAGAGTTGACTAGTTCGACATCTTAAATAATGTCAACAGCCTTCACTATCATTCAGAGTCCTCCACTCGTATTTTACCATTTGGGGTGGCGTTGACCAAAGTCATCGGATTCCCAGCACCACAAATCAACCAATGATTGACTTATCCTTCAAAACCCACCGAAACGGGGGGACTTTTCCGTGGGTGCAGATTGTAGATGACCTCATGTCACTGTGACGTCATGATGACGATGCAGTGGTTACTATTTTTGCATCCTGACGTCTCTCCTGTAATCCTTATGTTCCTAATTTTGGGCTGCCCAATGAAGTAAGAGTCAACGGGCAGCCGGCGCTACGACCAGTCCAAACATTAGAGAGAGAGAGAGAGAGAGAGAGAGAGAGAGAGAGAGAGAGAACCAGGTCGGGCCGGACCGGGCTGGACCGATTTGGCTAATTGGAGCCGTAAAAGCTGGATAGAATCGGGGCGGCTCGAGCCACGGACTTGAGTAATTGCGGCTAGGGAGGGTGTGGATGCAAAGACCAAACTTTGGTGGGGTTTTTCTGGAAATTTCATTCCGCGGGTTGTCAACTCACGGGTCTTCAGCTCCCTCAGCGCCTGGCAGAGGAGGAAACGGCGGCGGCGGCGGCGGCGGCCGCGGTGGTTACACACGCTTTCTCTGACGACCGCCAGTGTAAGACCCTTTCACGTGGGGGTGAATGTTCTCTTACGGTTACCGGAGCGGCCGTGCCCTCTTTATGGCGCAGGAAAGAAATGATGCAATACGGGATAAGGTAACCGCCAGGTAGCGGGAGTCGCCCGTCCGTAACTGCCAGCTCATCCCGTTCTGGCAGGGAAGCTAGATCTGACGGCTGAGAATCCATCGAAGCGACACGCGTCGGCTTGTAGGGGATTATCTTGCTCCCCCCCCGTCTCTCAGAACACCCTATTTTGACTGGAAAGTGACGCCGGCCTAGGGAGGGGCGTTAAATGTATAAAGGACTTTTATACCCTCAACTTGATGGCGGATCGACTGATCGGACGGTTTAGAATGAGGTTGGATGGTAAATCTTTAGCAAGCGAGGGGTTTGCGGGAACGACGAAGGGCCCGCCAAACGCGCTTCCATCGGGCGAGGCGTTTGGTTGAACCACTGCAACCACCACTTTTTAATTATTATTTTAATAATAAATATAATAATGATTTAATAAATTCGCGCGTCCTACTTGTCTATTTGCTCCTTTTTCTGCTCTCTCTCTCTCTCTCTCTCTCTCTCTCTCTCTATGCTTTTGTTCTCCAGGGAGACTCGCCGGTGGGTGGTTGTGGTGGGAAGTCTCCGTTAGCCGGCGGGAGGATTCTGGTGGCGTCTCCTCCTTGCTGGGTGCGTGGGAGGACGGGGTGGAATCGTCTGGGGCCTTCTCGTGGGACTGAGGAGGCTCGGAGGGGCCGGATCTCGTCGTTGATTGATTCCCTCCTCCGAGAGTAATGTGGTACTGGAGCTCGGGGGAGGTGGCGGAGGGAAGACGGTAGAGGTTTGGGGGACTCTTCTGTTCGCCAGGGACAGTCTGCGGTTGTTGGAAGCGTCGCCCGCTCTGGGAGAGGGTCCCTAGGCCCAGGGAAATCGGTATGAGATGGTGAGCCGTGTGATCTCAGAATTTACTCACACTTCCGTCATGTTTCCCCCCTTGTCTTCTTTTCCCTTCTTGTAGTTGATTCCGCAGCGATGTGCTGCCGCCTTGGTAGTTTTGTTTTACGTTGACCGCGCTGTGTTGGTCTTATCCTTTGCTAGATTTCGCCCTCGTTCTCATGCGTCAGCTTAAAACATTTGCTCTGGTAAATAGGATGCATCACAGGGAACAGTCTGACGATTTTTTCAATTTTATTGGTCAATCTGTTAATCGGGTCTATTCAGGGTTCTCCTCCTTTTAATGCGGGAAACACAAGGTCGAAAGCTCTGTTGCATTGCTTAATTCTCTTTGCAATCTTCTGAATTCTCACTCTAATTTAACGTGATGTATGCCTATGTGAAATGCTTTATTCTAAGATTTCGTTGACCTTTCTGTTATAGGGATGTTGGATGTAATGCTTAAGGTTGTCAGCAACACAGAACTATATAAAATAAATTGGGTGGATCAGATAAACGATATGCATAACTATTTTTTGGACTCTGTAGTCGCAACTTTTGTTCTTATTTACTATGAATGGGTTTCGCAGTAGTATGGAGCTCCTGCTTCACTGGTAGAGCTGTGTGCTTCTAGATCTTCCTTGTTGATTTAAGTTACGAAACTGGTCAATTTGTTTACTGTGATTAGATGAGATTTTTGTGAATGTCAACCTCTTGACTTGGTTGTTTGCTAATGTCAACAATTGTCCGTGTTTTATTCTTCTAAATTTAAGCTAGCAAGAATAAACATAATTCTTTCGGTAGAAAAAAGTTCCGTGTTGTTTAATTTTTTTTATTTTCTTCATATGAGGGATTGCTATTTTGTTTTGCCCTCTTTAACCTTCCAATGATAGGAAGTTTGCCTTTTTTACCTTCTCTGTTTTACTTTATTGCGTATTGGGAATGATTTAGATTCTGATTAACTTCTTTGCCTTCTTATTTTTGACTTGTTCTCTACTGTCCTTTTTTTCTGCAGGTGGAAGGAAAATCTTGTCTGTCTAGGGAGGTTAAGACTAGGTTAGAAATTCTCAAGCGTAAAAGGCTTCAGCAATTGAAATCGGGTGTCACACACGGAAGGGATGTTTCTAATATGAGGACGAGAAGTGGAGGGGATGCCTTGAAAGCATCTTCTTCTTATGGATGCCCACCGCAGGGCAATGCAGATGGATTTGCTTTCAACTTTAATGCCTCTCCTGCAAAGGATGCCTTTGCTAAGCACAAGGTTGAAAAGCTTCCAATTTCAAACTTAGAATGGATTGAGAAAATCCCGGAATGCCCCATTTTTTCTCCATCGAAAGAAGAGTTTGAGGATCCGCTCATCTACTTGCAAAGAATTGCTCCCATTGCTTCAAAATTTGGTAATATTCAATTTCCTGATTTTATTATTTCTAGGTACTACGTCAATGTATGCTTTGTTCGATCTAGGTCCTGTATTTTTAAAGCCATCCTCATCACAAATGCTTTTCTCAATCACATCAAAGCTCTTCTGTCTAACGACTAATTTCTGAATCTCAGGAGACTCACTGTTCATTTTCATTTTCATGTCTTCTCTTTAAAGTATCTTTTTTGTTGATATTTCAATGGTTTCCTTCAATTTTGTCGAATCGAATCAGAACATTTGCTTTAATTCTCATAAGACAGGAATATACCATCGACTTAAGTTGTGTTGCTCCATATTTCTTTTCCTGGCATCAAGTTCTTGATCTCAACAGAAATACTGCGACGTACATTTGGTGATATTTGTTGGAAGATAGAATGGAGAATAGTTATTGTCCACATATATTTAGCTTTAAATTACATTCTGGAGCTTACGTGTAGTACAATGCTGTAGGCATTTGCAAGATAATATCCCCGTTGAGTGCCTCTGTACCTGCTGGCATGGTATTAATGAAGGAGAAAGCTGGATTCAAGTTTACGACCAGAGTTCAGCCTCTCCGTCTTGCAGAGTGGGATAGAGATGATAAGATTACATTTTTCATGAGCGGAAGGTAATCATGTTGTTCAACAAGGGACGATATTTTAATTTGGGCGGTTTATGAGTATTTGAACGATTTTTCAGGAATTATACATTTCGTGAATACGAGAAAATGGCAAACAAGGTGTTCTCCAGAAGGTACTCGAGTTCAGGGTGTCTTCCAGAAAGATACCTAGAGGAAGAATTTTGGCATGAAATAGCCTTTGGGAAGACAGAGTCGGTTGAATATGCATGTGATGTTGATGGCAGTGCCTTCTCATCATCGGCTAGAGATGAGCTTGGAAAAAGCAAATGGAATCTGAAGGTGATATTTTGTTTTTTCAATTTTTATATCATCTGCCGATGAAATTTAATGTTGTAGCTTTGATGGCCCCTGTAGTCAGAATAAATCGGTTTTTTTTTTTGGTTCTCTTTCAGCTTATGTAAAAACACTTGCAGGGTTAACATTTTCTCATGTGCACTGGCATTGGTACTTGTATTAGATTTTCTGATTATATTGGTTGTATCTCTGGCATTGGTACTTGCCTTTCTAATCGGGCTTCTTCATTAAGAAATCAGTCTCTGATCAAAGTTGAAGAAGAATAGATGCGAACATGTCTTCTTCTACAAAAATACATCAGAACAAATTTATGGATCCGGAGAAAGAAGATGCTTCTAGTTAAAAAAATAAATAAAATTATGCCTTAAATTTTATGGATCTGAAGTTGGGTTGTCTCTGTGGCCATCTACCGACGAAGTATCCTTCTTAATATTCTTCACCTTATGTAAAAACACTGGCATTTGTACCTGATGCTTGTTTTACCTCAGACCTCTACTAGTATTACATTTAAAATTTTGTGTTCCCTTTTTTCTTCTGGTAATCCATTACTTATCCTCCTTTTGTGCATTGCGGGCAGAAACTTTCCCGTCTACCGAGGTCAATTCTGAGGCTTCTGGGAACAGCTATACCGGTAAATTATTTTTTCTGGCTTTTGAAGTTCAATAACTGTTACATCAGTTACGATTGCAGCTTTTGAGTATGTTATTTCTAACAACCGTGTTTTCTTTTCAGGGAGTGACTGATCCCATGCTTTACATAGGAATGCTATTCAGCATGTTTGCTTGGCATGTAGAGGACCACTATCTCTACAGGTAATTTTAAAAGATGACGTAAGATCTTTTTATTCTCAATCTTGTATTTTTATCATTCCGATTGGTTCCTACCTCTGTGCTTGATTGTTGTCACTTCGGAGTAGAGAATGCAGTTGGCTAACATGGAATTCAGTCATCTTATTCTTGATTATGACTGATATTCATGTTGTTACTTTTTCCTACCAGCATTAATTATCATCACTGTGGAGCCTCAAAAACATGGTATGGGATTCCTGGGAATGCTGCTCTCCATTTCGAGAAGGTCGTGCGGGAGACGGTCTATTCTCATGAAATTTTATCAAGCAACGTAGATGATGCAGCATTTGATGTTCTTCTCGGGAAAACAACCATGTTTCCACCAAACATTTTGCTCGACCATGGTGTCCCCGTCTATAAAGCCGTACAGAAACCTGGGGAATTTGTCATCACCTTTCCTCGGGCATACCATGCAGGTTTTAGCCACGGTAAGAAATGTTTCATGCATAATTGTCTTCTCCCCCGAGATTGAAATATTAACTTCCTTGACTAAATATGCACTATCTTATGATCAACTTTCAGGTTTTTAATTGTGGCGAGGCGGTCAATTTGATTCATATCTGATATTTCATGCATAATTGTCTTCTCCCCCGAGACATAAATATTAACTTTCTTGACTAAATATGCACCACCGTATGATCAACTTTCAGGTTTTAATTGTGGCGAGGCGGTCAATTTTGCGATTGGCGATTGGTTTCGACTAGGAGAAATGGCTAGTCAGCGGTATGCACTCCTCAATAGGGTGCCACTTCTGCCTCACGAAGAACTTCTCTGTAAGGAAGCAATTATTCTCCACAATAGATTCTCTGATCCCAAGGACCGAGCCTTTTCAAGTGAAGACGTGGTTTCACATAAAACCGTCAAAGTTTTATTCGTGCAAATGATGCGATTCCAGCATCGTGCTCGCTGGTCCCTGACGAAATCTGGAGCACGATCATATTATTCCCCAAATTCTCAGGGAACCATTCTTTGTGGCATCTGCAAGCGTGATTGCTATCTATCTTATGTCACATGCAACTGCCATGAACATCCCATCTGTCTTCGCCACGGTAGGATTCTAACATCGCCTTCTACAGTTTCCATCACTTTTCGCATACAATCATTTTTGGGATTATTAACGTCTACATATTTCCTGTTTATGAGCTTTCAGAGACTGAGATGGTCAACTGTCAATGTGGTCGAAATCGTGCCGTCTTTTCTCGGGAGGATATCTTTGAAATGGAAACTGCATCTCAGCGGTTTGAACAGGACGAGGGAGTACTTGCAGAGATGGAGAGACAGATCGGAAGTAATGATGAAACCCTAATGTGGCGATATTTCTCACCTGGCAGCAGAGAGGATGGCTATGTTCCATATTGTGGTATCAATATTGAAGTGGGCTTCAAAGATCTAGAGCAATCTCATCACCGATCACTTGATTTTGTTTCAATATCAAAAAAAGGCATCTATTCAGATAACGGCAGTGACTTAGTTAAAGATGATGGTTCGCCAGAATATATCTACTCATTTGGGACTTCAAATGTTTCTTCTGCATTGAAGCCTGACAGAAGAAGATCTTCATTTAATGATGAAGTAAGTGTTTACATTCTACTAGATTCATCTAATTCCTTTTGACTTTGGATAATTGTTGCATCAATAAAGGCGCGGATGCGCTGGGCATTATTTACATCTTCCTCCTTATGTGGCACGCAGGGTTCTTTCTATAAAGCGTTGACCAATGGAGATGAGGTGTGCAGAGAGGGGTCAGGCAGCGCCGATTACTGTGTTCAATCATCTAGCAAGTGCTCGGGAACCAATTCCTGTTCTCCATTCAGAGAGATCTTCCAAGAGAGTGACGACTCTGATTCTGAGATATTTAGGGTGAAGCGTCGGTCCACTTCCAGAGAAGAGCAGAAATCCTCCTCCAGTCTCTTGAACTCCGACTTCTCTGAGCAACAGGTTTGACTTTTTATCTTTTTTTTTTCATTAGGATTTTTGTTTGATGTTCTTATTTATCTTATAGGAGAAGTTTTATCGCAGCCCGCGTTTCTTGTTTTTCAATGTATTAAATACCAAAAAAAATTTAATTCAGTCAAGAGCTTGCCTTTATGGTGATGTTTTGAGCAGATAACTCCCAGTGAAAACTTCCAGTTGGCTGTACTAATGAGCCCACTAGGCCAAAGAACCACTAATATATTGACCTAGTGTGGTTGTCCCCTCTCTCTCTCTCTCTCTCTCTCTCTCTCTACCTATCTATCCATCTCTTGCTTTAGATCACTCACAGGGTTTAAGCATTGCTGATAGCCTCCTGGTGTTGCTCTCCATGATGGAATGCATGTTCATGAGCTGCACCCTCTCTTGTTTCAGGGACTGAAACGCCTAAAGAAGCTGAACCCCGGGGGTAGGCCGGCGGTCGGCGGTGGCAGTGGCGGTGGCGGTGCCACTGCCACCAGCAGCGTCCATCCCAGAGAAGCTGTCCCTCCTCTTGTCAAGAAGAAGACCTGTGCTCGGCCCAAACAGCCGCAGCCATGGGTCTGGAGTGAGCCCACCCCCAGGGAGCATTCTCCCATCGGAGGTGGGCAGCGGCGGACCAAGGTCAGAGGCCCCTCGGAGGGAGAATCCGGCTCGAGGTGGTTCTGGTGAGCGGCGGCTCTCTCTCTCACTCTTTAACAAACGGTGGCTCCGGCGGCCCGTGACCAACAAGGGGAAAGATCTCTGAGTACATTAGGTGAGGTGTGGTGGCGGTAGTCTGATTCTTTGTGCTGGCCTCGAATTGGAGGCGGCGGCACGGCCATTTTTATCCCGCTTGTACAGGCCGGAGGAGGTCCTCGGCGGGGATTTAACGGCATTTGATGCTCTCTCTCTCTCTCCCAGCTCCTCTTCTCACCAACTTTCTTTCTCCACCTTTTCCTTTCCGTTAGAGAGAGAGAGGGAGAATGAGAGAGAGATTTGACTAGATTCCTAATATCTTCTCAGCAACTTTCTTTACCTTCTCCTTGCAGTTAGCGAGAGAGAGAGAGAGAGAGAGAGAGAGAGAGAGAGAGAGATCTCCTGGGTAAGCTCGAACTCCTAGTCTCTTCTCCGCAACTTCCTCTCCCTTTCCTTGCCGTTAGAGAGAGAAAGAGAGAGAGATAGGACTCGATTATCTGCTAGGAAGGCTAAAATTCATAGTATCTCCCATCGTGCTTTGATTTTCAGGATCAATTATGGTCTCTCCCCCCTTCCTCTCTCTCTCTCTCTCTCTCTCTCTCTCGCTCTCTATCTATCTATCTATCTCTGCCCTGGAATCCTGGGCCCAGGCCCAGACAAGGCCAAAACGGTAACCGATATTATTGGGCCTCTAGTTAGCAGGTCCACGTAGTTACGAAGCTTTAATATATCCCGGTGACCACATCTCTGTAGGGCCCACATCGATGGACGTAGCGCACCGTCTGTACAACCGACATCTCGTCCAGTCTGGCCGCGAAGGCGGTGGCCATACTGTAATCGAAAGGAGGTGATCTTATCTCCCGTGGGGCCCGAAACCCTGGGCCTGCTCAACAATCAGGTTATTGGGCCATAACACTGGGCCGACCCACGATTACACCATAATACCCTCCTTTGGGCCGGCTTTGGGGATACGTGGCTCGTTAAAAAAAAAAAGATAGGGAGCAGTGATCCTGCCTACGTAATTAGTAAAGATTGGGGAGTTTTTATTGAGAGATTCTTTGGGACGCGAAGGAGCGAGAAGATGCGTCTGCTTGTCATCGCCGGCGATCGCTTTCCGCCGCGGGGGAATCCATCGCCTCTCCTTGGCTGAACCGGGGGAGCATCGTCGGAGCTGCGGCGGCAGGCGAAGAGCTTCCGTCTCTTCTTCTTCTCCTCCATTCCTCTCCCGGCCAGGTGCTCGCTGGCGTCTTCGAATCCGTGTGGCCACCGATTTCTCCAAGAATCGCCTGGTATTATCATTTTGGATTACCTTCACGCCGCCTTTGGCTCAAATTTAGTCAATTTATTTCAAAATATACTAAATTATAAAACAAAAATGCCTATTATCTGTCCGCTTGCGATTGTATATGGGCTAGTCGCCGTTTGTCGGCTTGGCTTCGCAATTGCTCTCATGTAGTGGTTGACCATAAGAGCATTATGGATCTTCTTAATTTGGGATCCTAAATCTTCTGTTTCTGTCCCCACGACGATCCTCTATCATTTGATGGCTTCGTGTTCAGTTTTTTTTTCCATCAACCTACGGTGGGGGAAAATTGCTCCGTAAATCACTTTTATTCATGATCAGCGTGAATTTGTTCTCATATTTTCGTTTGTCTTAATCGATGAAATAACGAGGAAGTAGTTAAGTTGCATGCCTGAACTTGGAAGGGGGTTCGTCTGTTGATATGCAAATTTGCAAGGAACTCTCATTTGATTCATATGAAACTAGAAATATTCTGGTGATTCGAGGGAGCAAATATTTTATGTCATATTTCACCGGTATATATTATCTTGAAAGAGAAATTTTGCGCTGGGCTGTCGGCTAGTCTCATATCATTGTTTACTGTTCCTCGTCATATGCTTATTCTAGTGCCCCAGCACATACCTAAAATTTTATGGGGAATTCATGCGGGTATAGGCCTTATTATTCATCCGGTTTACATGGATGAACCTATTACCAGCGAGCCTCCAAACTGGGGTCGACCCAAGCTTTTAAGGGATATATTTCAGTGCCTGTCCTTGTGGAAGATGATGCATTACAGGTGCATTTTAATTTTTTAAAGCTCCATGGTTTGATGTAGAAATGCAATTCTCGTTGCTACAACATGGAGTTGTTGGATCTACTCAGAAAATATTTTGAATGTGGTTGACTGAACTACAGAGGACAGCTAAAAGTGGATGGGTTCCACCCAGATCTATCCTTCAGCATTCCCGGAAAATGTTTTCTGTCGTGTCAGATGTTCTTCTCTTCAGGGTGAACTAAAGTTTGGATGATATTGGTGAAGGACTTCGTGGCCCATGATCTCGTTAGATGCATGAAGGACCCAACCATACTGGTCCAGAGGCTAGTCAGACCCAAATCGCTTTAACAAGAATTGCTCTGGAAAAGAAAGCGCATTTATGGTTGTCGATTTTATTTTTTTTGGATGTAGATCAGTCCTGTGCTTTCTTAAACGTATTTTTTAGATGATGATATTCTTTTATATGGTAACTACTGACTGCGAATTGTTTTAATTATTTGATGCAGGTTGGGCTCAGACACGAAGTGATATGATGACTATGGTTTTCTTTCCTTAGCTGGAGGATGAGTGACTTCCACCATAGCTTGCTTCGATTCGATGTCTTCTGATTGTTTAATGGATAGAAGACGACACATTGCTATCTTTACGACAGCAAGCCTCCCATGGATGACTGGAACTGCTGTCAATCCTCTTTTTCGTGCAGCTTACCTTGAAAAGGCTGGAGATTGGAAGGTCACCCTGGCAATTCCATGGCTATCTTTGAAGGATCAGGAGTTAGTTTATCCAGGTAAAATTGCATTTGCTTCTCCGAGGGAGCATGAAAACTATGTTCGTCAGTGGGTTCAAGAAAGGACGGGATTGATTTCAGGTTTCAAAATTGGCTTCTACCCTGGAAAGGTAAATCTTCTTTGCCCATGTTGGCATCTACCAGATGGATGTCAAAACCATTTTCAAGGTCTTTAAATAGATGCAACGTGTAATACGGGGAAGTTAATCCCAGAAACAAGGTGACAAAACAGCACTTGAAAAATGTGGCGAAAGAGAAATTGTTTGAACATTTAAAAATAAAATTTATATTTAAAATTTTTAAAGCTTCGCGCACATTTAGATGGTTTATATTAGTATAAAGTTGATATGATATTTGTGTTATGTTGCTTACTTCAATGATAACTATGTATTTCACATTTCGGGCATCCCTAACTCTTACTTTATTCGTATAAATTTCATGGTGTTTAATCTTAAAATAATAAAGCTCAAGGATAACTCTGAAATTTGTGGTACAAGGATCCAATGATGAAACTACCTCTCTCTCTCTCTCTCTCTCTCTCTCTCTGGTTTGCCATCCGGGGTGGACCGGATGCGGCAAACCCAAGTTGGGAAACTGTTCCAGCCATCCCATCATGATCCTAACCTTATCAAGCTTTTTCTTTGACATGCATTGGAGACGGCATACTTGGAACTCTTTAGAATGTGACCATACGGCCCCTATCATCCTCAGAATACTTGTCCCAGAGGACTAGTCTTGAGTGAGGATCAAAATCACCCCTGACAGATTGGAGTCTGGAGTCATGACCCCTGTTTCTTGATTATTATCGGTATAAGTGTAATCTTCACTCTGGAAAACGGTTGCCCTAGTCGCCTTGCGTTCAGTGCCTCTAGCAGTCATAACTTCATCGCCGTCAAACGCTATGTAGAATCACATGAAACGTTTGTAATCATGTGCTTTTCTCTCTTCTACTCCTCTTGTATTAATCTTCTCCTCTCTCTAGCTCGCTCTCTGTTTCCTCATGTGGGCGACTAGTAATCAGTCATCGCATGACCATAGATTGAAACTTCGGCCATTTTCTCTGGTTGTTACTTATTTAATATGCAGCCTATAATACTTCACGGTAGGACAGCTTCTGGGTTCAGCTTGGAGCCTCCAGACTCATCAATGAACCCATTTAATCTTGGTCTCCACCTTCCCAATCTTTTAGAAAAAAAAAACGTTGTGTCGTACAGCTGCTCTCTGAAACTGTCGTATTGCTTGTGGTAATGGCAGAAAGTACGGATATAACTTGCTATTTTTTACGATGCTTGATGAATAAACTGCGACTTATTTCATTTTCAGTTCTCCAAAGACAAAAGGAGCATCCTACCCGTCGGGGATATTACAGAAGTCATCCCGGATGAAGAGGCCGACATTGCTGTTCTTGAGGAGCCTGAGCATCTCACGTGGTACCATCATGGCCGAAGGTGGAAAACCAAATTCAGGCGAGTTATAGGAATCGTCCACACCAATTACTTGGAGTACGTAAAGAGAGAGAAAAACGGGCTCATCCAGGCCTTCTTTCTGAAGCATATCAATAACTGGGTCACCCACATCTACTGCCACAAGGTAAGCTTTTAAAGCAGGTAAATTTATCGCTTTTCTGGCCTTCCAGTTCCTCCCTATACAGGACTCCTCTGCTTTGTTTTTTTTTTCTTATGAGGCTGGAGAATTTGATTCAGGCCTGGAAGGCATGATTCTACAGGGAAATTCCGGCCGTATTTTTTTACCTTTTTTTTTTATATAAAAAAGGGCCGCTGTCATGGCCCACTGATCTTACCGAAGCATCTTAAGGTATCCAATCGTGATATTCTAGTCTGTATGGGGAGAGGGGGGGGGGGGGACATTAATGGGCCCCCCTAGAAGATCACTTTTAAGGCATGAATGGTAATCTGGCATTCAACAGACTCACCTGGAATGCTAGTCTGGGTTGCTTGGCCTCACACTTAGCTTAGCCTCCATCTAGATCGCTAACTCTCCCCCCCTCAAATTAGAGCATATGACCCAAAGATTCTGTAAATAAGTCAATGCCTCTTCTTTATGATTCGTCGTGGGAAGTGTTAATTATATTATCTGCCAGAGTTTGCTAAACCCTGTAATGACCTGCTTCATTGTGCTCAGTCCTCTCAGAGGAAAACACGTGTACTATAAATGGAGTTAGCAGCTTGATCGCCGACGTAAATGATCGTCGATCGTTCTCACTGAGCACCCAAGTCTTCGAGGAAAGATGTCCATGGCCTCAGCAGAAGCTGCTTCTTACCCTTCTGGGACACCGAGTTGCTCCCCAAGAAAGATACAATATCTGGGATTTTATGTTCTATCAGGTTCTGATCATGCATAATCTACAGTAGAGAGATTCAAGACAGCATGGGCTCTCAATAGCATCATGGTTAGGATTTTCCATATATACTCTACTCCCTCCAACAACCACAAGAAAGATAGTACAGTATGGAGTTGAATCGGTGCTAGAGAGATGATGGAACTCTGCCCATAAGATTCATGCATGTCATCTCGTCACCGAAATTCTCCTCTCCAGACTAAAAGATCGATGCTTTTTTCCATGGGAGTAGTTGTAGCTTTTGCTCTTAGTGAGAGAATACCATGTGACCTATTTTCTGCAGCGCTATCTTCAAGGAGATGAAACTTTGATGCTGCTAAGTCCTCTCAAATTTTCTAAGTAGGTGGGGCAGATAAGAACCCCCAGAGGAGGTGAGACGGATGAGCACTGGGTCTCTCGGACCAATTGTGCAGACTCTATTTAAGACCCAACACCTACCCCCTGGTCAACGGCTCCACGGAGGTCTCTGTCACTGTGTTCTTATGCACCTAGAGCACCATGTGAGGGAGGAAGCATTTTTAATGGCAGGATGAGACCAGGGCCAAGTTGGTGAACGCCAATCGACAAGAAGAGACCTCTACTGGAGGAGAGATGGGCAACTAGGGTAGGTGTCTCGGAGTAATCCACGCCCTGTACAAATAGATGGGCGTCGCAGTGTACAGTGGAGCATTGAAGTGGGGTACAAGATGCTCATCGACGTCTATCTTGCTTGTTCCTCGTTGTTCTTGGACCCCCGGACAGATCGTCTTTATCTGCCTGATCATGGAGCATAAAACTGTGATCTTTCGATTTAATCCCGCGTTTATTCGGAGATAATTTTTTGGCTGAATCCCACGTTTCATTCCCCCGCAGATCGTAAGATTGTCGGCTGCGACGCAGGATCTTCCGAGATCTGTCGTCTGTAATGTCCATGGAGTTAATCCCAAGTTCATCGCCATTGGGAAGGACAAGGAAAGGTTGCAGAACGGAGGAGGAGGAGGAGAGTCACCGACGAAGGGCGCCTACTACATCGGGAAGATGGTCTGGAGTAAAGGTTACAGAGAGCTCCTTCAGTTGCTCTCGGCGCATCAGGACGAGCTCGCCGGATTCACAGTGGACCTCTACGGAGACGGGGAAGACTCCGACCAAGTCCGGCAGGCCGCCGGAAAACTGAAACTGGCTGTGAGAGTCTTCCCCGGCCGGGATCACGCCGACCCTCTGTTTCACGAGTGAGGACCCCACTGATCGAGCTTCAGTCCGCCTTTTCCCGTTATTTTTCCGGTCAAACTCCGGCTCCGATCGAGCCTTCCGGCCAGTTTTCGTCATTTTTTTATACTGTAGTTCCTTCTCTGATTCGACTTCTCTTGGTCCCTTCTGTCCGTTTCTTCCAGGTACAAGGTTTTCATAAACCCTAGCACGACCGACGTGGTCTGCACGACGACGGCGGAGGCCCTGGCCATGGGGAAGATCGTCGTCTGCGCCGACCACCCTTCTAACGAGTTCTTCAAGAAGTTCCCCAATTGCCGCACTTACAGCGGCAAGAAAGGGTTCGTGACGGCGGTCCTCGGGGCCCTGTCGGAGGAGGCGCCGCCGCCGCTGACGGAGGCCCAGCGGCGCGAGCTCTCCTGGGAGGCGGCGACGGAGAGATTCCTGACCGCCGCCGAGCTGGGCCCGGAGGAATCCGCCGCGGGGAAGCCCGTTGACTCCTCGCCGCCGTTCATGTCGGTGTCGATGATGAAGCTGCGGGAGCTGAGAAGGAGCATCGAGGGCGCGTCGGCGCTGGTTCATCACACCATTTCCGGTAACGAAGCCGCAAGGCGAGCTTTTGGGGCGATCCCCGGCAGCCTGCGGCCCGACGAGCAGCAGCGCAAGGAGCTCGGCCTGCTGCTCCCTGTCGGCAGTCCTGGCTGATGTAGATGATCATCTTCCTCCTACACAGCTAATGCCCAGGAATCGACGAGCGAGAGAGAGAGAGAGAGAGAGAGAGAGAGGATCTGTACTCTTTGCTGAAATCCTGACAGTCCTTCCTGCTGATTCTCTCACTGGCGGGTTCGAGAAGGAGATTGCTTGGAGTTATTATCTGAGAATACGCTCTGTCAAAAGCTTCCCTGACCTTCGCTAACTTCTTGATGGGTAACGAGAAGAATCCTCCTCTCTCTCTCTCTCTAAAATCGCGTGCACGGGTTCTTCTCCACCCTCCGTCCTCTCTATTGCCGTGGTCTCTGCTAAGGCCATACGTGAAGGACGGCCCAACTCAGAGAGAGAGAGAGAGAGAGAGATTTGCCCCAGTCAGGCCCACACTGGGTTCGTACGTGACGGGGGACCACGGGCCTTTGAGGGGCTTCCACCCGTTCGCAACGCTCACCGGTCGCTCTTCTGACCTCCTGTTGTCTTGAATGATCAGATCGTGAAAGCCCGCGGACCCGCGATAGCTACCCGACCTGGCTTAGACCATTAAATCTTGTGGCCCAAAGCAGACAAGACCGACCCGGCCCGAACGCCTACGGGCCCCCTGAGGGCGATTTGGTTAACGTTCGACCTACGAATTTTCTCTGACCAGTGCAACCGGGCTCGAATTTAAGTGGACTAGGGCACCGTCACAGATCTTCGGTTGACGGGTCAAGATGTCCGCCGGCTACCAAGTTGGGCCAAGTTCTGGCCCGCAGCTGACTTATCTTGAACGTTCCAATGACCAAATCTGACATCAATGGATCGCCAATGGTGAAACTTTGCCGATGTTAATAATAATAATAATGTACGGTGGGTGGTGTTGTTCTTGTGTGACTGTGTGGGAGTACCGGCACTCGTTTTACGTTGCTCTCGTGCTTGATTAGCGCGAATATGCGGCCTACATCTTGTAAGATGGCGCATCTTTAATGTCTTTAATGCAACCACTCCTCCTCTACAGAGATATATATATATATATATATATATATATATATTTATATGTATATATATGTATATGAGAGAGAGAGAGAGAGAGAGAGAGAGAGAGAGAGAGAGAGAGAGAGTCGTCTTCACTCTACTCGACAATTTGTTTACCTGGACAAGTCGCCGGGAAGAGAACGTGCAATCATCCATGCAAATGCCGATTATTCGATTATTACGATACCCCTTAAAGCCGGAATATATGTGTGCGGATGTGTAAACAGAGAGGAGAGAGAAAGAGGAGAGGGAGCAGTGATTTCTAGGAGATGGTCGCGTAGGCAACATTGGGTCGTGGTCTGATTACCGTGGGGTTATATCAGCAGCAGCATTGACCACCCACGAGGGGGGAGGGGGGGGTGGGGGGTTGACAAGACTATTCTGTTAGCAGGACAAGGGGAAACAAGGCATTGAAGGCCACAAATTCCAAGGCTCTGGATGTATCTGGCAACTTATAAATTCCTGGCCCTACTGCAACAGTTCCCTCCATCAACCACATTCAGTCACAGCTCATCGGTGCTCGCTCTCTTATTATTCCCCCAGGCGGCAAATCTTTGAAAACTCGGTGGGACGGGCAATGAGGCACTGCCCGTTACGAGACACCACCATCGAAGAATATCAACGTAAACAAACACATTCCTTTGCCTCGGAAGCGCGAACATGATCCAGAGCGTCTACTCACTATGTCCCCGGCCAAAACCTCTCTCTCTCTCTCTCGTCTGCAGTGGTCTCATGAGTCTCTTAATGTACGAGATTCCTTATCAGGGTTTCACACGAAGAAGGCCGTGGGGAACCGCAGCTCACGCTCATCAATAACGGGTCTGATTCCTCGTGTCTCTTCAACTCTCTCTGTCTCTCCCCTCCTTGTTCTCTCTAATCTAAGCCGACCTTGGGGGGATTGGGGTTGTTTAAGGGGCCCCAGGCCTCATGCCCCGATGGAGGGTTGAAATCTCCCCTCCTCCATCCATCCAGCTTGGTCCACCCTAATTAATTGCCGACAAGGACCCGATCTGTCAGCTGCTCACCTCCTGTTAGCATCTACAGTTCTTAGGCACACGACATCGAGAGAAGTCTACGCGGTCCACGGGGCACTCTCTAAATCCCCTTCGGAACTCATCAGCGAGAGAGAGAGAGAGAGAGAGAGAGAGACAAACAGATAGACAGACAGAGAGTTCCTCCTCGCGCGGTGCTGAAACCCCTTCCCACCTCATGACATTCTAGGTGCGGTGGAGAGCATCGGGACCCTGTAAATCATGCATGCGTTCTTACCATGCACGTATGCGCGTGCACGTGGTTTCTTATGCCGGAAGACACGAACGAGAAACACCGCCTTAAAGTATTTGTCTCAAAATTAATGGCAGCATGGGGGGTTGAAGACCCGTGTGATATTAATATCCCCTCACACGCACGACCATTCTTAACTCGAAAATTCAACCATCATTCTGACCCGAAATCCTATTTCTCGCGTAATCTCCTTCTCAGGAATCAATCATGGTACAACCATCCTCAAATCGTTCAAACTTGAAGATGCCGAATGCCCAGATGCTCAAATATTTATATATAAATTTTATAAAAAAGGACTGATGAGAAGTTTATCGATGGACTCATGATAGTGTGGCCTTAAAATAGCGTAGGATGTTGACTGTCGGTTCCGATCGGAGACCCCAGTGTCTTCCTAAGCCTAGGGGGGAGGGGGGGGGGGGCTAGGCACATCTATGACTATACATATCACAAGATAGGGGCGAGGGGAGGGGGTGGGCGGCACTCAACCCGAAAGAAACCCACACGAAGATCAATGGGCATTTAAGGCCACGAGTCTTCCTTCCACGAGCAATACACTGTCGTGGGCACCAGGCTTGATTTCCTCAGATATAATAAAAATACAGCTCAGCCCGCCCCTCCCCATATCCTTGGATCCATTGGGGGCAGGGGAGTAGGGGAAAAGTAGCATCTGACAAGGGAAGTTATAATATGGCGAGGGTGGGATAGAAACAAGGAGGAGCTTTCTTCCACCTCATATTTAATTACCTTCCTATGTCTTACAAAGGTGTTATTTGGTTTACTAAAGAAAATATGGAAGCGGTGTGAGCGGATGGGCACTCCAAAAGAGAAAGGAGTTTTGTGGTACAGTTTAATGGAGACGTTTGGAGAGGTTTAGGGAACGACGGTTGACTGATGAATAGAAATTCTGGATAAAACAAAGTTGCTAACGAGGATGAGTTATATAAATTTTTTTTGACATTGGAGACAAATTTGAGTGGGTTCTAGGTTGGTTAGGGACCCCAGATGGAGGAGAGGAAATGTGTAGGATATCTATGTCATAGATTTGACATAGTCCTTAGCAAAACTAATGCTCCCATGAAGTCGAGAATGGAAACGACAAGTTTAATCGCTGTCACAGTTTTTTTGCACTCTTGGTTGGACTAGGAGGAAATGCGTCTGAAGGTAGATACTGCAAACGAATGATCTAAAATCCTTCAACGGCTTGATAAAAATTAATGAAAGCTTCGATCAATACAGAAAAATCCATAAAAATTGAAACATTTTACAGTTAGAACTTGGAAATATATTTTACTAATTAAGGAAAGAAAGCATTGGAAGATTGAATGTGAATAGTAATTATGAAATACCTTGATAAATTCATGACCGGGAGTTAAGACAATACTACCTTCGGTTCCTTATTTGTTACATTAGAAAAAAAGAAAAATTCCAAAATCGCATTCCAATTGTCACATCTTCACATTCATCTACAACTTTTAGCAGTGATCTCATCACGTTAAGAGCGGTGTGGTGGTCAGCATGTTTTATGTTGAGTCTAGGCTTTTATATCGAGACTAAGCCATTCTAGTACTGCCCTACCCCACTCATCTTCTCAAACGTTATATCAGATCAATGATATTCATCTGTAAGCTCTAATTCCCGTTTCGTAAGAGCTCGGAGCTGAATGAGATTCACCTTACATTCATAAGCAGACCATTTCCAAAAGCTTATATGCGTACTTTCATATATATACTCATATTAAGTTATAGATAAATCGAGACCATCTTCTGCAGATGGTGCCCAGAGAGCGTACTGCGCTTACCGCAAGGCCCATTGTATCTACGAATATATCACGAACTAGATAATTGTCAAAGAACACAAGTGGCTGACCCGAGAATCAAAGACCGTAGCACGTGCCCCCATGGACCTGTGTCACGTCCATCATAGAAATCGATCCGCGACTCATTTGACAGCTGGGTTTTGTTGTCTTACCATCGTCTTAGCTAGGTTCTCTATAATACGCACTCTCGTATTCACCACTGCCTTCAAGTAGAATTTCCTACCGTTGCAATTACTAAAAGTCTCAAGCCCATGAAAGCTGCAGGTGTTGAGGTGGGAAAAAGAATCAGGCTAGCGAAAACTAGAGGAAGCCCGCTAGGCTAATAGAGGTTCCCATTCGCAGCTCCTACCCATTTCACATGCCCAAGGAAGAACGACGCCATGGCGCCTTGTTGACCGAGTCGAGAGGCCGCGGCAGCTCCCAGGACGACGACGACGACACAAATCCCTTGGCAGGCCTCATCTCGAGAGAAGACAGCATATCGGGTGTGGGGATGACGAGAAGACAAGCAAAACGCCACCCCCACACGCACACAGCCGCATTAATTAGCTTCAGCGCGGCAACAAAGGTCGAAGAACACAACAAGCTTCAACACATGAAACAATTTGCCATGCAACGTGGTCCACCTCTTACTGGCACCCTTCGACAAGTCACAAGCCCCGCAACCACCACCCCAATCCCTGCCATGGCACATGGCAAAGGCCTCAACCATGAAGAGGTTGAGTTACACTTTGTTCCGAGTGAGATCAAGGGGTAGAAATTCAAGCTGAGCCTCTGCAGTAGCTCCGTCTCCAATTCCCTCCGAGTAGTCTTGCGAAGAAACTGTTTCTTGTGCGGTTGTGCTGTTCCCTGATGTTTGCTTTGCCGGTGTGACAGCTTCTTGACGCCTTGCTGGAATGAACATGATGGTGATGAGTATTCCCTGCCAATCTGAACTGTGTATTCCCAGAGAGTTTGAAAAGTGGGAAGGAGAATTGATTCTGAGGAGACAACTAGTCTGCCCTGGACGTTTCCTGCCCCCCCATGGGAGGCCACGGTTCTGTGCTGATTACTGATGTCTCCTTGCAGTTGTTGAAAGGTCTCGGGATGGATTTTGGTAATATGGGCTCCGATCCAAATCGCAGGCAACGGGTTCCTTAGTTTTTTTGGCCCCAGATATCTGTTCGTAAGCTACAGTGTTCTTGAGTAACATTTACGCTATCCGACGCAAACATGGATGCTAAATTATCTTTTTTGAATATAGAGGTCACACAGATCTGGAAGCCGCAGGAACGCGCCTTAAGGCCAAGAAAGATATTTCGGTCTCCAGCCATAGGAATCCATGATTGTTAGTACTCTCATCTTGTAAATCAGTCTTCTGGGTAGGTTATCAAAGGGGGCCTCGCTGTCCTTCCTGTTAACCTCGAACTAGCCAATCAGAAAGAGTGGTAGATCCGCAGATCATTGACATGAAATCATCCCCTAACGCAGTCTAACCAGTGTTCAAACCTCCGAATTATATTCCAAAATTCTACCATCGTGGTTATGCAATCCTATCAATCGAAACCCATATTATTATAGACAAATTCGATCAGATACCTAGTTGGGTCTAAGGAAGAAAGATTCGATCTTCACGGAAGTCTAATGATCACACGTGGGCTGCTTATCGTGGGTAGTAAAGAAGAAAAATCTATTGATGCAAACTGTGGAGCTAGGCAAAGCATTGTTCACCAGCCATCACCAGAAAGGTTAAAATGAAAGCTTGGAACCTTGGATTTGGAGGGGCGCGGGGGGCGAGGATGGAGATGGGTCGTCGTCTCTATTGCAGACCAGTCAGTACCGAAGAATTCTGTAGCAGGAACAGTAGTTAATGCTAAACCCCAGCAAGGCCCAGCTCTCTCATGAAGAAGGTGAAAGCCGGGTATGAGTCTCCATAGCTCCTCAGCCAGTTTTCGTTGTCAAGTTGCTATTAGCATACCCCAGAAAAAGATGGCGACAGTGGGTGGCAAGAGGGGTGGGAAGAATCAGCTTGGAAGCCGGGAAAGACCTAGTTAAAGCTTGGAGAAACTACCTCCCTGTGTGCACCCAAAGGGGAAATAACTCGGGAGATGACCAGGCAAAGGGAGAGGACTGACTGACATGCGTTAGCCTTCGGGAGATATTACTGTACTGAATGTGGGGGATCGCCTTTTATGTGGATGTTATAAAGATGAGAAGAGCATAACTAGGATTTAAAGGTATTGGAGAAGTTCATATTTTTAACTTCGTTAGTTATTTGGTGGGCAAGGGATGTCTCCCTTTATAGAATAAAATGGGAAATATTAAAAGATGAGGAGGAAGAGAGATAGATGTGATATTCATAAAGTTATTATCCAAGGGTTGAATTTCTCTCCCTTTCTTTTTTCTCAGAAAGAAAGCAATAAGAAAAGACTGATAAAGGAATCGAAGCCTCAACTCTCTCTCTCTCTCTCTCTCTCTCTGTCTCTCGGTCTGACCTGGACGTGTACTCTCCCGACGGCTAGAAAGAATCATACCCCTCCGCTGTCTTATATTTTCTCCTCTCTTTCTCTCTCTCTCCTCCCCCGCCCCCCAACCATCTAAGGCGTCAAACCGAGTATAATTTTCTCGCGCAAACCTCCCCTCCATACAAGAAGCAACCGCTTTCATTCCCCCGCCTCAAGTCTTTTACCTCCCTCCTCGCAGACCTCATTCCCCAACTTCCCCTCCCCCCTTCGTTCTCATCTAGAAAGTCCAGACGAATCTCATCATACTCCCCCTACACCCCCACCTCCTTTAAGACAACTCGGGCGAGAGGAAGAGACCCTTGTAAACGAAGGCCAGTGCATCAGTCTGTGGAGGTTCGAGGAGACAGCACAGAGCGAATGGAGCTCTTCCCAGCACAGCCGGACCTGTCCTTGCAGATAAGCCCCCCGTCCAGCAACCCCACGCCAACCTGGGGGAGAAAGGCTGAAGAGAGGATGGACATGGAGTTCTGGAGAAGGCAGCCCCCTCCTATGGACTCCCACAGCAGTACCAATAGCAGTAGCACCAACCCTTCTTCATCCTCCTCTCCTTCCTCTTGGATGGCGGCCAAGGCTGCCTTCGATCTGTCCTCAGCCAATCCTTCCATGTCAGACCCCATGTCCAACACTGGCACCATCTCCACCCTCCATCTCCGTTCTCAGCAGCTCCACCAGTTCCCCCACCACCAGGATCTCGGCCAGCTGCTGAGGCCGATTAGGGGAATCCCCCTATATCACCACCACAACGCGGCCTCCCTACCCTTCCTGCAGTATCACCACCACCATCTTCACCACCAACAGCAACCGCTATGCGACTCAGCCTCCACCACGGGGGCGGCGCTCTTCATGCCACAGGGCCTGGCGAGGACGAGATTCCAGTCGAGGCTTCCCGCGAAGCGCAACATGAGGGCACCGAGGATGCGCTGGACCTCCACCCTCCACGCGCGCTTTGTGCACGCCGTCGAGCTCCTCGGCGGCCATGAGCGTATGCATCCGATTTCTCACATTATTCACCTTTCGATATGGAAATTCCCACGATAGAGAACTTCTGGTTTTTAAGTTTCTTCCTTTTTGCGTCATTTCAGATCGATTTAATTTTTTTCATGAGAATAGGGTCTTGATTTTCATGATTTTTTTTCCTATTCCCAAGGGGATTTGACGAGAAAATTCTAGGACGGGGAGATTGGTGTCGTTGAGTTAATTGACTAATGGATTATCTAATGGGTTTTCAGGGGCCACCCCTAAGTCAGTTCTTGAGCTCATGGATGTGAAGGATCTCACCTTGGCTCATGTGAAATCTCATCTACAGGTAAGAATAGTTGATAATATTTCTGTCGCATATCGCAGTTTTTTCCTTCTGTGCTTTTTCTGTAGCATTGTTCTCGGGAAAATGAACGACGGTTTTCCTGAATCTGCGAAAAGAAGCCCGAATTCATTTATCTTCGAAAGGACTTGTCTAGTTTCGTTTCTTTATCCACTTTCCTTTCTTCTAACGCGCTCCGCTTGAGAGTCTCCTCCTATTCACGTGGAAGAAAAATCCACTGATGTCGCTCTTGAATCTCCATCTCGAAATGTGGTTCTCCTTCGTCTAACATAGCAGGAGGAAAAGCCTTTTTATACATTTATTTGCACTTTTTTCCTTCTTCCCATTTCTACAAGCCTGCATTCTCTTCGTGCATTTCCTTCTTGTTTCCTTGAGATATGGAAACCTGTTCTACCCCCTCACAAAAGGGAAAGAAATAAAGGCAGCCCTCTCTCTCTCTCGTTCTCTCTCTCTCTCTCTCGTTCTCTCTCTCTCTCTCTCTCTCGTTCTCTCTCTCTCTCTCTCTCTCTCTCTCTCTCTCTCTCCCTCCCTCCAGAGATCTGTGGGCGCAGCAAGTTATGAGGCAGCTTTTCGCGAAGAAGCTGAAAGACATACCAATAAAAGAAGAAAGAAAAAGGAAATCAGTGAGTTACTACGGTCACAGGAAAAGCCAAACAAGCAAGAGCCTCTCGGTCAGTCTAACCAACCCAGCTTCAGGTTGTAGAAGATGGCCGAAAAAACAGAAGGAAAAAATGAAGCGGAGAATGAAAGCTGAAAGCAAAAAGAAAGTACAATGCACCATTATCCTTCAATTATTATCCTCTTTCATTCTTCTCCCTTCTTAACACAAGCAACACCCATTCAGTTTGCTTTATCCTAACTCTCAATCTCTGAAGACCAGCAGCCTTCTTGAATATCCCCAAGTCTATCACACACTAAGATCGAGTTTATCATGGAATCCCACATCCGAAAGGGACAGCTGGCACGATTCTATATAGTCCATTAACTTCATCATTTGTAACCGCAGATGTATCGTACAGTGAAGAACACTGACAGGCCGCCGGCATCTTCGGGTGAACCAGGTACCCTCTCTTCCCACCCCCCCCCCCGGGCCCAAACCAAATGGCGAACTCCTGATGGCTAGACCTCCTAAGAAGAGAGTCTTTCCTGTCTTGAGGAGGTGTTCTGACTGGTGGCGTTGACATCTCCAGGTCATTCTGATGGTTTTGACAACGGGTCGGCCGGAGAACTCTCCGACGATAACTTGGTTGACCTCAGCTCTCGCGGATGCCAGTCTTCTTCTGTTCATCAGGGAAGGCCGGGTGTGAACCACGATGCTGATCCCTGCAGTCTGTGGAGCAACTCCTCGAGGTGATGTCGCAGCTCTGTGATCCCTCTTCTGATATGACTCGGGAATATCATTTTCCTGTTATACGGATTATCTTGTTAGAGATAGATACCATCCTAGCTTAACTAATCTCGGTGTTATGAACATGATCACATTAAGTTAAAGGATAATGATTGCATATTATCCATTGCTTTCCCGATCATGTCGATCCGTTTCTCGCTCTACGTATCTTCGACCTCCCCAGTTGCTCTAGCTGTATGCTAGTCCATATCAAAAAATGGTTTTCTCATATGTGAAGTTTACTATGATTTAACAGTTTAATGCCCACCAAACGTTTCCCCATATTTCGAGCCATCTTAGGTGACGACCACCTTAGAATACTTATTATATCAACTGTCATGGAGTGCTGTATAAAAGCATGGGCTCATGAACTGAGGAAGATGTATAACAGTAAGTAGATTATAAATGATACAGAGAACTGGCCTTTCATGAACATAGGAAATCCTCTCTTCCTCTCTTACACAGTCACAAGTGTACCGTGTCTGGTGTCCCATTTTCATTTGGAGCTGGCCACAAAAGGCACGTGGGAGACATGCCTTTGTTCCGTCTGTCCGGGATCAGGTAGGCAATGGCAACATGATAGTGCAATGATCTCTTGTGGGCAGCTTAAAAAGAGAACAGATACTTAATACCGCTCCCATTCCAAGGTAAAGACTGATATGAGATCTACCTGAAAAGGGGCAAGCCTCCTCTCTTTGTTTGGATTCCCTCTGCCCTTTCACCGGGCCCAGGGGGGGCCGGGGGGAAGGGGAAGTAGAGACCCTCCCAACTCGATAATGCACGACCCAACACCTCTGAAACATCCCTGCACCTTGTTCTATGGGTAATGGCAGACCTCACATGGGCATGAAGCCTTTATCTTCGACCAGCGCAAACAAAATGCCAACGCTTGCAGGTCTTCGTATACAGGTCAATAATAAAAGACGGCTTTCTTTCTCAGTCTCCTTTTTTCTTGCATGAACTCTCTCTCTCTCTCTCTCTCTCTCTCTCTCTCTCGTTCGCACTACCCTCACTATCGCTTTTTCGTCATGCAGCAGGGGAGGCTGGATGCATTGCAAGCCGAGGGATTCGAGAAATGGAAGCATCTCACCGCTTGAGGTACAACACCGTGAACTGACCCCTCCGGGCTTTTATCTTTTTCTCTCTGCGGTTAAACTCTGCATGGATTTAAATGTTTTAGAAAAGCTGAACCCTAGGGGATGGTCACTCCACGCCTCCTCGAGCCTCCCTTCTTCTTGAAGGAGTGCGAGATGAGCGGTCTGTAGACCACGATAATGGAAAACTGCCATTCGTACTCCATAGTTACCTCCCCATCATGCTTTCATGATCACAGCAGATGGCAGTGATCTGAGGAGCACCTTAACACTCGGCATTCCCCTGGAACTGGTGGTCACAGCTCTCCCTTTTCCTCTTCCTCTGACACTGCCAACCAACACACCCCACGAAAAAAGGAAGGGGTTGCTTTAAAGGCCTGGAATGGTGGGAGGAGAGCGTATTATCAACATCATGACTGCGCCATATAAGGGCTTCTCTGATTTTGTGTCTTGCAGAGGGAGACAGAACAGCACGAAGGTTTCGTAGTCGGGTGTGATTTGAACTCGTCCTGCTTAACGGAGGCCAGCTCCATAAAGCCTAACCTCGAGTTCACCCTCGGGCGCCCTCGCTGATTTCGGGCCCTGGTACTCTCTCCCACAGCGCTAAGGAAACCTGGAGCCATTGAAGAACGCAGCAAGTACAGGAATGGAAATGGAAGGTGGAAAGAAAAGAGGAAGAAAGCGGAGAGACAAGGAGGCGGAACTGGGATGGAAAGCAAAAAAAAGCGGAAAGTCACAGGGACGACTCTGTCAAAAGAGCTTGTCTCCCATTTCAAAGCTGCGTAAGCCTACGCCTTATCAGTTCTGCATAGATGCATAGACATATCTACTTGATTCAAGTGTTAGGATTTTTGAGAGAGAGAGAGAGAGAGAGAGAGAGAGAGAGAGGCAGACTCCTTTCGCTAACATCCGTGAGCAAAAGGGGTAAGGCTCTTTCTCCATTCTCATGCATGCCCACGTGCTTTACTTTGCAGCCTTCCATCGAAGTGAAGGGGGGAGGGAAAGACCAACTCATGATATGTTGTTATGTTGTTGACGAAACCCCAAAGGCAATTTTTTTCACACATCTCGGTCTTGTTTCTCTCTCTTCACCAATGAAAGATCACCTTGTTCGATTCTTAGAGGTGCCTCTGGAGTCACATATGAAATATAGTACTAGAACGATCAGTGGCTATATCACACTAATCTCCATCTTCTATCTAGACAGTCAACAGTTTGCCAGAGGAATATTTAATCTAAGTTCATCCGAAGTCAAGTCGGAAATCATCATCTGTTCTCATCTTGTCGCTGATAATGACGGAATGGGAACTTTCATCTTCTACGGTCTCGGGAATATATATACACTTCTCCAGCATCTCCAAAAACGTAGAGAGATAACTACGGTGTGTGATTTCCATTTGGTGAGGTAGATCGTTGGCCAGAAGCTATCACAAGTTCAAGCCGTCGGTTGGGGATGTGGGGACGGCTGTCTGTGGACCGCAGGATTACTAGTCTTCCGGTGGCCGCCGCGAGTGGTTGGAAGCTCCCGGGTAATTATTGCCGTCTTTGATTCCAAACGTCTGCTTTTACGGCTCCACACCAGCGCTTATGTTGACCCAACTTCTCATCCCTCCGGCGGTGAAGCCTCTCTCTCCCTCCCTCTCTCTCTCTCTCTCTCTCTCTCTCTCTCTCTCTCTCTCTCTCTCTCTCTCTCTCTCTCTCTCTCTCTCTCTCTTTCTCTTTCTCCCTCCCTCCCTCCCTCTCCCCACTGCTCTTTGTGAATCGACCAAAGATTAAATCTTCAAACCCGATGAAGTAGTTTGGGGGCTTCCAATGAGGATTGGACCAATTATTCGACTTTAGTAGTCGTTTTAGCATTGTTCTGTAGATTGGACTTTTTTGACAAAAACGGGTTAGATTTCAGAAAGAAATATTAACTGTCGTGGTCCAGCCTCATTTGATATCAAGAAAAGATTTTCTTTTGTGAATTGTAATAGAAGGAGACCTAAAGTCCATGTCTTGTCAATTTCACTGCACAGGAGGCCTAGGAAGTTAAAAGTACGTCCACTTCTCTCTCTCTCTCTCTCTCTCTCTCTCTCTCTCTCTCTGTTGGCATTCTTAGAGAAGTTGATCTACATCGAGATTACCCACGGTCGTGTTCCTCTGGTTTTAAAAAGAGGGCCATTATCTTCTCACGGCACACTCCAGGGACAACAAAAATGGCTTCTTTGTTCTCTTCCTCTAGAACAATTAGCGGAGATTCAAAACATTCCGGCTATCTCACACCCTCGAATTCCCCAGATGCCTCGAGCTTAAATGCCGGTCGTACTTGCCTGAATAAATGCCACACCCCGTAGAATAAAGATGAGCACCTACTGCACTTGGAAACCCCCCTATGGAGCGTAGTAGGGGCAGCGGAGTCCCCCGGCCTACGCATGGGTAGTCTCCTGTAGAGATGACGACCACTTCCGATCTGTTCTCGAAGTCATACGATCAATCAATGGAGTGGCCTTTTCATCTATGTTGAGGTAGAATGTCTGGCGTTCAAAAGGGGTTACAGCCGATACAGGAGGTGCCCAGAGAGGAGGGAGAGGGGATGGAATTTCGAAAGAAGATGCGTAGGGTTAGGGTTTCTTCTACTCGAAGCGAATATAGGGCTCTTTATTCACTTGTCCCCACCCCCCTCCTCCCTCCCTTCCTCTTTTCCTTTCTACCCGATGGGTTTCTACTTTTCTGTAGGGCGCGGGTGTTGATGAGACGATGGAAAGCGGCTTTGCAGGAGCTCAGGGTGGGAGAGGGTGGGGCGATGGACTCACGAGGAGGGCGAGATCCTCTGCGCCTCGCTGCAGAGTTACTGACCTGCTCGACTGCCGGAGCCTTTAATGGCGCTGCAGGGTGCAACAGCAGGCGGTGGCAGGGAGAGAATGTGAGAAGGGAGAGAGAAAGATAGACATAATGCCGTGGGGACGGGGGCCTTCTGCGGCCGGGAGGACCCGGCTCAAATTATTCAAGAATGATTACACCATGATGAGATTTTGTATTTATTCCAATCGCTCCCCACCCTCTTTATCCTTCTGTCATTCTTTTATTTCCCAGCTGTAGCCTGCAGATGTAGTGATGTAGAGAGCTAGAGGACGAGAAGCTGACAACCTCATCGTCCCCCTCCCCCCGCGGCGCTCTCTCTGTACATTAGCCTGTGACCTGTGTAGCGCATGAGAATTCAGACGCCATAAAGGGTCAACCCCGGTTGTACCTCGGCATGGAGGAAGAAAGGGGTTTCAGAGACAGAGGGAGAGAGTGGGAGAGGGGAAAAAGGTTGAGAGAGATGAAGACAGAGAGGGAGAGAGTTTCTCTCTCCCGTGAAGTGACGCCTCTTGTTGACACCTAGTTTTCATCAACCTCGAGCAAAATCTCGAAGACCTTCCATGGCAGTCCCCCTAGAACTTGCGTGAGGCTTATCCTCCACTTTACTCCCTTCTGTTAACTTCCTTCTCCTCCAGAGCAGTCAGACAAGGAGATAGGGAGCTCGTGTGCATGTGGCAGAGTTCCGCGGCATTATCTACCGTGTCAATCCCAGAATCTTACCAGTCAACCTTTCTGCAAACTTTGTTGATGTCCGTCGCCACGGTCAAGCACAGGTAGAGAGAGAGAGGGGGAAGGAAACTTGTTTGCAGACGGGAAACTCGAAGAGGAAGATGCTCGATCACCTCATCAGCAAATCGCGATATCATCATCGGTTGACGAGTCCGACCCCAGTAACTTGAGTCCGGCTCTCTGCATTGACTACAAGACTTTTGACGAAGTGATGTGGCAACTTTAAGGCCCCCTACGGACAATGATTTGACCACATTGACTTGGAGCAACCCGTGTGCTCACTAAGTGTCCCATTCGTCTAATCATGCTGACTTTTATATGAAGCGTCTATTGCATGTAGATTGATGAGTCAATCATCTCTCTCCCTCCCCCTGTTCGTCTTCGTGTCCTGCGAAATTCCCGCGAGTCTAGAGAGATGAGTAGGGCAGCCGCATCAGAACCGTCAGAGCTGGCTTGATGGAAGCACGATGAAGGAGATAGATAGAGAGAGAGGGAGAGAGAGAGAGAGAAAGAGGGATCAAAGGTCGGGTTGAGAGAACCCATGCGGGTAGGACGAGACGTGTCTCTTGAGATGCAGTTCCCCATACAAAGGGAGAGGTCAGGTCGCTACCAGTCAGATCTCGCAGCAGGGGGGACCCTACGGCTCAGGGACTTCTTCCGGCATGTGAGACAAGACGGAGGGGAACGGCTAGAAGTGATAGAAGTGAGAGACAGGAGAAAGGCTAAGAAAACGACGGGCGTCTTATCTAGAGGCAGAGGGAGTGCGTGAGAAAGAGAGAGAGAGTGGTGGTGGTGAGAGGAGATAGAAGAAAGGTGAGGTGGTATGATTTGGTAATCCATTACGCTATGATTGGGTCTCCAGGTCTCCGCTGAAGCAGCTTCCACTGCAGCACCACTGCTCCCTGACACGCTCCCCGGCTTTCGCTGTCCTTTCACATCTCTTTCTCTCTCTCTCTCTCTCTCTCTCTCTCTCCCCCCTCATTGTCACGGGCCAGAGGGAAGGCCATGCGGTGGGTAAGGGGGCCTCCTCCGATGGCGACGAGACGCACGGCGGCGTGACCACTCCCCCCCATGGTCCCCCCCTTCTCCAGCCTCCCGACATTCATGGGTCTCTCTCTCTCCACCTCTTCTGTACAGGAACACCGACGTTACTGCACCGGGGTTCTCTCTCTCATTCCCATTCTCACTGCCCATCTTCTCGCGCATGGGAAATCTTCTGTCATCGACGGGAAGGCCGGGGGCGGAGGTCCTCCATTCCTATTCTCATAATATGTTCACCTGAAAACCCACTAGCTACGTGGCACCTGCTGCAACATTTCGTCCAGTCGGTGGCACTCTGCCTAGTCAGACGCCGCGTTGGCAGAGCCCCACCCACCTCATCACCCGCCACGCCATCCAACTCGTGCTTCAAAGAACAGTTGTTTAGCATATAAATTATCCGTGCCTTATTTGAGTTGTATTTATTCTTCGGGGGTTTTGCGCAAAGTCTCCTGGCACGCTGGCATTAAATGGCCCGTACGGAGACGCGGTGTTCACATGCAGATGCGGAAGGGGGGGGGGTTGATGTGACGATACCTCTGTCTCTGGCTCGTCTTTACAGCGGCAGCGACGGGGGAAAACAGAGGCGCTTACCGCCGGCGGTGAGCATTGGCTACGGTGAGGGTATCACGCTGGAAACTTCTTCACTAAATGAAGTTACTTGAAGACGGCAATAAATGGGCCTTTGAAAGCAAGGAGGAGCTGAGTTAAAGCTGCCCAGACGCTGGGGACTATTTATCCCAGCAACCCAATTAGTTAAACATAAAGAGTACAAATCTTGGCCACCCCATCTCAGAAGTGAAAATGGGCCCTTTTGGTCACCAACGGCGGCCCAAAATGAGGGATTTGTGTTTGAACTCGCGTGAGATGCATAATATCATCGATCTACGTGGTGTGGATGAGAAATGTATGAAACTAAGACTATTATCAAGCCAATTGATGCATGAGAGCTTAGGACATAG